CTGCACTGGACCCTATCTTCAACTCTGTATGCCCAGTGTATATCTCTCTACTCTGCCCTTTCCTAAGAAAGACAGGGTAGGGTAGATGGGGGCTTGCCTCAGTAAACTTTTATTGCTTCTCTCCCAAGCTTTTGGATTTAGCCCATTAGAAGTTATTTAATGTTGTCTTAAGAAGGGAGCAATTTAGGAGAGAATTTTGGCTGTGTGTTCAACCTGCCAACTTTGTTACTTTGTTGAAATATGTCAGTGTAATTATTATCATGCTGTTAGAATCTTTTAAATAAACTCTGTTTTCCATGGAAGTCACATGTTATTGTTGGCATTCGAAATATGTACTTTAGTTGTAAAATCAAGTAGAAACATAAAGGAATGTGAGTTTTAGGTTGGTACTAACTTTCTTTACAATTATGAATATAATAAACAGTGAAAATTGATCTAGAGATAATACAATAAAAATATCTCTGCATTATTGACCAAGGTGATGATGATCGATGTTAGTTCTTAGGCGCAATCAAGTCCTAACTGTGGGATAAGTTTGGGATAAGTTTGCCACCATAAGTCAAAATACCAGACACAGTAAGGGACCTAGAAGGTCCTTTCTTCCAGTAGGGGAAAGATGGGGCGGAGGCAGAAGGAGAGCAAGAGGGGAAAGAGAAGAGAAACATCAGAATGACAGAGGGATAGGCAGATCTCCTACCCACTGCTTTACTCCCCGGATGCTTGCAACAACTGGGGCTTCCAGGGACCAAAGCCAAGAGCCAAGTTCGTGGATGGCAGAACCCTACTACTTGGGCCATCAGATGCTGAGATGGGACTCAATTCCAGGCATTTCAGTCTGGGATGTAAGTGTCCCAAACAGGGGCTTTTCTTTGTAACTATTTTTTATAAAACACAAGTGGAGGCCATAGGTGTTTGGCTTAGAGGTTCAGAAACCTGTATGTTGTAATGAATCCTGTTTCCACTCCTGAATCTAGCTGTCTGTTAATTTGCAAATCCAAGCAGGCAATGGTGATGTCTCTGCCACCCAGTGGGAGACTTGAATGGAATTCCCAGCTCCCAGCCTCAGCCCAGCACAGTCCTGGCTGTTGCAGACTTCTGGGCCTTGGGACAGAAAAGGAAAGCGCTCTCTGTCCTGTCTTTCTCTCAAACAAGAAATAACCAAATAAATATAGGAGTTAACATTTTTAAGAAAAAATACCACAAATGGAGAGGGACCCTTTTTTCTAGATATGTACAAATAGTGTATGCCCATATTATTTGTCTCACCCTTTCTGAAAGTTGAATATCATTTGAATAAATAGAAATACCATAATTTTTTTTTTACCAGTTTCTATTGATATTTAGCTTTGGACGCATCCTAATTCGGAACTACTATGAAAAACTGCTGTTTTGTACATAGTCTTTGCATTCATGTATTGTGATTGTAGAGATAAAATTTGTATTCTTTTTAGTTACTGTTTTTGATAATAGGTTGTAAGTAGATTACGTTACTTACATTGTAATTAGATAAATGGCTTTTTAAAAAAAAATGTCTGCTTGAGCAAAGATTAGGACTTCTTCAGCCACAGTATAATTAAACTGAGAGGTCTACACAAAGTCATAAAATCCTGGATTAGTAATTTATGTTTAATGCAGCAATTTCCTTCAAGTCTTTGTGTTTATGATAACATAAGCATTCTTTTGCCATTCAAAAATCATTTCCACTCTTGTGGCAAAAGTCACCCATCCCCATTTCCTGCTTCAGGAAAAGCTCTACGTGGATGGCAGACCTTCAGAAATCTTTGAGGAAGTGTGAGTTCATTGAGAAGTAACAACAGTGAAATACAAGGCAACAGGCTAAGTGTTTCTGAAACGGTTTTTCACTGTTGGTTATTCTTTTGGCTGTTAATGTGTTGCATAAAATTGGTACTGACGTCACAAACTACTTAGATTAGTGGTCTTCAAAATATTTCTAAGGGCTTTAGACTTAAAACAATGAATCAGGCAACTCAGTAAGCCAGATAGTTGAGGGGAAAGACTGTTTTCTCTGTCTCTCCCTCATCCTCCATCTGAGATGCGCTGTTCACATTGGGCGAGTAACATTCTTTTAGAAGCTGATTGCTTTTTAAACTGTTGGACACTTTTGGAAACTACTGGACTTGTTGTATCACTTAACTTTTGGATCTAGCTTAGTGAACATAAATAAAAAATCATGTTTATGTTGCATGTGTATACTTTAGAAACTCAAATTTCGGTTTATAAAATAATTAGCTGAAGTATGCTTAGGCTATGAAGGCCCTAGTGCTAAGAATATGTCAAACATCTCTCTGTTAAGAAAGAAAAATACCACGAGTTCCGCTGTTTTCCCTGAACCCATTTTAATTATTTAGAAACACGAATCTCTGACAGATGGGAATTTTTTTTAATAATTTCATTAGCAAATATGTTTGTGATTTTATTTTCATGAAAAGAAGTCATAAAAGAAATTAGGACTTTGCTGGAATAACTTCATAAATATACATATTTCTAAATCCACTTTATTTTATAGAAGAATGTTTTCCATCCTACAAAAAACATTCAATTAAAAGTACATAATCAAAGAACCCATCACCATATCTTTGAACATAATGTAATCCCAGACATATTTTCAGATAACTATCTGTTGGGTGGCCAACAAGTGAATAGATATACTGACAAAAGGAATCAAACCACACAAGCTATTTTATCTTAAGTCATATTCACTTTTGTTTGAATTAATAGTACAACAAGAAAAAATTAAAATGACATAATTTTAGATAAATGTTTCCATTGAAGAGAGGGAATAGTTCTTAACGTTTCAATTAGCATACATACATTTATAGATATATACATATATTGAAGTTTTTGACAGGTTTGAAAGTGAAGCAATTAACTTGCTTTTTCCATACATCCTGATTTTTGGCTAAATTGTTATTTTAAAGTTTAAAAGCACTTTTTTTTTTTTCCAATTCTGTAGTCATAATTCTTATTGTGTACCATGTTCTATAATTAAGTGAATTTGCTCAATCCCACAGAAATCCCAATAGTGACCCTTAAGTTCAAGATTGAGAACAGGTAATCTGCATTGTTTGTAGAAAATTCACAAAGGAATAAGAACAAGTAATATGTGTTCTTTGTAGGAAACTCAGAAAATAAGAATAAACTAATGATGGTCCGATCACAAACTTACAATCATACTTCATTATTTGCTGTGCATGTGTGTATATATATATATATACACTCTAGAGTATGTATACAATAATATAGTAATGTTATATAGTAATAATAAAATTTTTATATAGTAATAATATAGTAATATAGAAATATATTTTAAACATTTAAATTTATAAACTATCATAAGTTCATACTATGTATTCTCTAATTAATGTGTTGAAGATTTTTCGATTTATAAATTTAATTTCACCTGTTACCTCATTGATTATATAATATCTAAGGATATACCTTGACATAGGAAGCAAATTCCATATTGTTGTATATGAATATTACACCTTGTTTTTTCTATTTACACTGAATGCTATACATCTCTCTCTCTGTACGCATATGTGTATGTTTATATGCATTCCCCCCACCAAACTATCTTTTTTTTGATTCAATGAAAAAAATATAAATCCTAAATGATGCATAAATGAGATTTATATGGAAAAACAGAATGTGTGTGAGTGTGTGGGTTTATGTACAGAGGGGAAAAAAAAAAACCTGTGAAATGAAGAACCAGAGAAATTTATTGTGGATTATAAAGGATTGGCTAACATGATCATGGAGACTCAGCAGTCCCACAATAGGCTGTCTGTAGGCTAGGGAATGAGAGAGGCAGGTTGCATGGCTTTGCCCAAATCCAAAGGCCTCATGATCAGAAAGACCAATGGTGTTAACACCCAGGCAAGGCTGATGGAATGAGAACCTAGAATATCGTTATTACAAGTCTCAGAGCATGAAGGGCAGAGAACCTGAACCAGAAGAAAGATGTCCTTGCTCTAGGAGAAAAAGAGAATTCACCCTTCCCTGTTTGTATTTGTTTTACCCAGGCCTTTAACCAGTCAAAGGGTCCCCACCCACCTGAGTTAGGTCAGATCATCCTTACACATAACATTAATTCAGATGCCAGACACACAAATGTAGCAGTCAGCCAGTTGAGGATCCCCTAGTCCTGTCATGTTGACACTAAAAGGTAACATCACCGGTCTTAATGCTTAATGTCTGTCTCCCTGTAAGCTCAGTGGAGGCAGGGCTCTGTTGCTTAGTTCATCTATATATCTTCAACTCTTAGAAAAGACCAGCTTCTGAAAAATCTGGGCATAGAGTATAACTGTTGTACGCAGTGCAAATGAAGCAAGACAGGATAGAAGAAGAAAAAACTAGTTATGAAGACAGGGAGAAACAGAGATCCTTTGTTTGCTGCTTCACTCCATAAATGGTAACAGCTGCTTCTGCTGGGCTAGACTTCAGCCAGGAGTCAGGTGCCACAGTCATCTTCTGGGATTCCAGTGTGGGTGCAGGGCCCAACAAATTAGGCCGTCTTTCAATGCCTTCCCAGGGGCACTAGCAGGTAGCTGGATCAGAAGCAGAGCAACTGAGGCTTGAACTGGTACCCAAACAGTTTGGACATTGCTGGCAGGCATCAGCTTTACTCACTACTCTGTATTGCCCATCCCATGAAAAGCCATCTTGGTTGTGCGTTGACACATGTAACTCACTTTGGAGATATAAATATCATAACATTTTCCCCTTAGGAAACAAATATAATATTTTTAACTACCTAGCCTGCTTCTGTATAGTATAAATTTTCCTATATTTTTAGTTTGCAAACATTGGGAGGGTGGGGCGTGGAAGGCTCTCACTCATCTGACCCTAGGCAAGGAGGAGACTTAATTTGCTTCAAATCCACCTAGTTGCAATGAAAGCAAAAATGAAACCCACTCACCAGTTGTTTACCGGATGAAAGATTTCTTAACATTTCTACCTCTGCTTTATTTTTACTTCAGGAGAAGTTGTTATCCAGATCTCTTCAGAGGGGTGAAGATCTTCAGTTTGACCAGGTATGTCAGTTATGGGGGAATAATTTTTCCTGGAAGGAAAACGTACATCCTAATAATTTGGTCCAAATATAGCAAATATTAAGTAATTCCTTTATTTTGTTTAGTGATCTTATATGTGCTTATACCACAGATTCATTCTGGAATTGATAAAACTTTTGTTTATTGAATGAACTATGAATTTTACTGATTTTGGTTCATTTAGCATTTTAAAACTTTATATTTTTTATTGCTGATGTCTAATGTGATTTGAAATATTTCTCTTTAATGTGACTGTTTCCAACTAAACTTCCCAGATTGTTTTTTGTGTGCCAGTTCCTACAAGCTTTCACATAATGACATTTTACTTTATAATATTTACTTTTCCTGTTGGGGTCTGAGAAGCTGTGCTTACGTAGAACATCAGGATCTGAAGTCTCATGTTATATGCCTCTAATGTAAATTCTACCTCTTAATGAGATTAAATGTTAGATCAAGTCATACTCTACCATAATTATTACATATTGGTTATTTCAGTAAAACCAGTAGCTCAGATTAGGTTTCTGTTTCTGTGTTAGTATAATTTCTGTTGCTATAATAAAATACTTGGAACTGAATAATTTCTTTTTAAAAAAGGAGGAGGAGGTGCTTATTTAGTTCCAAAGTCCAAGAGTATGGCTTTGGTTTCTGCCTGGTAAGGGCTTCATGATTGGGGGCCATCACAATGGCAAGAGCACATGTGGAAGAAATCACACGGTGAGAGAGAATCAGGGGGCTTGCTCTTTTATGATAACTGACTCATTCTGCAATATCAGCAGCAGTTCCTTTCATGCTCTATGACCACACCACCTCCCACTGCTGCTGCCACTCTGGGGACCAAGCTTCCTGAACACAAATCCTTGCATGATACACAAATCATATTGTATAGCAGTTGTCCATAGCAGTTGGCACCTGCTTCTGGACCACTTCAGTCACAATTATGTATGGAAGAAGTAGAAATCATTGTTCCTATGAAGTGAGTTGATGGGATAAAGAAGACTGGTAAGAATTACTTGGTAGAAACTTAACTCGGAATGCTCTGTTCCTGGTCCCACTGCAGACTCAGAATCACCCAGGGTGGAGTTTTGGCATCTGTGGTTACAGCAGCTGTCTGGGTGATCTGATGGATATGCTTTGTAAACAGCCACTGAGCCAAGACCTCATACAAAGGAAGGCCTCTGTTACAATAATGAGATTGCCTTTTGCAGTGCTTTTCAATTCTTATGCCATTGCACAAGTTAGTTAGATTATGTAGATCCTGGGTCTGCTCACTGATCATAATGTATAGTCAGGATTTGAAATGTAATTGTACAACATCTTAGGGGAAAAAAATCCATTTGCCTTCTTATGTAAATGATTGTCAGAAAACAAAAGTCATCATGCCTCGTAGTTTGATTCCTGCTCTCCCCTCCCCACCTCAAGTACAGTAAGTCATGTGTGGTGTAGACTGGTTTAGTGCATATTGATAGTACAAATACTGTTTATTGTTCCTTCTTCAGAAATTAAAAGGGATTTCCTTTAAATAATACTGTTCATTATTAATATAGACTCTTTTAAAGCATGGCTACATAAAATTATAATCTGGTTTTCGTTTCAATTGTCTGTATTAGAAACTATTTCCTTGTCAAATTATGGCATTTTATGATAGAAGGATGATTAAGAGAGGGCAAAAGTAATGAAAAAGAGAATAGCCCACAGAATCAAATAAACTATCTCATTTGTTATTTCCTAGATGAAAAAGTTTGAAATTATATGTATAATATGAATTATCAGGAATATTAAATGTTTGATTTCCAGAGATAACCAGTTTAATCTTCATTAACTGGCCCTTTCTTCATATCATTAAGGAATTCAAGGGGATTCCAGGGCTATTCCTGTAACCTACAGTTTTCCAAATAAGTTAAAACAGTGAGGCATATTTGATTATATGAATATTTAAAAGTACAATTTTATAAGCAATGTTTTGAGTCATGTATAAAATTCTTGCAAAGAAATTCCTTCTTAGAATCCTGGTGATGAAGAAGACAATAAGGGCTAGTAATGGAGGCTCGTCTGGCCACACAAGGCTTATTCATGAAAGAATCTGCAATGTTGACCTAGAATTCCAATTTTCAAAGATTCCTCAGTGTTAATATTGGCTATTCATGACACTATACTTCTCTTTATGCTAAGACTTTGAAAGCTTCTTTGTATATTTCTAGCAATAATTTGTAGATATCAGAGTAATTATTATTCTATGTCATAGTAATGTAAAGTAAAGCAGATTTTGCTAACTCAATGCACCAATTAAAGTAGGTATAACCATATACTACCCGTTATCTGAACTAGTTATGCACAAGTTTGTTCCCACGGTATTTCAATTTGGGGTTCTAGAAATCAGAGATATCAAGAAAAATATTCAAGGGGTGCTTTTCTGATTTATGAAAGGCAGCAGTGCTTGGGGCACAGTGCAGTCTTGTTTGTTTCCACACCTCTTCATTCTATGTGATAGTAACATTTGAGAGCCCTTGAGGCTCCTGTGCACTGAGGACCCAGCCAAGCCAGCGAGCAAGCTTGTTCTCCTTGTTCCCTAACAGCTCTCCCCAAGGTATCTGTTCACAATAAAAAATGTTACTGAAGTTGATTTTATGTGTGTGAGTGGATGTGGAGTTGGAAGAAAGACTGAGCTAAATGGATTAGATTTGTATGTTTTGATAGTATGCAAAATTTAGGGTGACTTTATTGCTTGACTAAGCCCATGGTCGCCGTTTTAATTGTTTAACATTTGTTGCCTGTGAGGTCCTGTGTTTCTTCACGTCTCAGGGGTCACTGGTAGAGGTAGGAGCCTGGCGTCTGATGTGGTGGCTTACTCTGTGCTTGTGTCTTGTGTTCTCAGTTGATAAGCTCCATGAGCTCAGTAGCAGAGCACTGCCTCCCTTCCTTGCTCCGCACCTTGTTTGACTGGTACAGACGCCAAAATGGAACTGAAGACGAGTCATACGAATACAGGCCTCGGTCGAGCACAAAGTCTAAGGGGTGAGCAGCTTATTTTCCCTTCTTCTGCCTGGGATCCAAACACTTCCAACAAAGGAGAGGAAGGTGAATCCTCAGCTGAAGATGATGATTTTTTGGTTTCTAAATGCATGGGAATGGGGGGATGATAGTGATTATAAATCATTTTTTTTTATTCAGGCCGTACTGAGTGGAGGAGGTATTTTCTGCTTAAATTGTAGATCATGAGACCATATCAATTAAAGCTGGTGTAGCCCTCAAGTTCCCATCACAGGGAGTGTGCTTCAAGGTCTTGTAGGGGATTGTAATATTTGGAGACATCAAGAAAATATCCAGGGAAGAACCTATTCACTTGCTTTATGAAGGGATGCAATTCTTGTGAATACAAGAAGACCGCACAGCCCAGCACAAAAATTATAACACTACAATACTCTTCTCAAATCCTTAAATATGGCTTCTGTGCCTTTCCTTGTCCCAGGGAGGCCTTGGCAGGCCTCAGAACATCATTGTGTTCGGTCTGGTCATTGCCCTTAGTTTAGTGTGGGACTTCTGTAGGTGCCACTTTATTTTAAAGCTAGTTTGTACTTTATTTTCATCTATAAAAGTTACTATTTTTATTTCAGTTCACTTTTTAAGTGCTCATATATTCATCTTCATATATTTCAAATACAGAGAGAGAGTTTTTATGTACAGTTAACTCTGCAATGCACACAGCAGCCAGGCCTGAGCCAGGTGAAAGCCAGAACCCCAGAGTCCCATGCTGGCTCCCTCCTGGCTGGCAGAGACTCAGTAACTTCAGCAGTGTCTACTGCCTCTCAGCATGTGCATTCAAAGGAAGTGAGCTTAAAAGTAGAAGAGGATGCAGCCCTCTGTCTGTGTTACTGTGACTTTCAAATGAATAATAAATAAATCTTAAAAACAGATGAGTAAGAGGAAGGACCAGATCCAAGGCACTGATTTGTGATGTAGGCATCCCAGTTGGCTGCTTTACTGACTGTGCCACAGTTCACACCTCTTGTTTCATTTTTTTTTAAAAGCATTTATTTGAAAGGCCCAGTTACAGATTGAGAGAGAAAGAGAAATATCTTCCATCCACTGGTTCACTCCCCAGATGGCCACTGCGCCTGGGACTGGACCAGCTGAAGCCAGGAGCTTGGAACTTCTGGATCTCCTACATCGATACAGTGACCCAAGCACTTGGGCGATCCTCTGCTGCCTTCCTTGGCACATTAGCAGGGAACTGAGTCAGAAGTAGAGCAGCCAGGACTCCAGTTGGCATGCATATGGAATGTTGACACTGCTTAACATGCTTTGCCACAACACCAGTCCCTTGTTTCAGTTCTTAATAAAAAAGAGTTAATAATCAAGTGTATAGCAGTGCTAAGTTTTTAGGATGAAATTTATAATCTCCATTTCTCTTTAGTAATTCTTTTAGCTTAGGTTTAGTTGCTGACATGAAATAGTGAAATGTGTGTATGAACATGCAGTATTGGCTTAATTAAAAATCTCATACAGCTGCTACTGCACATCATACAGAACGTGAACACATTAGGCAATATGAACCTCTAACCCCTGGTTGTTTAAAAACTTGCAGTCTTAAAGCTGATTCTTGGGTTCTTGTTTCAGGGATGAACAGCAACGTGAAAGAGATTATCTTCTTGAAAGGCGGGACTTAGCAGTAGATTTCATTTTCTGTTTAGTTTTAGTTGAAGTTCTAAAGCAGGTAAGTTTTTTTTTTTTTTTTTTTTTTTGCAGCTGCGTCTGTATTTCACAATTTTGCTTACTCTGCCTTCATGTTTGTTTTCTCTCTTGTGTTGGGCCTGAAATGGTAGCCCATGCCAACTAGACCTCTCATTAAATACACATCTTCCAGTCACCTGGGGTTCTCCTGCCCTGTGCCTTTCCATCACTCCCTATTCTTTTTGCATCTAAGATAGGAAATCTTGTTACCAAATTATAGCTGAATAGAAATTGCAGTAACTATAGACTTTGACCACTAAGTGGGCTCTGCTATCATTCAACTATTTCATACTTTTTTACTTCTATTTAATTTCTCTTCCTAAGCCCTCTGGTCTGCCTTCTAACATATAATAATTGTGTAATCATAGATAAGAAATGATGATTTGATAAGGGTAAGACTGAGTTGCTAAGTTCAAATAGTTTTCAGACAAGTGAGATAATGGATTATGTATGTCTATCCACCCAGAGACTATTAGAATGCCTACTGTGTGTTGCTGTTGTGTCAGGACTTGTGCTCATGTGAATGGGACAGAAAGGACAGACAGAAATTTGTACATTGGTTCATTGTGTGTTTTTACTAATCTAAATCGGTACAAGTTTACATACAAACACCAGTTCCAATTCTGAAAGTTGTCTTTAAGTTTGTAGTCTTCTAAAGGTTACATACCATTCAAGAATAAGCCACATAATTTCAGTGAACATGATATCATTTTGAAAGAAGCTAAGAGACATTAACAAAAATCGTATTTTGTATATAACATGTTTGGATAATACTTTTGTTATGTGGAATGAAACAGATAGGAAACAGCCAATATCAGCTATATAATTTATAATTTATTTTTAAATAATTAGCAGTCTCAGTTTTGTGATTTGTTTATACAATGTACATGAAAAAATAACTTCTATGCATGGTAGATAAATGAGTTGACCAAAGGTAAAGTCACTGTAATTTGTACCCTTCAGAAAGGCTTTAATAAAGCAGCAAAGACATTTCCTCTGAGATTTGTGCAAATAAGCCATAATGATTTTTGTGATCTCTCAGGTTAGCTTGGGTGCTAAGAGTTACAAGTCATACATACTAAGTAAGGTAGAAGGAGCTGAGGACCAGAAATGGCTCTAAACCCTGCGTGGACTTTTACTTGGTCCCTAGCCTCTAAATATGTTCAGCATAGGTTGTGTTGAGTGCTTTGGTGGCCATTGTTTTCATTTCTTTGCCTAGATAAAAGGCCAGGGTTACTTCTTCATAGTGGGAAGTGTGCAAACTGCCCCCACTGGTCAGAGCCCTCCATAATCAGGTTCCAGGCTCGTCCCTCTTATCTACATGTTGCCTCCAATACTGCTGGCTTCAGTGAAGCCTGCGGAGATTTTCGCTTTTTTCCCCTTTCTCTTTTCTCTTTCCTCTCAGTAGCCATGTTCCCTCTCTTGTCTTCTTCCTCTGCTTGTTTTTAAATAATCCAGATTGCTCTTCTGCTCTTTTCTAAATTGTGATCTATGAACTTAGATATCTTTAAAATTGGGTTCATTGCTCATATTTGCTGCACAAAATCATTTATGACTTATGGTTCATATGGCCTAAAAATGTGAAAAAGAAATATGCTGGTTCTGTTGGTTAGTCTTTGTCTTTGGTTCTTTAACTCTTCTGTTCCAACTCATGCACTTTGCCTTTACCCTCACTTCTCCATTGTCAGCCTCATCCCTTGATTCAGAAGCACTTGTCAAAGAAAAAAATGTATCATCAGAACATAGATATATAGTGTTTTACATAGATAAAGCATAGGGACTTTCCCCACTAGCAACAGGCATGTTGTTGCAACTTTCCCAAAACTAATAAAACTGCAGAAGATGTAGTAAAAATCAATAACACTTTCTGAAGTACTTTGATAAACGAAACCAATTTTCTTCTGTCAAAATGACGCAGCATTTAATAGATCCAGGGGATAATCAATGCAATATGTTTTGAATTTAATGGGACCTTAATTTTGTCCTCTGTGATACACCTATATTTAAATCAGTTGTATTTTGGCAAGTTAGACATATCCAACAGTATTGACATGTTGATGCATAATTGCTTCAGTGTTTAGGAGCAATAAGTATTCTTTGTAGTTAGTCCTTGGAATCATATAGCTCATTCATTCCTTGGATAGCTTGTTCTGTCCTTGGTAATAATCACATGGGCTTAGAACTCCTGTGTGTGAAGAACTCTGCATCCTTTCTGCCAACTGATCATTAGAGTAAATGCTGGAAGATGAACCCAGCAGATAATATCCCAGCTGTCTCGCTTGCTTGCTGGGTAACTTTGGGCAAGTTACTATCCACTAATCATTTTTGTAGAATTAGCATTAAATATGATAATGCCTGCTGAATGGAAAGTACCCAGTCAAGGCTTTTTCTTTCACTTTACAAATACTGAGGATTATTAAGCTAGATATTTTTTTTTTACTCCTGTCTTTCTACATTGAATAGTAAAAACAAATTTAGTTTTTGGTGAGTCATTCAAGTGAAATGAGGTGAAATGGCTAGTATTTTATAGAGTTACAGTTTTAATCATAAAAAGTTGCAGACAATTACTAGTTAATATAAACACAATGAGATTAAGTAGTGTGAGTCACTATGGGAACAAAATGAACTCAAGAAGATAGAAGATTAAATTTTTGTTCGGGAAAGTTAGATTGTACTAGTGGCCAGCTATTGATTGTGCTAATACCAAAGACTTTTAAAATCTATGATTAAAGCATGTTCAAACAACAAAAGATTCAGGAAATAGAAAGTAATTTTTACTTTTATATTGGATTTTATTCCTGCATTCATTGAACAAACGAAGTTGGAAAATCTAGTTGTGAGACATTTCAAGCTCTTGGCTTAATTTAAGTGGTGATATCTTGTTGGTGCATAGAATAGATCTTTAGCCTTTTTGATTTAGCATTGGTGATTTGAAGGTTCACACCATGGGATATTTTCTGTTACTGCTTATGTGTAAATCTCTCCCTTGTGTTGAGACTTGATCATTTAGCTAATGAATGAACCTTGTCTCAGCACAAGTGTAATCCTGTACTAAATAAAGACTTCAGCACATGATAAGTAGAAATATTTAAGAGTGTAGGCAAGGGCTATGAACAATAATGGGTCTGTACTTTTCTAATGTGATAAAAGCATTACGTTTTGGAAGATGGTGACAGGAGTATTTTTCAGTAAGTATTTATTTCAAAGGCACAGTGATAGAGAAAGAGGGAGACCAAAAGATCTTACATCTGGTTTACTCTCCAACAGCTGCAACAGGCAGGGCTAGTCTAGCTCTGGCCCAGGAGCCAAAAAATTTATCCTGGTCTCCCACTTGTGTGGTAGGGATCCAAGCATATTACCCAAGCTGAGTGGAAAGCAGAGTGCCAATATGGGCTGCTGGATATGGCATTAACCCAGTCTGCCAAAATACTGGCTCTGGCCTTGGATTTGGATATTCTTTAATGAAAGAATACACCTTCCTTGAATGTTCAGGGAAAATTAGAGCTGCTTCTAAAATCACACTGAAGTTTAAGATTTAAATATCCTTCTGCTAGAAATGGAAATATTACTCCATGGAAGTGAAACTCTTTTGCTTTGAACTGAAACTAGATTCTCTCTTCCCCTACCTTTTTTTTTTAATTGAGCTTGAAAAGGTATCTTTTGTATGCAAAATGAAGAAATAGAACTTCTAGGATGTCTGTGCATTCTTATAAATTTTACTCTTCACACAACAGCTGTAGATTTTGTTCATTTTTCTTCTAAAAATTAAATATATATCCAACATATATCCATCTCAGTTGTTATTTCACTATCATTTCTAGCTATAAGATCGAAAGGTTTCCGTACTTAGTTGTTTCATTTATTAAATGCATTTTCACTTAGAAGCTGGAGAACAAGTATTATAAGCAGTTATTAACGTCTGAACTTCAGTTCCTGTGTCTGTAAAGCAGAGAATAAGTCATTTACCTTGTGAGGCTGTTAGAAATAATGTGTATAGAAACACATAGCTATTTCCTAGTTGATAGTGGTCGGAGTAAGGCAAGAAGAAAGAACGGGCAGCACAACCACGTGTTTCTGCAGATGTCTGTGTTAGTCTTCAAACCCAGCTAGAGCAAAGAAAGACTTGCAGAGAAATCAAGACTTAAAGACACCTTGTGTTTCATTTCTTCCTCCTAGAGCAAACAGAACCTCTCTTGTGGAAATTATTATGGTAAAACCACAGCCTGGCAAGTGAGATGCAGAAGGTCCAGCCAGTTAAAACACCATTTCACATTACTTTAAGATCACAGAAGCATCTGAGGCTGACCTGCCTGTTTAGTTAGTAAGTTCTGGGAGTCAAACTGCTGGATCCAAATCCCTCTTTCTTTGATTTATTTATTAGTTTAAGAGTCATTTGTATTTATTGGAAAGGCAAATCAGATTTACAGAAAGAAGGAGAGACGGATCTTCCATTGCTGGTTCACTCCCCCAATTGCCACAACACCCAGAGCTGAGCTGATCTGAAGCCAGCAACCAGGAGCTTCTTCTGGGTCTCCTACATGAGTACAGTGTACCAAGGCTTTGGGCCATTCTCTGTTGCTTTCACAGGTTATAAGCAGAGAGCTGACAGGGAAGGGGAGTAGTCAGAACATGAACCAGTGCCCATATGATCTCGGTTTGCAAAGTGAAGATTTAGCCATTGAGCCATCACACCAGGCCCCACATCCCTCTGTCTTATTCATGGCTTAAGTCTAGCATCACCTAGTGGCAAACATCTGCCTTGTTTTAGGTATCAATGAGATAGATGACTATAGCACTTCGATTTTCTCATTACCTCAGGGCTTGTTTTATTTGGCCCAAATGCAGGACAACCATCCAAGGCAAATACAAAGGTTATCTATCTATCTTCTGGTTTGCTGGGATTTGGTTTCTTCCTTTTTCTCACTTGACTTTGCTTTCTTTAAATCTCTGCCTCAAACTCTAGCTGCTTTAGCTGCCCTGCTCTTCAGGAGGTAAACATTTTGGTGGGCTCCTTTTAGAGAAAGATAGAATGGATGAGAAGGCAAGACTCAACCTGTAGTCGTAATATACTGGGACTTGCCTTCTCGCGGGGCCCATGATAGGCCCTTAACCTGTGATGTATATTTTTGAGAAAGCAGAGAAGTACTCAGGTTGATGTAGTTTGTGAAAAGAGAATCTTTGGTTCCACGTCTCTAGTTTTCCCATGCTTTTATAATGAAGAAAATGTTTTTGCTTATTGTGTAAAGGTTTGATTATAGTTTGCTTCTAAGTAATTGATTAGCTTGGTGTACTATAAAGAAATATTCTAGCCATGCTATATTCGGTTTTCCTGGCTAGGACCATACCACTGAGTCATAAGAGAAGTTACCCAGTAAAGCATTGCTGCATATCGCATCCTCTGGAGCTGTTCTCGTCATCTCCGAGTGATTTCAGTTCTCTGGTTCCCCATCTATCTACCTTATAGCTTTCTTGGTTTTATTTAGTATCTATATTATAATTTGGTCTTATTGATAAAAGTGTTACATAGGCTATTTCATCAAGAATCACCAATGAAGGTGTTTGTTTCGAAAAGGACCCCTGGCCTTCAGGATTGAATGCATCATAATATTAGCTTGAGACACACTGTTTGTATTTGATTTCTGTATAGCGAACTACTTGAGAGTGCTTTGAAGAGTCCATTTTGATTTAAAGAGGTTCCTAAACCATCAAATGTAGAGTTGATTACGTTCGATAAATAACCAGATTCTTGGGGAGAGCCATGAGATCCTCAGAAAAAGGAAAGGTAGATTAGTAATAGGTTATATCATGAAAATTAGAAATTGGTCAACTAGTTGAAGTACTGAGAATGCTCATAAAAGGCTCATCAGTACCTTTTTAACTCTGTTGATAATTTTATTTAATCACAGATTCCCGTTCATCCTGTACCTGATCCCTTAGTTCATGAAGTTCTGAACTTAGCTTTTAAGCACTTTAAACACAAGGAAGGGTAAGTGGATTGTTGTTTTTCTCTGAGTTCCAAAATAAGTATAATTGGTGTTTAATTGAAGTTCTTGATCATGTTTTTCTTGAATCCACACACAAAGCTTGTAAGAAAGGTTTTGTGAAGGTGTCTTTTGACACTGTCAGTTGGATTTTAAAAAGCCAGAAGGTTCAATTTCGTGGCAGATTAAAATCTAGAGATAAAAGAAAATGTGAAATATGTGTGTTTTTATTCTGTAAATGCTTATTTAGAGAAAATTATATAACACCACGATAAAGGACTTTTCAAGTTCATTAAGAATGAATTTGTAGAAAAATGTAATGGAATGTTTGCTCTCTTGTTCTAGATATTCAGGAACCAACACTGGGAATGTGCATATTATTGCAGATTTATATGCAGAGGTGATTGGGGTTCTTGCCCAATCCAAGTAAGTCTTATGAATCATTAATTTTCATTTCTTAAAGAATGCTTTGTTACTAACAATTATACTACTGATAGTTTTATATCCACCATTTTCATCTGGGCATTATTGTGAGGTCGTCTGCCTTCCTTAGGGGCACCTAACACATCCTCAGTTTCATAGCTTGTTTTCATTTGGGATTTTCCATAAATTTCTGAATCAAAGCAGCTAGAATTTATCAAAAATAGTCAAGGTATTATCTTATTCCCTATTTTTAACACTTCCACAAGAAATATTTTTAATTTTTTTTAACTCTGTGTAAAGCTAATAACTTATTACTGCTTTCCATTAAGTATATATTTCTATGTTTATAATAAAATATCTCCCTTGCGCCATTGCCCTGGTGTGGTAGGTTAAGCCAGGATCCCATATGGGTACCAATTCTAATCCCTGCTGCTCCACTTCCCATCTAGTTGTCTGTTTGTGGCCTGGAAAGGCAGTAGAGGACAGCCCAATGCTTTTGTACCCTGCACTTGCGTGGCAGACCTGGAGGAAACTCCTGGCTAGGCCACTTGTGGCCACTTGGGGATACTGAACCAAGAGACAGAATCTTTCCTCTCTGTCTCTCCTTCTCCCTGCAAATCATACTTCCCAATAAAAGTAAATAAATCTTAAAACACACGCACACACACACACACACACACAAACAAGGAATCTTTGTCCTTGAAGTCATCATGTAACAATTTTTATGAGTTCTAACAAGCACAGTTATTGTTAATGTTTGATGTTTAGCTATTTAATATTAAATGATACTTTTTCTTTTATATATATATATTTATATTTTGTTATTTACTTGGAGGTGTTTTGTGGTAATGTTACTTGATTGTATTTTTCTTACGATTATTAATTTGTAAAATTAATACCACAATGATACCATTTTTCAAATAAAGAAATTCCCTTATTTCTCATTTAGGAACTTGTAATAATAAAATAAATGAACAACCCCCTTTGACTCTCAGTAATTTTTGATGAGGGCAGAGGAAGAATGTAATAGGTAACACTCATTGTGATTTCACCTTAAAAATCATGCTTGAAATTAATGATGTTAATTCATATCAAACTCTTTCTATATTTAAGGTTTCAGGCTGTTAGGAAGAAATTTGTGACAGAATTAAAAGAACTGCGACAAAAGGAACAAAGCCCACATGTGGTACAAAGTGTAATCAGCTTGATAATGGGAATGAAGTTCTTCCGGGTGAAGATGTATCCTGTAGAAGATTTTGAAGCATCTTTTCAGTTTATGCAGGTGATGTACCTTCTGGATGGCACAGATTAGATGAACCCGACAACTGGAGTTAATCTTGCTCTTTTTTTTTTTTAAGATTTATTATTTATTCTTATTGCAAAGTCAGATATACAGAGAGGAGGAGAGATAGAGAGGAAGATCTTCCATCCGGTGATTCACTCCCCAAGTGAGCGCAACGGCCATTGCTGTGCCAATCTCAAGTCAGAAACGAGGAACCTCTTCCAGGTCTCCCACACGGGTGCAGGGTCCCAAAGCTTTGGGCCGTCCTTGACTGCTTTCCCAGGCCACAAGCAGGGAGCTGGATGGGAAGTGGAGCTGCCGGGATTAGAACCGGTGCCCATATGAGATCCCCACGTGTTCAAGGCAAGGACTTTAGCCTCTAGGCCACTGTGCCAGGCCCTATTCTTGCTCTTTGTAAGAAACAGAGCGTACGTGCATTAGTGTCATCATAGTTAATCTTTCACTCCAAGTGCTGAGTTGGACTCACATCCTTTTTGACTAGAAGATACTTTGAATATAGTTTTTGTTTTTCATAAATATAACATATACTTCAAATTACCATAGTATCCAAATTCTTTAACCTTTCCTTTTTTGTTAATTTAAATATACTTTCTTCCCTTCAAGGAATGTGCTCAGTATTTCTTAGAAGTAAAGGATAAAGATATAAAACATGCACTTGCTGGTTTATTTGTGGAGATTCTTATCCCTGTAGCTGCTGTAAGTATATTTTTGTTTTTGTACCATTCATGGGTCATCTGAACCTAACAGACTTATATTTTCATCTCTTCTCCCCAAAACTCTATCAAGGCAGTAAGTTTGAGCTGTCAAAGAGCTTTTGTCATTGGTTTTCTACTCCTCTGCAGTTGTTTTCTCTTGATCAATGGGAAGTTTTTATATCTCCTTTCATATATGATTATCTTTGTTTTTTTATCCATGTTTCATTCTACTTAACATGTTAAAACATGAAGAAATTTATTTTCATGTTGAACAATTGAACTGCTCTGGTTTTCATTTTTAAGCATTGACTCATTGATTTGTCACTGATATGTCTGTATGAATTATAGAACTCAGAGCCTACCTTTAAATAATGTCTTAAAAAGGTAGGAAATTGCAAGAAAGTTAAAAATATAAAAATATTAGTGTCACAGCAATCATCATGACTTTTGTTTTTGCCTGTCTTGAATTTTTCTTATAATTATTTGACATCTTCAAAACAGGTTATGGATTACATTTTAAGTGGCTTGAGTCAGTCCCATAAATCCTATTCCAGTTTTGAATAATGTGAATCAGATTCATTTTATTGAAAACAGGCTTTTTGTAAAACCATGTCAGCTGAGGTCTGTTATCACTAGCACATGCCCTTCAATTTCTCTTCCTTCTTTCACCCATCACAAACTGTCATTACTGCTTTCTCCCTTGTCTGATCATCTGTTTTGGTCAAATGTCCAGCTGGAATTAGGTTATAGGATTTTAATTTTTTTAATTTATTTTTTGTATTTGAAAATAAGAGCAACAGACCAAAAGGGAGAGGCAGAAAGAAAGAGATCTTCCATCCATTGGTTCCCCAAGTTGTTACAATAGGCAAAACTGGCCCAGGCCAAATCCAGGAGCCTGGAATTCCATCTAGACTTGGGTGGCAGGGACCCAAGCATTGGCACATCTTCCTCTCAGAGTTGAAAGGTGACTTGTTTGGAAGTAGAGCAGCCAGGATTCAAACACTTCAATATGGAGTGCCCACAGCTTAGCTGAATGTTCCACAGCCTGGGACCCCGTTTGCAATTTTTGAGGCAATTCATCTAAAGGAATCATTTGTAGGAAGAACATCTCTTGACAATGGTGCATATCACTGAATTGCTGAATGCTTTTATGCCATGCTTGCTTTTGTGTTCTTGTATATTAGTTTGCTACCCCTGCCGAAATAAAGCCCCCTAGGTTGATTGATTTAACAACAGAAAGTTAGCATCTCAAGTTATGCGACATAGTTAGGGAGGCTAGAACTCTGAAGTCAAAGTGTTCTGAGGGCTGTCAGCAAGATCATATTCACGTGGTTTCATGGAATTCTGGTGTTCTGGATCCGTAGCAGCATCCCCTTGATTTCTGTCTCCACTTTTATGTGACATTTTTCTTGTGTTCACCAACCCCTTACCCTACCTTAATTTTCCATGAACTGTTTCCAGAGAAAGTCATATTCTGAGGTACGTGGGGTCAGGACTTCAACGTAACAGTTTCGTGGGGTGACACAGTTCCACCTCTAACAGCAAACCTCCACACCCACTGGTAGTTCCTTCTGCCTGGAACATTCCTTGCCCTCCATTCATTATACACTCACATGTAATCTGTGTGTCATCCCTCGCCTGTGCACAAGGAGTACAAAATAGACCTGTGCTACATAGGCAGCAGAGCAGCAAGGGCTATATAAACTATGTCATGAGTCAAGTGCAGAAAGTACTGTGCTGCCAAGACCTATCCTCGGGAGAGAGGGGATGAGCATTGCTGGAGTGTTGGAGGCTTCAGTATGTTATAAGGAATGTGATTAGCAAAGGCCTTCACTTTAAAGAAATGGAGACAGTTGGCAAAAATGAGACGAATGTGAGAGGCTGTCTCAGGAGAATGAGCTTTAAAGGCAGAAGAAGGATGAGCATTCTTTGATGTGTTCTAAGGCCCCCAAGGGAGCCAGCACAGGGACGCAGTAGTTGGAGACAAGGCAGCAGAGGTTAGAAGGGAGGCTTTTGCAGGGTTTTTGGTAATTTAGGCAAGGATGACCTTAGATGTTACTTCTTTGGGAGTTTTGCTAGGGGCCTCTTCTGAGGGCTCCAAGAGCAGAGTTTGCACTCAGAACACCTATTATTCTGTGTACTCATTGCCTGCTCACTTGCTTGAATTCTCTGTTCTCTCAGGACTGGAGCCAGGTTGATTTAAGGCTTATTGACTTAAGGCTTGGTTTGGTCATATGGCACATTATAACACTTCAGGGAGAACCTCTGTGAATTATTAACCCTTTTTAAACCTTATAGAACACTTTGTAATCATGTATGGCTTCATGTCTGTGACCATTGTCTTTCTGTTTGCATTATCTTTTTATCTAGGCTGTTAAAAATGAAGTGAATGTTCCTTGTTTGAAAAATTTTGTGGAGATGCTGTATCAGACTACTTTTGAACTGAGCTCCAGAAAGAAGCATTCACTGGTACTGAGAAACATTTCAAAACTTTACATATTTAATTCATTTTTAGTATTTTTAATTTAGTAGGGATTTAGGAGAATTAGGAAATTTGAAATGATAAATGCCCAGAAATAGAATAATGCAATGAAAGATTTTACATATGGCAGCTTCTCTTGCTATATTTTATGCCTGCTGTTCTTAGTTTTACTAGCTCTGTATTTAAATGAGTTTTCAGACTTCCTTCTAGGTGTTTTATCTCTTGACAAGTGCATTAAATTATGTATTAAAATATAAATGGAATACAAGTTTACATTTTTGCTATAGGTGCCATTGTTTTTTCATTTATAATTAGTTGTGTGAAAATTACTTACTTTTTCTGAGAGATGGAAAGAAACAATGAGGGCCCCTGTTTTCTGGCTCACCTCCTAAGTGTCCTAGCTCAAGCCAGAAGCTTGGAATTCAGTCCATAGCTATTATGTGACAGACAGAGATCCCACTGTTTGAGCCATTAGCTGGTACCTTCCTGGGTGTGCAGTAGCTTGAAGTTGGAATGGGAGCAGAGCTGGACCCCAGTATGGGATGTGGGCATGTCAGTTTGTATCTTAACAGCTACACCAAATGCCCACCCCATAAATTTTAAAGATTTATTTATTTTTATTGGAAAATCAGATATACAGAGAGAAAGAGAAACAGAGAGGAAGCATGAATGGCAGACTGCTCTGTGATCCCAGAGCCTGGGTTCAAAGCACAGTGGTAGATGAGGGAAAAGCGTGCTCTGATTCAGCATGATGGCTTATCGGACTTTTCTTAAAGGAAATTCATCCATTGTCCTCTGTTAGATTTTATTTCTTATTACAAATGGATTAAACTTTTTTTTCTTTGGTTCGCTTGTTCATTTCTGAAACTCAGTGAAGTATAAACTTACCAGTCTAGCACTTTTCCATATATAATTTTCTTTTTTCTCTATCTCTTATAGGCTTTATATCCGCTAATTACCTGCCTTTTATGCGTCAGTCAAAAGCAGTTTTTTTTAAATAACTGGCATATTTTCCTACAAAACTGTTTGTCACATTTAAAGGTAAGAAGTAATCATGTTCCTGACCTATAATTACTGCTGGTGATTTATTCATTTATGCGCATATATTGAACAGCGTGTAATAAAACTCATTACCTGTGCTACATTTGAATGGTAATACTTTGCTCCATTTGCTGTGTTTATTTCTTCTCAAAGGACTCATGTGTAGACTAGTTTAAAGCCTTAATCTGAGAATTTACCTTGTATTAATACAAAATTGTATATTCTCCATGATTACTTGTATTGTCTTAGGTCTGGAAATATCTGCTTTTTAAAATTTCGTAGTTAGTTTCTAACAGATTGAATGTGATTTGTAGATGGAACTCTTAATTCAACAGAATTGCAGGGTATTTATTTAATAAAACTCTTCCAATACTTTTGTTTAGAGCAAACTCTGTAATGTCAAGTCTAAGCAATATGAGAAAAAGCTTTTGACAATAAAATATCTCTAAAAACACATTATGAAAGTAAGCCTAGCCAACCCTCAAAGCAGAGTCCTGGATGCACAAAGATGGCCGAGGCCCAGAGATGACCAGCACTCAGGTGAAGGGCCATTTCTTAGTAACAGCTGCTTAGCGCATCCATCTTCAGTCTGTTTTGTGAACATAACTGAGAGAGATGGAAGAGTTCTTTTCTTCTTCGAATGCTATGCTAGCAGAATACTCTTTTGTTTTTCCCTTCCTGAGTGGAACACATACTGGGGCCCAGAATGTGGAATCCTCATTTGCATGTCTCAAGGAAGCTCCGTTTGAATATTCTTTTGATGTTCAAACATAGTTATATGAGTCTATTTGAATATTTACTTACAAGAAACAAACATTTGTAGACATGACATTTCATTTCTTGTTTTTACTTTGTTGTATTTGAGACTGAAAACTTTATATTTTGAAGATAATATAGCTGAGGCATGAATATATTATGTAACCTGTGTCCGTTGTAATGATCTGATAGAACTGGTTTCTCCTTCCTACTTCAGGAATGATCCGTAGGATGTTATCCTATAAATATTTCTCATGATTTGGGCTAATATTTTCGAATATTTGGTTTACTATTAAGGTTCATAGAGAATATTTATGAGTCTTGGGAAAATGTTTTTCCTCCTAGATATATATATAGACAGTACTCATGCTTAAATGAGAATTGATATACACTCTGCTTTAGTTATGAAAATTCCTAGGAGCAAATCATGCTGATAAAACTCTGTCATGCAACCAAGAAACAAATTGTATTTAACAAATGATATTATACTGGTTTCTGTATTTTGATAATTTATATAGGTATACATACCAAAAGGGAATTCATCAATTTCTGAGTTGTATGATTCTCATACTTAAAATAGGATATTGTTGAGGCCTGCATTTAAGCGTTTTCAGAAGGTTGCTTTGTCCCATGACAGTTCATACTTTTCTGTTGCTTGTTGGAATTTTTTTTATATATATATATACGTTTTCACCTAACATATTTGCAATACTTTCGCAGTACCTTAACTTTTTTTTGTGGTCTTACGGCTTTAATTTAAAATGCTTTGTTTTCTTTGAACCCTTCCCTCCTGTTAAATATTTCTGACATATTGTCCATTTTCATTAATGGCTATGTCAACCTGCCAGTCTAAAGGAGATAAGAGCCACTTAGCATGAGTAGTTGGAGTATAATTGTCTTGGCATTAACCCTTAACTTACATTAAGGCTCTATTCAGCAGAAATTATATCAATTTCTCCTGTCAAGTTTTAGATAATGTGGCTATTTTACATAGTTGAGCTAAGACATCAGCCATTCTCAGGCAAAATATTCTAGTTATCTCCTGTAACAGTTACACACTTATCTGTTTAATATGAGCATATGGATACTATAGACTCAAGAGGTAGTTTTACCTAAATTGATTCTTTTATGAAATTCATGTACTTTCTAGGTTTCAGGAAAAATCTGAAATATTTTTCCATTTATTAGACCCATTTATTATGATGTCTTTTTATTAAAATTTAGTAGATACTAGGAAGATTCTCTAAATATTTATTTGTGTTATATTCTCTAAATTATCTCTAATTTAATTTTCACCATGTCTGAGGGTGAAAAGAATAAGCAACCAACATTTAAGGAGCCAGTAGTTATAGAAATAGAGTTGCTTCCAGATTCGTTCATTTATATAATTCTGGCCCATCATTCTGCCTTGGAATGGATTGTAAGGAATGTTGCTACACTGAATATTTTCAGAAAACATTTTTGGTTATAATTCTGTAAAATTAAAGCTGTTATTCTCTGGAACCATAAGAATAAATATGATGAATTCTCAAGACACTCTAAGATACTGCAGCTTTTAAGAAATTGCCATACCAGCTTTCTAAGTTGGTAACCATGAAATATGGGCTTTTATTCCTTTATACCCATAAGTATCATGTGAGAAAGTCTCCCTTTATTTTCAATGAAGTAGTAAATTTTTAAATTTAGAATTTGGTAGTTTAACATTTTTTATTTTTATATCAGTTTGGGAATTTATTTGGAAAAAAGATCTAAAGTTTCTGAAGAATTTTCAACAGTATTATCAGAAGGATAATAACAGTAAACATCACACACAAGAAATGTAAATATTTTTTCCATATACACTATGCTTATTTTCTTTTAAAAAAATTACATTTCTTACAGTTCACAAGCAACTCTTTTAGAGAAAGAATTAGAGTCTTGGAAATTTAACTTTTTTTTTCCAGTTGGAGTACTGTAGGCATGTCCCATGTTCTCCAAATTGTGGGATTTGTCCTTTACTTAATGTTTCTGGCCACTGTCTTGGACATTTCAAATTTCTCCTCAATAGAGACCTTGGTGAAGACCTGTCTTGTGTTGTGCTTATTTTCATCTAACATGCATGTGCTGCATCTCATGTTTATGTTTGCTGTCTCACATTGCTTTATTTAGATGCCATCTAACAACAGTATCAGAAAACAGATAGAAACACTCCAGGTGAGTTGGGTTGACCTCACAGAGTTAAATACTACTTTGTTTCCTGTAAGTGTGACCAGTTTTTTCCTTTGCCAATTGTTGCACTGCATGCATTCATTCAGATATGCTTCTAGTATTATAAAAGAGGGATAGCCCACAGCAACTGCATTCTTCAGAAGGTTCAAAATTAAAAAAAAAAAATTCAGTTTTATTTCATTTGAAAGGCAGAAGATTTAGTATTAATGAGGCCTAAGAGGAATATAAGAAATAGAAATGATACTGAATGCTAATTTTTTTTTTTTTTTTTACCAAAACACATCCAAAGCCTTTTCCAATGAAGGAGACAATTACAGGTTTTCAATATAATTTTGATGAGGGAGTTTTTTAAACATTTATCCTATTGATTTGGATTTTAAACAAAATTTTGTAAGTTCACTGCAGAAAAAATTGAAGAAAAATATAAGACGATTGATACTGAAGGTCATATATGATCATGTAGGCACTTACTTAGGAAAAGTTGCTGTGTAAAATAGAATTTCAGTATTTTTGATGTATAATTTTTCTTGATATCTTAACATTTTGATGCAAAGTTGTATGCTCACAAAACCAATTGAAGCAAGTTTTTAAAGACTTTATCTTGTAGTACTTTTAGGTTCACTAATAAAATTAGAGGATGCCCCTCACACACAGCCTCCCACATCTCAACATCCCCTACCAGAGTGCTGCATTTGCTACAATGGCTGAACCAGCATTGCTACCCAAAGGGTTCATCTGGTTGCCGTGCATTCTGTGGGCTTGGACAATTATTATAGAGGGTCTTGAAAAGGTTTGTGGAAAATGTATTTCATGCAAAAGAAAAAACATGGGTTTCAAAATTTCTGCACCAGATAAGCTTATCTTTAATTTCATTTTCCCACAAATCTTTTGAAGTACTCTTGGATCACAATGTAAGTACACAGTGACCATCTCAAACAGGGTATCCTCCTGCTCAGAGAGTCCTCTCTCTGTCTCTTCATCCGTCTTTATCTTCGCAATTCCAGACTCCAGTTGTGACTTGATGTCTGATAAATTAAATAATTGAAAGTTAAGTTAGTACAAAAACTTGATTAAACATGCAGCACACATACATTCTATGTTACTTTAGTGTATTGGCAATGGAAAGCTACCTGGAGAGGATGCTTAGTATTAGGAATCCTAATGGATCTGGCAATGAAGAGGGTGATTGATACTTGAGGAAATAATCAATGGAGTAATTGATTTTTCATTGTTCATCCTGCTAAATCTCTATATAAGTACATTTTTTATCAGATATATCTTTTTTAGGAAAAAAATCGTTTGCTGTTTTGCATTGCTTTTAATCATATAATGTCCATTAATATATATCGTAAAGAAAGATGCATAAAATATTCTAAAATATATTTTAGAAAATATTTGTAAATCGCCATATATATAGTGTTTAATAATCATATCTTGCAAACCAAAAATTTATATAATAATTTGGTGTCTTACAACCAATCAACAGATGTATAATGAGTATTTTTTTTAAATAAAGACCATGATTAGCTACATTTGCAAAATTCAGAGTTAAAGCTCATGACATGATTATGGTCATTTAAGAACGTCAATTCTTGTTATAGCTAGAATGAAAGAATTTGCTGCTCAAATTGTAATTAATATGTAATAATTGCCTGATTTTAATGTAATAAATAATAAGTACATTAATGTTCTGATTCTAAACTTAAAGGAATTACACATGACACTTACTAGACCACTGAACATGTGCAAGGCACTGCTCCAAGTGATCCACAGATACTTGCGTCCTTCATCTGTGAGGCAGGTGCCATGATTTCTCCCTTGTGGAAATGAGGACATGTTTGCATTGTAACCAGTGTCCAGGGTCAAGGCTTTACATGTGACACCAGCGCCCACTTTGTTTCTATGAGTCCATGTGCTTGACTCTTTATGTTTCATAAGGGTGCATACTCAGGACTACTTTGCTTTACTTCATGAAGGCACATGAGTGTAATTCTGCTAATGTTTTCCTTTTTCTTCCTGCCTCTGGGCTGCATGTGAATTATTCTAATCTGTCTTTATGTCAACACAGGACACTTCGGAAGTTCATGATATAATAGAGATCAATATTTTGATGCAAAAACCTTTTGAAATCCATGCATGTTTTTTTCAAAATGTGTATTTTCCTTGAACTTTTTAAAGACCTCTCCAACCGTATTAAATGAAGTATTAAGTAAACTAATGTGTGTGTGTATATATATATATATGTATGTATACTACATATATTATTTTAGACTCCTGGAAAGATTAAAATATTTCTATATTTCTATATTAGTAAAGAAAAAAGGAGGACTCAGAATTTCCTTAGGTGACTTTTATATAAGCTATCAGTAGGGATTCAAGAAGTTTGTGGACAAATGAGATGATTAAAAAAGAAATGGGCATTTCCCACAATTTCCCACAGACTTTGGACTCGACACTTAAAAGAAATGTGCCTGCATATTAACACCTGTTTTAGATTAATACACAAAAGATGGATGAAGGCTGTTAGTTATTAGGAATGTATCTGATTTCAAATGATGCCAAGCATTTTTAATACGTTTATTTTTTTCTCTCTTGTCTTTAAACAGAATAAAGATCCGAAAATGTCTCGAGTTGCACTGGAATCCTTGTATAGATTGTTGTGGGTTTATGTAATTAGAATAAAATGTGAAAGCAACACTGTAACTCAAAGGTGAGTGCCTTTGTTTTGTATTTAAAATATTCCCTGACAATTCACATTAATGGAATTTTAGTTAGATTTCTAAAATATCTATTGTAACAATATAATTCTCCTGACCTATTATGCAGAATAGAAAAGAAGCTTTTGGCCAATATAAATGTCTTACTCTCACTATGATTAATCATTTTTCCTGTAGTCGTCTTATGAGCATAGTGTCAGCACTTTTTCCAAAAGGCTCCCGAAGTGTGGTTCCTCGTGACACACCTCTCAACATATTTGTGAAGATCATTCAGTTCATTGCTCAGGTGAGTGCATTTACTCATAATACAGTCATATGTACCTATGAGCATAGGAAAATGCAGAATTCATGAATGAATTGAAAGTTGACTTGGGGACAAAAACTTTGAAATCTATCCATACAGGGCCTTTTGGACATCTTGTGGAAAATGTGTATTATGCAAAAAAAAAAAAAAGCATAGATGTCAAAATCTTTTTACACCAGGTCAGAAACCCAGACTGAATTCCAGGCTCCCAACTTCAGCCTAACCCAGCCTTGGCTAATGCAGGCATTTGCGGACTAAACCAGTGAATGCAAGATCTCTGTCTCTGTGCCTTTCAAATAAATAAGCACATTAAAAATAAAAACAGGACCAATCAGGTTAAGCCACTGCCCACTGCTCGCATTGCCAGCATCCTATTATCAGAGCCCCAGTGGCAGTCCTGGCTGCTCTTCTCCCACTCCAGCTCCCTGCTAATGCACCTGGGGAAGCAGCAGAAGATGGCCCAGGTGCCTGGGTCCCTGCCATCCGTATGGGAGAGCTGAATGGAGTTAATCCCGGCCAGCCGCTGAGTATCATGGTTATTTGGGAAGTGAGCCAGCAGATGAAAGATCACTCTCCCTTTCTCTGTCACTCTACCTTTCAAATAAGTAAAATACCCTTATATATAAAAAACAAATAAATAAAAAGAAAAACTTTGGAAAAAAAATGTACATCCTTGGAAATAGCAGATAATGTACAAAGTGCTTGGATTCCTGACTCAGATGTGGGAGACGCACATTGAGTTTCTGGCTCCAGTCTTTGGCCTGATGCAGCCCTGTCTGTGGTAGGTGTTTGTGGAGTGAGTCACCCATTTCTCTCCCCACCTCTCTGTCACATTGCCTCTCAAGAAAAAATTTTTTGAATGTTACCCTGTATATTTGGGTGTTATCTGGTAAAAAAAAAAAATATGTATATATAGAGAAAAGGCATGTTTTAATTCATGAAATTTTTTTTTCAGCTAGATTTCTGTACCTCTCAGGACACAAACTTGTGTTGTTAGCATTATATGTGTAATTCTTAGTATTATACCTGACATACAATAACAAGTTTAAAAATTTACTAATTGCTTTGTTTTTCCTAGGAACGTTTGGATTTTGCAATGAAAGAAATCATATTTGATCTTCTTAGTGTTGGAAAATCAGCTAAAACTTTCACCATTAATCCAGAGGTAAAATGTATTATTTATAATTTAATAATATGTTTCCATATGTTCTTTAATTTTTGAGGATAGTTCCTGGATCAGAACTCTTAAATCCAAATTCTAGCTGTACTTTACTACAGTGTTTATTCTACAATGTTTCTAGTTCTAGTTCTACAGTGTTTATTAACTACGATGTTTATTCTAGTTGTGTGGCCCTGTCATTCTCAGGTAAACTGTAATTTGCTCTTCAGACATTACCTTTTCAGAATATTTCAGAGCATCTTAGTAATTGCTTATGGAATGTAGTGACATTTGAGATTTTAGAAAAGCACAAGGAGAGTCTTTTGCTGGTCTTTATTATATATAAATAAATCCTAAAACATATGTTTATGTGGTTAAAAAAATGGTGGAGAAATATTTAAGATTTTCATTTGAAGGAGTTTTGAAACAGGTTAGTAATTATTTCTGCATTTCTGAAGTAGGGAAATAGAACTTTCTGTAGGCAACATGCTTGCCATGCTGGAAGCAATAAAAATGGTAAAACTGAAAACATTTTCCTAACTATCCATTTTAAAAAGATATTCTCTCCACTGGTTGAGCTTACTTCTGAAAGGGAGTTATCTTGCTCAAGTAAGTGCTGGGTAGGGAGGATGATCACTGGGATTCCTTTATTAGGATTATCTTCTGCTCTTTTCAGGAATCTGTTTAAGTTTTGAGACATGGCTTAGTCAAAGTCAAGGAAGATTATTCATTTAGTCACTGATCAGATGTTGCAGAGTGCTATAACAGAACGTGCCAGTGAGGCAGCCTCTGTCCACCTGCCTGTGCTGGGCTGTTTCCTTCTTCCTCTTCCACACGCTCTCCAACTGTAAAATGTGGCCTTTGATATTTAGACTGCGGGAGGGTACTAGTACTATATCACATGAAATGATGAGTAAGCTTAGTCTTATCTAGATTACAATAATATGTAAGTAAAGTTTTATCCCCCCCACCCCACCCCCGTAACCCAGTGGACTACTTTGCCTATTGTGATGCAGTAGTCTACTTTAGAGACCAGCCATACAGGTCATAGATTATGCCAACTTGCACTGGGATATTGATGGTGCACAGAGACTATCCACTAAGAAAAGAAACACAGGGAAAGAACCCAGTTTTGGGAGATGATAATATGTTTGGTTTGGACATGAGTAAGCTGAGGTACCTTCTTGACATTCTAGTTAGAAATACTAGACGGATCTGGGGTTCTAAGCAGACAAGAGGGGCTAGCCTTAAAATCTGTAGCTTTCTTAAAAATTTACATACACAGTAAGTACATGAACTTTGTTAAAATTTTGTTAAGACACATGGATTTATAAACTCAAATAATACTTTCTTTTAAAAAGTGTAACTTGTGAATCTGTTTTGGGTGGCAAAATTGAAGCTGTATAAATGTTTGAACTTGCTTTGGGAGAGAATACATAGGAGAAGGCAGCCTAGAAGGACCATTCATTGAGACATTTAATATAGGTCATGAAAGGTAAGCCTAAAATGTGGGTACGGATGACAGCCAAATATGACACAGAATTTCCAAGGAAGGCAGTGTTTCAGTGGCCATACTGCTGAAAAACCAATAGGATACTGCAAAAAGACTCCCCCACCCCCGCAAGCCTGAGCAACAGGAGGAGTGAGAGTTAGTGCAGACAGGTGCCATGTGGAGGGTTTCTTCCATTAAAATAGTTGATTATAGTTAAGAGAATTGGGGTGTGTTCCAGTGAAAATGAAATGTTAAAGATGTGAAAGGGGAAGAGATTAATTGATTATATAATGTTCCAGAAAAATACAAGAACAGATGGGATTTTTGTTAGGGAGACCATCACACCCTAGGCTATAACAAAGCAAAAGGAAGAGGTGCAGATAAATGTAGACCAGCTTAATTCATAGAGACTGGGCAAGGTTGGTGATTTTTTTTTTGTCTTGCTGTGAGTAGATGATAAGGCATATGCTTAGAGAGAGAGGTTAAGGGGAGAATGGCTCATTGTTGTAGAATGGAAGAGATTGGATACAATCCAGAGGGCTTGGGCCGAATGTGGGAATTTAACAGGAAAGCAATCTGTAAAGCCTGGTTACACGTGTTGGCCAAGAAGGTTAATCTTCCTTCCATCCCCCCAATCCCACAATGTTAGCAGATGAGGTATTTCTGACACTGAAAAAGGTAATTCTGATTTCTTCCTCTGAAGAGAATGAACATAGGCCTTAGAGTCTTCCTCGTGATAGCAGACAGTTTGCAGCAGAAAGATGGGGAGCCACCCATGCCAACCACGGGAGTTATTCTGCCCTCAGGAAACACTCTCCGGGTCAAGAAAATTTTTCTCAACAAAACCCTGACAGATGAAGAAGCAAAAGTCATCGGTTGGTATCAGCGAGTATCATTTCTCTGTAATCAATCAACTCTAGAGCTGTTTTATGAAAGTTGCAATTAAATAGAAATTATATGTATTTGCCTAATGCAGTTGTTTTAGTGTGTAGAGCAATGTCAAATGAGTGTATTTCTGATCATGTGTAATTGTTCATATTAAGAGTCTTCTGGTAAACCATTGTCTTCTCACATTTTTATTGCATTCTTTTCTGTCTTCAGATTAATTTTAGTTCCCAATATAATTTTTGCACAATTACTGTGCTATCCTGAAGCTAATCATATGGGAGAGTAATACAGCACAGCTCCTTATGTGAGAATGACATGCTGATGGCATTTAAAAATGAATAGACTTTTATTATAGAAAGCAACTAGATATTCGTCTCACTGCTAACATTTTATAACTGAGGGTTTTTTCCCCCTCCAGGAATGTCAGTTTACTACCCTCAAGTAAGGAAAGCATTGGATAGCATCCTCCGACATCTGGACAAAGAAGTTGGGAGACCAATGTGTATGACTAGTGTGCAGATGTCTAACAAGGAACCTGAAGATATGATTACGTATGTAGTAAATTATTTACCTTCTCTGCTACTTCAGTTTTTATGAAAGAGTGCAGATGGTTGAGTCTTGCTTACCTGTCTCATTATTTTTCCATCTGGAGTTCGCCCATAGCCCATCTGCTGCAATTTTTAGTGCAGTGGTTTCTTTTTTTCCATATCACTCAATTTTTATTCTTTAAAGGGCTGTCAAGCTTACATAGATAGTAGGAGTCACACTGGGTCCTAGTGCAGCTTGTTGCCTATTTGACAAGGCCCTACACGTAGTTGATGACTGATACAGAAATCCAAGTACCACCCCAGACAGATTCATTGAACCAAATAGATGCTCTGACTTCCAGAGCTATGATAAATAATATGTATTTTTAAAATCTTGAAAACAAACCGCTGTTTTTGCCTGCTGGGAATCTGAAGAGAGAGAGGGGAAAATGGAAGGAGGTATTTTCTTAGAGATGGGACCTCATCCCCTCACTCCCAGCCTTGTCATGATTCACCACTATAACATCTTTCTCCCTTATTGTTCAGGGTTTCCTCCAAAGTGGTGCATTCTATGGCAAAGGTATGTCTTATTCCCTAGAAGACATCTATGTTCATTCTCTGTAAGGTGGAAAATATTTTTGGGTATTAATATTTGCGTAACAGGTTTTAGAACACCAAATTGGACATCCAATCTCTCCATGTACTTAATATGCAGTTGGTATAGATTGTTGTGTACTAGTGTCTCTGAGGGTCCCTTTAATGTGAACTGTTTTTGCATATAGAACTTCCATGGGAATCTCCTCTTTTCCCAGAGCCACTTGGCTTATTTCTGTTGCTAAACTGGCTTCTAGGCACGTCTTCTCACTGTCCATGTAGCTTCTTGCATGGGATTAGCATTGCCACCCTTACCCAGTCAGCTGTTTCTTCTATGACTCCATTACCAATCTGTTGACATTTCACTTCCACTGTGTTAGTCTTGTATTTTTCAGATATAGAATACCCCTGCAATGATTAGGCACACCAATTGAAAATGCAGATCTTATTACTTATACACAGCATGCTTGGCAGCTACACACCCAGAGATCAGGAGGCACCTGGAAAGAGGGAGAAAGGAACCTAACCTGTGCCTGCTCCCCCTCCCCTTTAACAGATGTAGGGTCTTGCCCAAACTGGTATCCCTCAGGCAGGTGGGTTGAAAGCAAAAATGACCTGAATGCCAGGAGGTGGCACTGTGACTTAAAGGTAGTCCCTTCAGTGTAGCTGAAGGGAAACCTGTGCCTTGGTAGCTGCATGTAGCATGGGAGACTGTCACCAAGAGAAGATTATGCAGGCATCTGGATGAGGCAGAATGGTGGGGTGGGCAGTAGGTAGAACTAAAATCAGTCAAGGCTGACTAAGCTATGCTTCCGGTATGAAAAGTTAAACGTGTAAAATTGACACTGAGGCAACCTGAAGTTGTAAGAATTCACACATAATGATGTCCCTTTTCCTTTCTTTTACTTTCCATACTACCAAGTTTGTTAGGCAGTTCCCTCTTGTGATTTGTCAGTAGGAGACGGGCAGGCGGTGCAGTTGCACATCTTGTGTCTGAAGCAAACAACAGATACGCAGGGACGCGAAACGCGCATCACATTATTGAAGAAAATAATGTGATCAGGCACTGATCACAATGGAATCTATGACTCTCACAGTGTTTTATGGAATAAAGGACCAACAGGAAAAGTTTGTATATGCTGACACTTGCAGATGATGCGTGCCAACTAAAATTAGAATTGTGCTGTTGGGGACTGGTATCATAAGGGACTAGATACTTAAATAAAATTGTGGAATAGCTATTCAGCAATTCAATTTAATAACAGCAGCAATAATTGCTAGAATAAAATAGAATTATGTAAGTGAGGGTAATTCAAAATACTTGAGGAAAGTGGAATTCAAAGGTAAGCTCATTTTGGTATAATAACTTCTGAAATCCATGCCTAATAGAGGGATCCCCAAAATGTACATGGATATTGCATATGATGAAAAAACTATGTACAGATTTTTAACTTCCCTGGGGATGGTGGTGTAGTGGATTCATGCACTGCGTGAGATGCCCGCATTGCACACTGGAATACCTGACCCTGAGTCCTGCTCCTTCTGGTGCTCTTGGGAGGCACAGGGGATGGCAGAAGCACTCGGTTTCCCCGAATCCACAGGAAAGAGCCACACGAGTCCTGGCTCCTGGTGTTGGCCGGGCCCAGCCATGACTGCTGCCTCTATCCCTCTGTCACTCTGCTTTTCAAATGCATAAATCTTTAAAATAAAATTTTAAATTTCTCATTTGTGTTTTTCCATGATCTCTTTGAAGTATCCTCATATCTGTGTTACACACAAAATAAGAATAAGTAAAACCAACAGCAATATATGAAAAAGACCCACGTGGCATACCAAATTAAGTGGGAAAAAAATTGTTTAATTTTATAGCCCCCCCAATAATCACTAATTGTTCAGTATTTAAAATCAATGTTATTTATTTTTGAAGATTTATTTATTTTTATTGAAAGTCAGATATACAGAGAGGAAGAGAGACAAAGAAGATCTGCCATCCGTCGATTCACTCCTCAAGTGGCCGTGATGGCCAGAGCTGAGCCAATCTGAAGCCAGGAGCTTCTTCCGGGTCTCCCAGGCGGTGAAAGTTTGGGTCTATTGTCTAGCATTTGTAACTAACTTCTTATCAAGTCTTATTGTGATATATTTTTCAGGGGAGAAAGGAAACCCAAAATTGATTTGTTTAGAACTTGCATTGCTGCTATTCCAAGATTGATTCCTGATGGTATGAGCAGAACTGATCTCATTGAATTATTAGCAAGGTAAGAGTTACTGTTTGCTATGTAATTTCTTTTTTTTTTTTTAAAGATTTATTTTTATTATTTTTTTATTGGAAAGGCGGATATACAGAGAGGAGAGACAGAGAGGAAGATTCTTCCGTCCGATGATTCACTCCCCAAGTGAGCGCAACGGGCCGATACTATGCCGATCCGAAGCCAGGCGCCTCTTCCAGGTCTCCCACGCAGGTGCAGGGTCCCAAAGCTTTGGGCCGTCCTCGACTGCTTTCCCAGGCCACAGGCAGGGAGCTGGAAGGGAAGCGGGGCCGCCGGGATTAGAACCGGCACCCATATGGGATCCCGGGTGTGCAAGGCGAGGACCTTTAACCACTTGCGCCACTGCGCCGGGCCCTGCTATGTAATTTCTTATGCCTTTGTATCAGCTTACATTTCAACTATATCTCTTACTATATTCACCAAAAAGGCTGAATTTGGGGAGAGCATTTAGCCTAGGGATTAAGCTGCCAGTTGTGATGTCCAGGTCCCTGAATTAGAGTACCTGTGTTTAAAACCTGTCTCTGGCTGCCGACTCCAGCTTGCCCCTAATATAAACCTTGGGAGAGGGTGGCGATCGCTCAGGTGGTTGCATTCCTTCCTCCCACATGGGTGAGCTGCATTCAGTTCTTGGCTCCCGGCTTCAGCATTTGTCCAGCCCGGTTGTTTGAGAACTGAATCTGTGGATGGGAGTTCTTTCTGTGTTTCTCAAACGTATGTATAGAGAAAGGGGCAGTAATGATGCATTTCAAGTCCTTAATTTGATTTACTTTCTAAACTCCCATCTTGACTCCTTAAGTGGTTTTTTAAACAAGATTTATGTATTTATTTTTATTGGAGAGCCAAATTTACACAGAGAGAAAGGTTTCCGTTGCTGGTTCACTTCTCAAATGGCCTCAATGGCCAGAGCTGAGTCGAACTGAAACCTGGAGCTTCCTCTGGGTTTCCTTGTGGGTACAGGAAACCAAAGACTCGGGGCATTCTCCACTGCTTTCCCAGGGCATAAAGAGGGAGGTGGATGGGAAGTGGAGCAGCTGGGACATGAACCAGCACTCATGGGTACAGGTGCTTGCAGGTAGAATCTTTATGCATTTTTAAATTCTAAATTTCTTCTAGATACTATACAATTCTGTTTTAGTTTCCTGTCATCCTGTATAATAAGAGCTTGAAGCATTACTGTTACACTTTGTCTTTTTAACCTATGGCATTATCAGTGCAAGATGATACCCAACTGGACCATTAACGACTGCATCTCCCCCTGTAGTCGGTTCTCTAACGTTTAGGGTTTTATTTTCATTACTTTCTGTTGTGATAGAAGCTGCACTGTCGGGGCACTGTAGTGTTTTGTTTGTTGGTTGGTTGGTTGGTTGATATTTTTTCTGTTTGCTCTACTGGGCGTGCCGTAACTACAAAATGAATGAGTAACACATCACCCAAACTTAAATGCCAAATAATTGAGGCTGAGGCTTACTGAAAACTGCTTTGCTGATGCCATTAGGGATTTCCTAAGTAAGGAGTCAAGAAAAAAAATTTTTTGTAGGTCCAGATAGGCAATATTTTAGGTCTCCGTCACAGATTCTTACCGCCTCATTGAAGTATGTTGAAGCAACACAAAAGTAACTGCATCACTGCATCCCTTCAGGCATATGGGAGGATTCAGCCTCTGAGCCAGTTTGTCAGCCCCTGTGCTAGATGACAAGTTCAGCAACTGTGATGGAAAGGCAGCACTTGATTGTGTTGGAAAGATATTTGCCAAACATTAATCACTAAGGCCTGAGTTAAATTCACAGTGATTAATTAACAGACTGCTCCAGGAATCCTTTATACCCCCTTCTCGAAAGCCACAAGCGTTTCATACAGCTATAAAGCACCTTACCCTGAACTGTTCTAGGTTGTATGCAGAGATGGGGTGGTAGCTGTGTCCTTCAAGAACTGTTACAAGGGGAGAAGAGAATTGCTTGGAGTCATTAGTCTGATAAATAAGTTTATCCCTTTCTCACTAGGCCTCTTAAATTTCTCTGTGAAATAGAATGTACAGCTTACAAAAGTTGAAGCCAACATCAAATTAGAAATATTAATCATAAACTTTGGGAGAGCAGCAAACTGCTGTTCGATTTTGCTCCCATTGCCCTACTCAACTAAGCTCCGCGCCACGTGTGTGGGTAGTCACTCCGTATCCCCTCCAGGATGATGCCGCCTGCAACAAACGGCACCAGGGCGGCTTAGTAGTAAAAGAGCCAACACCTAAACAGAGAATGACAGTTTCCTTTTTTTATTTACCTGTTTTTGCCCTTTGACATCTGTTTACTAGCTAATACATTGCAGAGGAAAAAGTGCATGATGAATTTGTAGACATGCGCTCTCTGATGAAATGTGTTTAGTAGCCAGCCTATGTTGTTCTCTACGCAACAGGTAGTTAAGTCCAGCATTTATATCCTGAATTGCAGAGAGGTATTCTACTTACTTTTATATATGTATAGTTTTAAGAGATGCTGGAAGAAATTTGAAGTCAACCTCATGGAATTCCGACATGCTTCTCTCCCACTGTATCTCCCTGGTGCCATCTTCACGGACACGATTGTGGGCTGAACATCCTTAATCATCTGGCCCTGCTTATTTCTAATGCGCTGCCTCTTTGTGCTTACTTCCGAATCTGCCTAGCTATCATACATTTTCTCTTCCATCTCATTGTCGACTGAAGGTTGGCTTTGTGAAGACCAGGACTGTGTTCACCAGAGTAAAGGCAGTGCTATTTCCTTTTTGCTAAAGTGCAGAACTTTCCTTTTCTGTCTTGGGTAATTCCAGCTTCCTGTCATGTAATTCTATCATATATCTGCAGAACCTGCTAATCTTAGCTTCCTCTTTCTAAGCTCTAGTGCTTTTGGTGTTATAATCAATCGCTAAAACAAACCTCAAATCAGAAACTTTCATTTGTAATGGTGAATTCACTGATATATAATGTCCAATGTCTTTAAATGATAATTTTATTAAAGCCTTTTATCTAACTTACATAGCCTTAACCTTGCTGAGGCCTTACATATTGAGTCTACACGTTCTCACTGGAGACTTCCGGCATTTATGATGTTACCCTTTAGTTTACTCTCACCTGCAAGAATTTCTCCTCAATTGAGTCCAATTTGATTTCTGTTTCCCTCATAGTCCTACAGATTGCATTTAACTAGCTTCAACAGCATGTAAGGAGTGATTAAACTAGGCCCTTTCCACAAGTAATAAAGGACTACACGAATGTGAGGCAACGCTAAGGTCTTGGGTGATTGAACATGACTTTTTATTGATTATAGGATAACAATGTGTATTTTAATAACAAAAGAAGTTTTAAGTGGAACATGTATTCTTTTCTAAAGTACAGTTGAATTGCAGTAAGCGTTATTCTGAATTATAGTAAACATCAGCTAAAATAAATAGAATCACAAGTGAATTTAAACAAATAAGTATTGGCTAGCACACGGATGAGTGCAGCACGCAAAAAAGTGAGCACTGGTTTCTGTTGTCTCCTCACAGAGCAATGCAGGGGACGCTGTAAGTTCTTAGTCTTAAATTTTAGATAGTAAAGCCATAGGAAAGGTTTTCAGGCTTCTAATGGAATTTTGTTCTTGGTAGGCTCACAATTCATATGGATGAAGAACTGCGTGCTCTGGCTTTCAATACTCTGCAGGCATTAATGCTTGATTTTCCAGATTGGCGGGAGGATGTTCTTTCAGGATTTGTTTATTTTATTGTTCGTGAAGTAACTGATGTCCATCCCACACTTCTTGACAATGCTGTAAAGATGTTGGTACAATTAATAAACCAGTGGAAACAAGCAGCCCAGATGCAAAACAAAAATCAGGACTCACAGGTACCAAATGATCTTTTTTTATTCCTTGTTGTATGTGGTGGTTTGAAAATGACAGGTGATGTTTTAATATGGAGACAATGTTCTTATACACTAAAAATTGTTTTACTTTCATAAAAATTCATGTAGTAAACATGTGTTTGTGTGTCTAACCATTCTAATTCATTCAGTAATAATTTTTTAGTGAGCATAGAGTCATGATAATTTTTATAGGTTTAGGTTATCTGCAGTTATTTTAAAAGATGGTATTTTAATAATATTTAGGAGTCTTCACTTTGTATCATTTGACTATATTAACCACATCATCAGACCCTGTTTCATGTATATAGTATCTGTTCCTTAACCCTATCAAGTGCTCAGATTGTTGCCTTATGATGATATTATAAATCATAAAGCCTTGGAGCGTCAGAGCTGGGCTATCTGAGCCAGCCCAGCTTCTCAACCTTTAATGAGCATACAAATCACTAGGGGCCCGAGCGTGTGTCTCTAATGAGATCCCAGGTGATGCCAGGCTGTTGATTCACATTTTGAGCCTGAAAGATAGAAACTAATCCCCTCATTTTTCATATGGAAACTTAGACAAAGATTGATTTACCTGTCAATTTAAAGGTTACAAAATAGTGAATGATAAAAGGTAGGTGCAGAATTTATATTTAGACTGCCAATGAGATGCTTTTTTCCCCCATTGGGTGTACTATTTTACTATAATGAACCCTATTGTATTTTTATAAACTGCATATTATTTAAATGGCTTGAGCAGGGCTGACCCTGTAGCCCTAATTTCTGTGGTTTACTTTATTCATTTTTACTGTTTTGCTGGAACTTTGCTATGAACATATTTTTTACTTTTTAAATTTATATTTATCTTTAATTTTGTCTTTAACTTGTATTTGTTATTCAAGCATGGTGTAGCTAATGGAGCTTCGCATCCCCCTCTGGAAAGAAGCCTGTATTCCAGTGTGTTCCATGTGGTGGAAGGGTTTGCACTTGTCATTCTCTGTAGCAGTCGACCTGCCACTAGGAGATTAGCCGTCAGTGTCCTTAGAGAAGTGCGGGCTTTGTTTGCACTTTTGGAAATACCTAAGGTAAGATTTAGGCATTTCATGTCATTGTCTACTGAAACTGACTAAAAACCGTTTCTTTATCCAGCTTACCTTTTTCTGTTATTACCTTGTAGGTTGAGTTTACTATTTAACGAAGTCTTCAGGCAGAGTCTAAACTATCCCCTTTGTAGCAAATAGTACTCATAGGGGTTTGGGTGATTTTCTTTAACATTCTTATTTCTAGACATCTTTTTTTGTAGGGTGATGATGAATTAGCCATAGATGTGATGGACAGACTGAGCCCATCGATTCTTGAGAGCTTCATACATCTCACGGGTGCCGATCAGGTAACTGCAATGACTTTGCTATGTTGTATTTTGGGACTGAAGAACGAAACACACACACACACACACACACACACACACACACACACACGCACGCATAGGAACTTCAGTTTCTTTAAAAATGTAATACATTATAAAAGGTAAAAATTACAAAGTGGAATTTTTTATGTTGTTAGTACTCTTTCCCATAGCAATAAAAGTAATTCTATCTTTGTCAAATTTGTTTTCCAACCTGAGAAGTTTCCCTTTAGTTTAATAGTATCATGGACTACTATTTGCTTTTGTTTGGGCATATAATATTTCTGTTAAAATGTTATGAGAAAATTGTTGAAATTCAAACCAAAAACTTGTACCTCACTAATGAAAAGATTTTGTTTGCTTTATCACTGAAGTTTAACAGCAATGAGTTAAGGATATGGTATTCTGTGTCAATATAATATGTCATTTGACTCATTCAGATTGAGAGAAGTATTTTCTATAAAGATAGTATGCAGAAAGTTTTTGAAAACTTTTAGTTTGCAAAAACAGCATCTATAGGTCACAGAAAGATTGAAGGAGTGACCAAAGAATCACTATACATTTTACTGCCTAAAATTTTTTTTGTTGTACTTTCAAATACCTTGACAAGAGATTTTCATGCTTTCTGCATAACCCTTGCTTCTTAGGAGTTACACACTGCCAAGGAGTTACTAATAATGATTTTAAATCAAAACGACTGTAGAGATTAAAAAAATTTTAGGTTATTAACTATCAGTAATGTGAAAAATCATGGATAATTTGCCCCTGGTACCTAAAAGCAGTGCTTCTTAAGTGTAACCTGGCTTCTGAAGGGAAATCTTTGTCTCTTCAATGTCAGAGCTTGACTATTACTAAACAGATAGTTGAGCCTGTGTGCATTTGGGAAGAGCTGCTTCTGCAATCTGCTCATCTGCACAAATATAGGGCACATCAGCCTTGGGAGGTAACTGCTCACTGTTAGCTCTCTGGCAGCCTTAGCACATCCATGAAAGTTGAGTGTTCATTTGTGAATTACTCAAAGCGCGGCTCTTAACCTTGATAATTCATAGATCCTTTTGAGAATAATGAGAAATCTCTGTCTAGAAAGCATGTATATATGCACATAACAACCTTTACATACAGTTTTCAAGAATACACTGCTACCTACAGCCTACCTCAGGGTTCACATCATCTTTGCTTCTAGAAATTATCACTAGACCATTTCCAGGTTAAAGCACTTGATATGACAAAACTTTGAAAGTTACTGAAATGTGCATTAATCAATTTTTTTTCTTCACATAGACTACTTTGCTATATTGCCCTAGCTCGATAGATTTACAGACATTAGCCGAATGGAACTCTTCTCCTATCAGCCACCAATTTGATGTGATCAGTCCATCACACATATGGATCTTTGCACATGTAACCCAAGGGCAAGACCCATGGATTATAAGTCTCTCCAGTTTTTTAAAGCAAGAAAATCTTCCTAAACACTGTTCTACAGCTGTGAGCTATGCTTGGATGTTCGCGTACACAAGACTTCAGCTCTTATCCCCACAGGTTGATATCAAGTAAGTTATTAGCAAATCTTAAAATGTATGGATGGTCGACTTTCATAATGTATTTGAGATGTGCCATAAAGTGGAAGTGCTACCAGTAATGTGGCATGTTATACTAATATCCTAAAGACATCAATTTTATGTAAGTTCTCGGTCCCTAGTGTGTGTCCACAGAATCTGTTATTAGATGAGCAAATTACGACGGGACCTGAAGGTGAGGATGGATATGGCCCCAGATAAGTTTGCATCTAAAGGATAAAAAATAGACGGAAATCAAGTTCGTGGCCCTACGTTTCTTCCTACAAGGAGCGTATACAGGAAGTTAGAAAGTCATAAAAGTATCGTAGATGAACTGTACAATGGAGACTAGCATACTGGGAAGTAGATATATTGCATTATTTGTCTCTACTCCTGAATAAAAGTAGGACTCCCATTGAAACATGAAACTATACCTTTACAGTGTGAGGCTAGATTTTCTACCTATGCCTATGTTTACCATGCCATGATACATTAAAATAGCAGCAAGTTAAACTTGGAACTGTTACTAAGGGACTACAGCTGTGATAATTTGAGGGAAACGATGAGAATGAAGGAGAGGGAAATAAAATAACTAAAATAAAATAAATTAGAAAATATATAAATCTTAAAAACAAAAAAGCTGCTGAGATTGTAGCACAGTGGTGAATAAGCTGCCTACTTGCATCAGGCATCCTGGTACACCTTGGTGCAAGTGCCAGCTGCTTGCTCTATTTCCAATCCAGCTTCGTGATAATTCTGGGAGAGCAGGAAAGATGGCCCAAGTGCCTACAATGCCCTGCATCCATGTGCGAGACCCGGACGGAGTTCAGGCTCCTGGGTTCGTGCCAGCCCGGATCTCACCATTGAGGCCACTTGAGAAGTGAGCTAATGGATTTCTCTGTCTTTCAAATAAATAAAGCTCTTTTTGAAAAAAAAAAAAAAAGTTATTAAATGCGGCTCAATAAAATGCTACATTTTGTCTCAGGAGCATTAGATAAGATAAAATAATCCTTTAAGATGCTTTAATTTTCACTCTAATGTTTTATTCATTTATGTTTTATATCATTCCACAAAAATTTAGCACTAGTAATAAAAGTTCTATATTGGCCATCTTCCCTAATTGAAAGACAGCATATGTTTATAAGCGACCAAAAAAAAAAAACCCTCTAAAATTTTGAGCTAAATACATCTATATGTTATTCTTCTCTCTCTTCCCAGTAGCCCCATCAATGCCAAGAAAGTCAACACCACCACCAGCAGCGACTCCTATATCGGCCTGTGGAGGAACTACCTGATTCTGTGCTGCAGTGCAGCCACGTCGGCATCCTCTTCCACATCTGCTGGTTCTGTGCGGTGTTCCCCTCCTGAGACGCTGGCGTCTACCCCTGACAGCGGCTATAGCATTGATTCTAAAGTAAGTTTCCCAGATGACCACTGGAGCTGAGTGGCACCCATAGACAAAGGTCGGACAGTTTCCTTTCACAGGCAGAGTAACCAGCTGTTTGTAATCAACATAAAAATACTTCAAAGAATTCCATCTTTTTTTTTTTTTTGCATCATACTTAGGAGCGGTAATACATAGATAAGTTTCCAATGGAGAGGAAGGGCATATATGCATCATCATGGTGAATAGTTTTCAAGAAATTAAATCCATTTTCCTTTACTCTGGTTCCTATCATTCTCATACTTGTCCATGTCTAACCTAAAAGGAATCAACTAACTAGTTAAATGGCCCTCTGAAGTTCTCCTGAAGTCATGCTGCTTGATAAGAACAATTTCCTTGTTTATGAGGCAATACACAATACTGTGGAGTGGTTTAGGGAAACTCAGAAGATTTACGGCCAGGTTGCCTCATTTTAACACTGAATGCTTAACATAGTTTGCTCATGTCATGGATAAAGAGATATACTATATCTAATGGAAAGGGTTGGCCTCTTACTGATAATATCTGTTAAAAGATTTAGACAACTGGGAACAAGTTCCGCTAATGACTTTGCAGTGAGCCTTTGCACGGATCTTATCTCGGCCAGCCCTGCTGCCTGCCTGCCAGGATCTACATTAGCAGGGAGATGGAGTCAGGAGCTGGAGCCGGGGAGTGAACAGAGACACTCGAGTATGGGATGCAGGTGCTGTAACCAGCATCTTAGCCACCACTCTGAATGCCCACTCTACTTAAGCTCTGTGAATTATATATGCCATTCACAGAAGTTTCATCTGTGCATTGTTGTCGATGAAATGCTGCTCAAATGTCATGTGATTGACCTGGATATAGTGTCCTTAGTGGCTGATGTAAATGTGACTTGTTTTCCAGATTATTGGCATCCCATCTGCTTCATCCTTGTTTAAGCACATAGTTCCAATGATGCGCTCTGAGAGCATGGAAATCACCGAATCCCTTGTTCTAGGTCTTGGCAGGACCAACCCAGGAGCTTTTAGGTAATTGTCTTCTTAAGTGTTCTCTACACACTTACATAGCAACTGTTATTTAGAGAGACAGCATGATTGAGTTGTGCAGAAGACTTATGTAGCTAGAATAGGTGCATAACATTGAGCTTGAGCCATCAGCTGGCCCTGCAACATTTAACAGGTTACTTAACTTGCTTGAATGTTTTTTTCCTCATTTTTGTTGAGTGATTAATTCTTTTTTTATTTATAAAATAATTATATTTATGTATAAATATATTCTAAAAATTGTGAAATTCCATATGAATCTTTAATATTTTGTGCAATTTATCAATTACTTTGATTCTAATGATAGTTTAAAATCTCCATCCATTGATTGAAACTCCACATTTGTTGCTTCTTATTCAAGAAAATTGAAATGTCTTTCAAATACTTAAAAGTACATATTTTAAAGCATTCTTGATGTTTTTCATCAATGTAGCAAAGTTTCATTTTTGCTTGAGGTTTTTGCTTTCTTATAGCCTGCTGGACTCTGTATTTATTCTTTTGGTAATTTGCTCAGTGATAGGAAGTAATATTTCTGACTTAGCTCTATGGTAAATATACAACAAGACAGGCTAATAAACTTTAATAGAGCTACAGTTGTAGAATAGCATAGAAATGAAGTTTCAGAAGAATATTTTGTAGCCTGACAAGTACATTATTGTGCAAATTGAGAAAAATGAAATAGAAAAGGGGTTCTCACTTTAAGAAAAAATTATTTGGAACCAATTATGAGGAAATATCTTGAATGTGAGTAGTTTTAATATGTATTCACTTATTTGAAAAGCAGAGAATCGATTTCTCCCTCTGCTGATTCATTCCTCAGAGCCCCACGAGAACTGGGACCCAGTCAGACCAAAGCCAGGAGCAGGGAGGGAGGTTGATCCGGTCCTGTGATAGAACACAGGAGCGTGAGCCATCAGTACTGCCTACCAGGGGCACACTAGTTGGCACCTGGAAGCGGGAGCTGAGCTGGGGCACATACCCGGGCTCTCTGATATGTACAGACATCTTGAGCAGTGTCTTACTGTACTAAATGTGCACTCCGAGCAGTTTTCTGTAAGTTATGTAACTGTGGGTATATTTTGTTTTCTTTGACTTTAATTTTTTTCCCCAATTGTATGCAATTGAGGCTGTTTCCAGTTTAAAATCAAAATATAAATGAATAGCACTTTGCTTATTTGCAAAATTAATCTTAAGGGGATAATGGGGATAGCCAAGAATTAAAACTATGATTAATATACATGGATATTCACTGAATTAATGTTTAAACCAAGAGAAAATAAGATAAAATTTAATTAATTCAGTAATAAATGGGTGGTAGCATTGTATCCCACCCTTTGATAGAATATTTTGAATTAATAAATGCAAGGTGAGGCTGGCACTGTGGCAAGTTAAGTTACAGCCTGCAGTGCTGACACCCCATATGGGTACTGGTTTGAGTCCTTGCAGCTCCCTTTCTAATCGAGCTCCCTCCTAATGTGCCTGGAAAGTTGCAGAAGATGGCTCAAGTGCTTGGGTCTCCATACCCATGTGGGCTACTAGAGAAAGCGTCTGGTTCCTGCTTTAGAACAGTCTAACTTTGGCTATTGCGGCCATTGTGGGAGTGAACCAGCAGCTCCTTCTCTCTTAGGTAAAGAAAAAAGATAGTATTTTATAAATAAACTGTGAAATGCATGTGGATTGCAAACTAATTGAACAAATATATTGATAGTACTTACCTCTGAAGTTAAAATAAGTGACCTATGTTCTGCATATGTGTGTGCACGTGGCTGATGTATATGATTTCCAAATGTTCTGTCATTTGTTTTTTTATAAATCAAGAGCACAAACGCTGTGTTTTGGAGAGTAGGATTGGGGTTAACACTGATAAGTGTAGCACGTATCAGATGATCTCAATTTAGCTATTAATGGAGATAATGGTATCATTTTTCCTCTAGGGAACTAATAGAGGAATTGCATCCCATAATTAAAGAAGCACTCGAAAGAAGGCCAGAGGTAAGCTTTGTCCATGATTTTCTATTATTGAATTTTTTTTTTTTGCAAACATTATCTTCTACCAAATTTATAGCATATTTACATTGTTATACCAAAAGTTAGAAATTAAGTTGACAAGGATTTGTCCAGCACATTTTCTAAAAGTTGCTCCTCTCTACCCCAACCTCACCCCCACCCAGTCCACTAGATTTTACACAAAGATCCATTATGTGAAACAGATGAAAAATTGTCATGGTTTAGGTGAGGGAAGGAAATAGAATCTAGACTAGAGTTTGCACACTTTGCCAATTGCCAGAGAGTGAATATCTTCAGCTCTGTAAGCCATAGTTCCAGCTATGCGCATCTCCCTTTGTCACGTAAAAGCTTTGCTACACCACATCTACTGGCTGTTTTCCAGTGAAGCCTTATTTATAGTAACAGGCAGCCATAGGAAGATTTGATGCCTAGGTCCAGATTCCCACATCTACACAGATACATAAGGTTCTGAGCAGCTTGTAGTTCTAGTATGGTAGGAGGTTAAGTAAAGCATAATTAGCAATTTTATATATGCCCGAATAAAGTCTTGGATAAGGAGTTAGAAGAGCTGCAAGAAAGAAAGCCTGTTTGTGAGAAAGGGAAATCATTATAGATGAAATGCTGATATTAAAAGACTGAAAGATGAAAGGAGACAGACTGAGCTCCCATCTGCTTGTTCAGATGACCACAACAACCAGAGCTGAATGAGGCCAAAGCCAGGTTGGGGAATTCAGGTCAGGTCCCCAGGTAGATGGTGGGGACACAAGTAAGCAAGCCCACCCTTGCTGCCTCCCCCACTATGTATTTAGCAGAAAGATGGAATGGCAGATAGAGCTGGCATGGGAACCCAGGTACTCCCAACATGGGATACAAGCATGCCAATTAACATATTAACCACTGCACCAAATGATTGACACAAAGTGTTTTATTTGAGGTTAGTTTGAAACATGCTGCCCAGTAAGCAAGCAAGGGAAAGGTATTCTAGGCAGAATAGCACTTACATATTTTACAGGACAATTTGGAAATTGCATGGTTTTTTGGTATGATCATACCAACATAGAAATGATCTCTCGAAAGATCCCTAGTTTTGGCTTATGCTGTAAACCAGTGGAGCCTACCTGTCTGTGATATCTGAGAGTTACTTGTTATCAGGGAGTTTGCCAGAAATCCTAAAACTACTGATCATGTTAAATAGTTCCTGGAGTAGGAGCTAGGAGTGTTTTTTTCTCATGCATCTTGAATGTGTGAGGGTGTCATTTAAGAGTTGCTGTTACTAATGTTGGGAATCTCCACGCGGAACTTAAGGAGGCAAGGAGATGGTGACAGTAGTTACTGTTCCAAGAGGCTTGGAAGCATCACCTGTAATTTCTCACTCCCCTTCTCTGGTGGTGACAGTGTCTCCATTTTGTCATTGATTGGATTTTTCTTTCAGAATGATCATTTTGGTTATTGGATGATGTGCTGGAGGGCAAGTGGGATTGCAAAATACAATGACGTAGCAATGTTTATTGCTTCAGGTTTTCAGTGGTGTGGGGGAAGCTGTGATCTTGCAGAGTGATGATATAAGTGTACTGATGAGCTTTCAGTGTGAATTACAGTTTGAAAGCTTTAGACTCACAAGGACAGGTCAGCTACACCTTTGCAGAGATCCTCCAAGACTTATCTGCAAGGCAGAAATAAAGACAGAAAGAGATCTTCCAACTGTGATTCACTCCTCAAACAGCCGCAACTGCCTGAGCTGGCCGGACCAAAACAGGGCACCACAAATTCTGAGTGTCACATGTGAATGTAGGGACACAAACACCTAACCCAATTTTCCACTGCTTTCCCAGTAGTATTAGGATGCTGGATCAGAAGAGAAACAGCTGGGACAAGTGTGGAATGTCAGCATCACAGGCACTGGCTTATCCCACTGCACCACAATGGCACCCCAGCTTTGACCCGTAGAAAGAGCTCCCAGCAGCCAAAAACTTTGACCATCACGAAAGAGGCCTGCTTGTGGGAAGCATTAAAGGGGTTTTGAACATGAAAATGAAATACCAAAGATAACAGTTACAATAATTTCTCTGCAGTACAAAAAATTACACTTTTAGTTCAGTGATAGGCAAAAGTGGTGACATGGAAGACCTGTGCCTTACTGCTACGTGACTTCCCATTAGAAGCAGAATCAAGTAAAATGCTATTACAATTATGTTAGACATTACTTCAGTGGCCCAAGTAATACAAGCATGTTTATAATACCATATGAGATAAAGGTTTTCTTTTGTTTTTGTTTAATTTTTGTCTGTGCCCAATTAGTTTAGTGGAAAATCATGACGTGAGTGAAATTGGTTGGATTTCTTAAGACTTCTTTGGAATTCTGTTTTCTTCATTGTGTCCTCGAGTTTCTTTATCAAGATTCCTTATCACTCAGTGACAGATCCGCACTAACCAATGACTAATCAATTCATCTGAAATTGTCAGGTTAACAAATCACCCTGAAGTATCTGTAAAACAGCTGTAGAATTTTATTTCCTTTCAGACTCAAAAATTGAGTTACCATCTAAAATGCCATGTGGTTTTATTTTGGTCATTACTTTCAAACTATACTCACATAGGTAATTCTTGGATATCATAGCTCCCAAAGGGCTTACAATCTACACTGCACAAGTGAAATAAATGTGATGAGCCCACAGCTATCTCTGAGGCACACCCATAATTCTTTCCCAATTAGACCATCAGGTTCCCTATGGACTTCCCTGAAGGATTTTTAATTACCATCTTTGTATTTTTGGAATAGAACATGAAACGGCGCAGGCGTCGAGATGTTTTACGAGTACAGCTGGTACGAATATTTGAACTGTTGGCAGATGCAGGTGTCATTAGTCACAGGTCAGTATGGATTTTGGTCTTCAAAGCTTTAGAAAGATCAGGGAATATACTCTCGTGAAATGCATAAAAACAGACAAGCCATTTTGCAATAAAATATACTTGTATGCATCACTGAAAATATTATTTACCAATCTAAGATGCATCCAGTATATTAAACAGAAGCCAAAGATGTATTTTCAAAATCTACCATCAGAATTAAATTGCCCCAGGCAAAAATTGGTTGCAGTGTTGCTATGATTTTGGTATTTCTTGACGCCTAGCTATCTAGGTAAGGAGACAGCGGTTCTTTAAGAGTTCCTTTTTTCTTACCTTGTTCTAATGATCTGCTTCTTCTGGCTTAAATATTTCCATTCTATACATTGAAAGATTTGCAAATGCATTCCAGTGAACTGTTGCCCGTGCTACTGGGGAAAATTATGACAGCTACAAACATAATTCATAACCATGCTTTTTATCGCTCGCAAATAAAACCGTAAAATCTGAAGTAAAGGCGGCTTGTCACCAGGCCAGTCAATCCCTTCAGGAGAATTCCATCACCTGACTGTTGCCTTAGGAAGGTACTGAGCCTTGGAGGAAGTCTGTGCTGAAAGTGTGACGCGGGTAACCACGATACCTCTGAAAATGAGCAGACATTTCTGCCTTTCTCAACTCTCCTTTCCATCCTAGAGCCTCTGCATCTCCTGAATGAAAAGCTATGTATTTCAATGGAGAGCTAAACAGTTGATTAAAGTCACGAACAGAATCACATTTCAGTGACATTTCCTTGACTAAGATGTGCTATCAGCTTTTATATTTGAGAAGGCCAAGGCCTTGTTCATTTAACTTTTGTGTGTTAAGTTCCAATTTAGATATGTGTTATTCTGATTTTGATTGCTAATGGTTTTTCTCTTTGGAGCCATGGTTTCTTTATTATTTATTTTCTTCATTATTTTCAGTGCAAGTGGTGGCCTTGATAATGAAACACATTTCCTCAACAACACTTTATTGGAGTATGTAGATTTAACCAGACAACTCCTGGAAGCAGAGAATGAAAAAGACTCTGACACACTGAAGGATATACGATGCCATTTTAGTGCCTTAGTGGCGAATATCATTCAGAATGTTCCAGGTAGTATTTTCAGTTTCTTCAGGCATTATTGAGTACTGAGAAACCATCATGTTTTTCTTTCTTTGAAATTCTGTAACCTTTGCCATTAAGGCGAATTGCAAACTGGGAAAATGGCAGCATAACATGGATGGCAGGAGTTTGTTTTATCTCTGAATTAATGTCAGAGTTCAAAAAACAACTCAGATAATTTTCAATAATAATGAAGGCACTGATAGAAAAATATGAAGAAATCAATGGAATAAGCTCTTTAAACAGGTTTTCCCTAGATGCAATAGGCCAAGTGTAGTGCTCCAAATGATACGAATTAAGTTAACAGCAAACTTTTGAATAATGAGAAAAGAGCATAGGTCAGAGATATGAAGTGTAGCCAGAATAACAGGTGAGTCTTACAGAGAAGGTGCCTTTTTGACAAGTGTTAGTTTAGGCATGACGAAGATTGATCTGTGTGATAGCATTTTAAAAAGTAAAAAGCTCTTTTAAGCATTCCAGACATAAGAAGTCAATGTAGCCTTTGACATACAACAATAGTATAAATGTTTTCCTCTCTGAAAAAAAAAGCTTGAAGTTATTTTGTGATTTTATGCAAACAGTTGGCTATTAAGGAATTTGTATTTTATAGCAGGGTCATTTAAGCACTTATATTGGTGTTTTCATTTCAAGTGCATAAATCCAGGTCTTTGTGAGGAAAACATGCTATTTAGAAGGAAAAGAGTGATTTTTTTCCCTCTCTATTTCTTATCTGAATCTCATTATAGTAGAAATATGATTATTTCAATTATTGAACAGTTTTCTGCAACTTCCACATTGGTTTATTATGCTGCTGTTGAGTTTCTTCAACAAGGATTGTTGTAGAGAACTTACAGAATTTCAAAGCAGCAAACATCTTGGCACCCAGTGGATTGTATGTTGCACTGCCTCCCAGAACCCAGGAGTTTTCTGGTGCCGACAACAAGAGGCAGTGTGTGGGTGGCACACCTGGCCTCACCCATTACTTCCAGGAGAGCAGCTGGCTCTCTGTTGATCTGTGTTGTGCATTAAGATTCCATATAAGATTTCTTTTTTGAAGCCAGCCGTTCTGCTGAAAACATTGCAGAGTTTCAAAAATACTTATCTAGTCCAAAGCCCTCATTTCCCAATGCACCAAGATCCAGAGAAATGTTTGAGTTAATGTCTTCTTGGCCACATCCACCAAGTAGGTGGTGACAGGCTGAAGAGAAGTGGGCCAATTGCCTAGCCCTGTGCCTGCCCAGGCGTGCTGCCGCAGTTGATGCTGTGCTGGGGTGATACAGGCTGCCACATGTTTTCTGGGAGTGGCTTATTTGTAAACATTGTTACAATGCAAAGTTTGGAGTAGGTTCATATGAAAACTTGGCTTTTTTTTTTAAGAGCATTATGTATTCACCAGCAGGAAAGTTGACATGTCTTCTAGAAATGGCAATGAGTTTTTTTCCATCTCCTTTTTATCTCTAGTGCACCAGAGAAGAAGTATCTTTCCTCAGCAGAGCCTTCGTCACAGTCTCTTCATGCTGTTCAGTCACTGGGCGGGTCCTTTCAGCATCATGTTTACTCCCTTGGACAGATACAGTGACAGAAATATGCAAATTAATAGACATCAATACTGTGCTTTAAAGGTATGTGCTTAGAAGCCTGGTTTTGTGGGCTTTTTTTTAAAGATCTGAGTAAATATTATGTCTCTCAGTAACTGGCATTATGAAGGAAAAGGATTTGTTCAGAGTACTGTATTGCCTACTGTATTCAGATACTTCACACTGTAAGCTTATTTAAATACATATAGTGCTATGCCTGAAAAAGCCACTCTTTACCAAGGTTTTGTGATCATTTCCTTAGAGAACTGAGGATTACCTCCAAGAAAAACTAATTCTTTCCTAGCTAGGCACTTGGTCTTTTATCTTCTCTTGTCACACTGTTCAAATCTGTGTCTATGTGGACGTGATGATATTTATTTAGTAATTTAAAAAATCTGTTCTAGAAATGTGTTATACAGAGTTGAAGGTATTATGGCTAGATATGCATGAGTAAAAGTATTTTTCCCTTCTCATTAAGCAGCCAGAATTTACCCTGTCAAAGTTTTTGAGTGTAATTCTGATATTATTGTTTGAAGGCTATGTCTGCTGTACTGTGTTGTGGCCCTGTTGCAGATAATGTAGGACTTTCATCAGATGGCTATTTGTACAAATGGCTGGATAACATTTTGGACTCCCTGGACAAAAAGGTAATTATAGCTCCCTGATAATGTCATAATTTTCATAGCCTTATTTGATTTTTAATTGTATGATTCATTGAAATTATCTTTCAAAAAACAAGTTAGGACAGATTGCAAAAAGCGTATTATGTGAAACTAAGTATAATGCCATAAATTAAAAAAATTATACTTCCTACTACTCATTTAGACAATATTAATTTCCCTTATTCGGGGATTAATATGGTGTTGTGTGTGTGTGTATATATATATAAAGTGTTATATATATAGGATTATTATATATACACTAGCATATTAGTCCTCGAATATATTACCTAAATATATATTTCTCAGTATTGAAATATTTATGTGGCCTCAATGAGCTCCATGGAACAATTATATTGTTTTCTATGTTTAATATTTTTATTATTTGGCCTCTTTGCAGTAAATCATTCCTTCGCATCTCCCTGTTCTCATTCTATATACACACAGAGTTTACAGCTTAAAATAGGACTTATATTTTTCCCTCAGAATAATCCTCCTGTTGAGGTACCAAAATCAAGATATAAAGCATAAGTAATGGGAGAGGTTAGTAGCTCATTCTTCTTATTCTTCATCATCATCACCCGCATTCAGAGCTGTCTTGGAATAGAGTCAACCCGAAGAGCCTGCTGTAAGAGTGAGAGGCCGAACACAGCTTGTTCATGATCCCCTTCCTCTTGGGATGGGGAAGACTGGGCGAATAAACAGAAAAGAGTTTAACTAGAGAAGACTGAGTTTTGCCATTACAGATAATGTAGAATAAATACACATACAATGTTACTTGAAAATGATTCAGTAACAGCTGACTTTCTCCCTTTGCTTCCCCCGGTGATGTTGCCTCCTGGTTTCCTTAGGTTCATCAGTTGGGCTGTGAAGCAGTTACGTTACTGCTGGAGCTGAACCCAGATCAGAGCAACCTGATGTACTGGGCTGTGGACCGATGTTACACGGGTTCCAAGAGGGTAGCCGCCGGCTGCTTTAAGGCCATTGCTAATGTTTTCCAGAACAGGTATTCCAAAGACTCGTGTCATTGTCCTTCCTCTTAAAAAAATGTTTCCTTTTGAATTTAGAAATTCTAAAAAACAAACTAACAAAAAAGCTGCTGTATCTTTCCCTAAGCTCTAAGGGAGTGTGACCAAAATACGGGTAATGATCACCAGGTATCTGTTGTACTTGCTGCTGTAACGCAGTAGCAGTTTCCTCATAGCCACTGGCTTGCCTGTTGTGTGCTGTATTGATTAGCTTTGGTGAATGCCTCAGAACGCTGGGATCTACCTAACGTGTAAAATTTCTCCCTAGGGATTATCAGTGTGACACAGTGATGCTCCTGAATCTGATCCTGTTTAAAGCAGCTGATTCCTCCAGAAGTATCTATGAAGTTGCTATGCAACTGTTACAGGTTTGTAAACAGATGTTAAAATATTTTAGAGCATATTTAGAAAAAGACAATAATTTAACCTTGTGTTTAAAATATACTAGCTCTCATGGTTGGTTTTAACAGTGAAGTGTAGTGTCGTTTTCATTATCGAAACACAAGACAAAGACAATGTAGATGCTTAACATTGTACATGATGTGAACAATTGAGTGTATAAAAGGAAGATTATGTACGTTACTGTGTATAAAGGAACTTATGAACAGAATGATTATAGCTTGTGTGCACAGATGAATAATGTGAGTTGAATGGTTTTTTTTGTGAGAGCTATGTTAAAAATAATTAGTTCTTTTTTGATATCCTTGTATAACTTTTTTCTCATAAAATTGAGGGGAAATAACTTGGAAAGTTTACTGAGCATGTGCGTTGTATATTCTGCAATAATTAACTCAATGATAATTGTCAAGGGGCTTCAAACCTAACCAAAGGCTAAGAGTGAAATTTGAGTAGATGCTGAAAATTTCCAAAAGCTTTGAAATCCTACAGATTCTTGTAGGACCATCTTAGAAATTAGACCTTTGCCAGTGAAGTAGAAAATCCAGGAGAATAGCTGTTGATGTGATACAAGCTAAGAAAGATCCTCTGTCCAATGGTTCAATCCCCAAGCAGCCACAACAGCTGGAGTTGAACCTATCCAAAGCAAGAGCTCCGTGCCTCATCCAGGTCTCCCACGCGGGTACAGGATCCTAAGGTTTTGGACCATCCTCAATAGCTTTCCCAGGCCACTAGCAGGGAGCTGGATGGGAAGTAGGGCTGCCAGGATTAGACTTGGTTCCCATATGGGATCCCAGCACATGCAAGGCGAGGACTTTAGGCACTAGGCTACTGCGCCAGGCCCTTGGGAGAAGATTCCCCTCACCCCCTTTATTTATAGCTGAGCTTTACAAGAGTCATAAAATATTTACTTGAAGTTTGCGAATTATGTTCTGGTAGATTCTGGAACCGAAGATGTTTCGCTATGCTCACAAACTGGAGGTTCAGAGAACAGACGGGGTGCTCAGCCAGTTGTCTCCTCTGCCACATCTGTATTCTGTGTCCTATTATCAGCTGTCCGAGGAACTTGCAAGGGCCTATCCTGAACTGACTCTTGCCATCTTCTCAGGTAGGATTGCAGAACTGCTCATTAATTTTTGTTTGGCAATCATTTCTTAAACTATGGGAAATTTCAAATTGTTTAAGTTTGGGGCTGAGTCAAAACATAACGCTCAAGTAAGAAGATTGTTTTCTTTATTAAGGACTCAATACCAATCCATCATAAATAAGCTTTTTCGGATAGACTTTACAGGACTCCATGATGGTCTCCCTGCTCACCCCACTGAGGATACAAAAAAAAAGGAAGGAAGAGGGGGCTCCATGTACAATGTTAAAATATTGCTTTAGTAGCTATTGAACTTCCTGAGTATGATTTGCATGTTGTCCTGTCCTTAGTAACAAAAGTGAAGGATAAAGAAAAATATCTCTGTAAATGAAACCTCTCATTAAAGGGGCAGGTGGTACAGTTTCTTGAGCAGAACAGTGGGGTGCTTCATGTGGCTTTCCAGTCCAGCATGCCATCCTTGGGGCTGGACTGGCACCTATTCCTGCCAGGGATTTTAGCACATCAGGGCTGTGCATCAGTGAAGCAGCTCGCTATCTGGGCCTACCAGCGCTCCAGTTGAGAATTTCTGATGTTGATCTAATTCAGCCTCCCCATGCTAGGGACGTACTATTGTCAATGCCCCTACAGGGCCTTATGCTTTTGCTGAACAGTCTGATTTACAGCCCGGGAGATGAGACACTCAGCCGCTGTGGCAAGATCTCTGACCAGTCTGAGTCCTGGATGTGCACAAAACTGTCTTTCAGGGAATCAGTAGGCCCTGCTGTGAGTCTTACACTTCATTTGGGCTCAAGACATATAGGCTTGAGACATCTGTCATAGCACCTGTCATAGTACCTACGTCAGCAGAGGGAATCATTTGTTTCCCCTACCTAAGTGACCAAGTGAGGAGAAAAGCAGCTGCACTTCTGCTGACGATCAGTTCTGATGCCAGCTATCCTGCCCCTTCCTCTTCCCAAGTTGGCACGTCGTTGACAGCCCTTCCGAGGTGGAGATGGGTGATCATCGACACAAAGCAGTGGTCACCATGAACATGTTTTAGGCTGCTGGGCTTCTGCTGGGCTCCTGCACAAAAAGCAGAGAAGCCTTCCATTAGTTAGCATGGCTGCCAGAGCCGGTGTGAACCAGGCCCACAACACAACCTCCTTGTCGTTTCTCCTAAAAGAAACGCATTTTAACTCTACTTAAAATAGCCTCTGAACCTGAACGCATTCTGAAGTGAATGTCAACTTGCTGTGAATTTGCACTTTCATTATTCTCATGGCAAGATGAGTACAGGTGCCATTGGGCATGCACTGTGCACACACGGCTATCAGCACAAGCTTTGCCCGCTTGGCAGTTTGAAGAGTCCTGTTTTGTCCTTTCTGCTGGCCCAGTGCAGGGGTCTTCCGTGGCATCTGTAGCCTGGCAAGTGCCCTCCGCCTCCTCCTCCTTCACACACACTCCTGATCCCTTGCCTATTTTCCCTGGCTTTGACTACCTAAACACTTCCATGACCTTGGCTATTTTGCTTTGTTTGTAGTGTGCATCGTTTTACAATCCCTTCAACAGTGCACATACATAAATGTTTCAGTTTTGAGAAGTATATTATGCTTATAGCAACCTGTTAGCTATTGATTTTCTTTATGATAGATCAGTGTGGTGAAATTGTTTTAACATAGAAATAGTGCTTATAACTGTTAAACTTAACAAAATCTGGCCTTTTATTCCTTATGAGAGAAAAGTTGAAATTAATTACAGTGAGAGCAAACTGAAATTAGAACAATTCTCTCCTCTGGTTTGTTTTTAATTAGAGATAAGCCAGAGAATTCAGACAGCACACCCTGCTGGACGACAAGTAATGCTGCACTACCTGTTACCTTGGATGAACAACATTGAGTTAGTGGATTTAAAGCCTTTGCCCACAGCAAGGAGACATGATGAAGATGAAGAGGATTCATTAAAAGACCGAGAATTGATGGTGACCAGCAGGCGCTGGCTACGAGGAGAGGGCTGGGGATCCCCACAAGCCACTGCAATGGTTTTAAACAATCTGATGTACATGACAGCAAAGGTAAAATGAATTTTGTATTTGGGTTACACAAAATAAGTTAGAAACAAAAAGAAATTTGATAGTTCTATGATAACTAAGCAAAATGTATTATAAATTCCTATCCTTAAAATTGCTTTATATTAGATATGAAATCTTAATTTTTAACTGATTCTTCGGTGAATAATCATAATGATGTTTAGATTTATTGAACAAAATGTTTTTTCCTCTAAAATGTGCAAAAGATTAAAGCAGCCTATAAAAATAATATTATTTGTATTTTGTGGTGTCAGGTTTGGTTTTAATACACTGTCATTGCTGACATGTTTGTTGTGTGTGTGCTGTATTTAGTATGGTGATGAACTGGCCTGGTCAGAAGTGGAAAATGTGTGGACCACACTTGCGGATGGCTGGCCAAAGAACTTGAAAATCATTTTGCACTTTTTGATCAGCATCTGTGGAGTGAACAGCGAACCAAGCCTCTTGCCTTACGTATGTATTCAAGTTGAAGTAATCCGATTTTTAAAACATTTTTTGCCACATGTCTGTCTTCTTAGACGCGAGACCAGGACTGAGAGGAGGAGAGTTAGGAAAGGGTAGGTGACTCTCTTATTCAGCAAGATAATTGAATGCAGTACAAAACAGGTGTGTCCCTGTGTACCAGTCATTACAAACTGATGGGTGGTTCCAAAAGTGCACTGCAAGCTCATGCCTACTGTATTTCATGAATAAAGCACCAAGCTAATAAAGTCCAATTGTGATAAGAATGGCAAAGGGAAATCCCAGAGTGTGTTGGGGAACAACACAGGAATCACAGCTCTCAAGGGCTTGAAGAGAACACTTGAGAAGACATGGTGCTAAAGTCAAAATCCACACAGTCGGGGATGCTTAGAGTTTTGGCAAGGCTGAACCTGGCATTTGGATGTTACCACTAGGTAGTAAATGGGAGGTCAGCACCTGTAGAATTATACCTAAAGATTCTAGAAGCTCAGGAAGACACTGGAAGAGACAGCGAACAAAGGGGTGCATGTAGTCTAGCTGTTACACCAGCAGTTAGGATGCTCTCATCCCGTGTTGGAGTGTCTGGCGTTCTGCCCTGCTCTGCTCTCTGTTCTAGCTTCCTGCTAATGGAGACCCTGGGAGGCAGTGCTACGGGCTGAAGTCACTGGGCTCATGGCTGCCAGTGTAAGCCCAGTTCATTCCCCGCTTTTGAGCTCATTTGCAAAGTTAAGTAGTGGATGGGAGCTCACTGTGTGTCTTCTTGTTCTCAAATCAGTAAGGAAGCATTTATTTTCATAAAGAAGTAGAAAGTAAAGAACACATAAAATGAAGGATGTAACATTTCTGCCTTTAAATCTCTCCAAAAAAAGAAGACAGCAGGAAACCATCCAGCATGAGAGTCACATGGAATATGCACACATGTATATTCTGGGGGCTTCAGACATTCAGGGAAACAATCGAAAGAGAATGGGCTTTTCCCATGAATGGTGTGAGGCTGTCTCACATGTCAGTGAAGAGAGCAGTCCTGAAGCAAGTGGCTTCTGCAGTGTGCTTCTCACAAAGTGCTTACAGATACTCCTTCACAAGCTGTTTAACAGCTTTCCTTGAGTTCCCAGGGTCACTGCAAGCATCATCTTCCAGGCAGATGTTGGACAAAGTGTTATTTGACAAGGCTTTAGGAAGTTTGGGCTCTGGTCCCATTGCCTGCTCGCTGCCCTTCAGCATTACCACCTCAGGCCTTTGCACCTACATCCTTCTCTTGCCTCAAGAGAGCGTGTGTTCCTGCCCTGACCCCTCCTGCTCCCCACTCAGCTGTCAGATCTCAGAACTTGGCTGCACATTGATCTGAAAGCCAACACAGGCCTCTCTCTCTCTCTCTCTCTCTCTCTCTCACACACACACACACACACACACACACACACACTCCTTACTCTTTTTTTTTTTTTAAAGATTCATTTATTTTTATTGGAAAGGCAGATTCACAAAGTGAAGGAGATATAGAGAGAAAGAATCCTCCATCTACTGGTTCACTCCCGAATGGCCACAACGGCTGCAGCTGAGCTGATTCAAAGCCAGGAATCTTGACATCCCTCGGGGTCTCTCAGGAGGTCCAGGGTCCCAAGGTCTTGGGCCATGCTTCACTGCTTTCCCAGGCTACAAGCAGGGAACTGGATGAGAAGTGGAGCAGCTGGGAAACAAACCAGCATTCATCTGGGATCCCAGGCATTCAAGGCAAGGACTTTAGCTTAGGCTATCATGCTGGGCCCACACACTCCTTACTGTTTTCTAGCCTCCTGGGTCTTCATGGCACTTAATCTTCACCACACATCGTCTCTTTGTTACCTTTTTGCCTCAACTCTGTGTAGGCTATAATTTCAAATTTAGAAATCTGAGAGTAACCATGGCCAGGAATTTAAACAAAGTCATATTTGGTGTCAGTAATAATTTCTGTTTTTTTAGGTACTTATTATAGGCCATACATGGTAAAGGCACTTCATTTACATTATTCCATCTGATTTGGGGAATTAAATGAGTTGGTACAACTGCTGTAGTCTTATTGATGAATGAAACAAGACAGAGACAGTCACTGCCTCAAGGTCACACAGCCGCCTGGCTCTGGACCTGGGGCTGAAATTCAAGCCTGACATTGAATAGTAGGTGAAAATGTCACAGGAATGGGTTGAGTCCTCTGTAGGACTTACAGCGTTAGACGTAGGTGTGTAGACTCAGAGATCTCAGGGCATGTTCAGAGGAAACTGAGGCAGAGACTGGGAAGGAGCAGCAGGTGCACACGGTGGGAATGAAGGAAGTGGAGGGTTGGGTTCAAAGCGCCAGGTTTCCCTGGGGAGTCAGTGTTGGGCTGTTGGTGTGATGCCATCAGTGAGTGTTGAGATCTGCAGTAGGGGCTTCTTATGTCTGACTCATCTGCAGATCTGATTCTAGGAGTGGGGTTAGGGCCTGAGGGTCCATCTTTTCTAGCTCATTCTAGATATTGATGCTTTTACCACAGAGACCACATTTCAAGTTGTGAGGATTAAACTGGAGAGAGAAAGGGAGATGGACTACTTAGTTATTTTGGTAATATGTATTACTAAAACACCTATAACACACACTACAGATACATTCTCCCCACTTGATTCATTGTAAATTAGCCATTTTTGAAAGAGCTTTATAACTCTTAACTCATTTAAGGTAGATAACTGCTACCTGTTTCCATTTTGCAGATGAGAAAATGGAGAATCACCTTCTCGTTGGTCTCGTTAGTTATTAGGTCCACATTTCATTGCAGGAAATTAGTTTATGGTCTAGATTGGTGCTAGTTTCTTCTAATTATGACTATAATTCTGAGTTTAATATACAAATAGGGAAGACAGAGTAAATAATAAGTCCTGGTTTTGGAAGTTGGCTAACTATAAATCAAAGGAAAGTCTTAGGATGATACTAACCAAAACTTCTTCAAGAATAAAACCATTATGGGTAGCCATTGGGTATAATAGTTCAGACGTGGCTTGAGATGCCCACATCCAGTCTTGAGTGCCTGGGTTGGAGTACCAGCTCCACTCCTGGTCCCACCTGCCTGCCAATGTGCACCCAGGAGGGCAGCTCATCTAACACTTAAAATTGAACTTACTCTGCCGATATCTCAGACACATTTACACGATAAAAATTGTGCTTTTTCTTGTCTGAATCTTTGTGACAGGTGAAGAAAGTTATTGTGTATTTAGGTAGAGACAAAACAATGCAGTTGCTGGAAGAGCTGGTGAGTGAACTTCAGCTGACCGACGCTGTCAGTTCCGGGGTCACTCACATGGATAATCCCCCATACTATCGCATCACTTCCAGCTATAAAATCCCTTCCGTCACCTCAGGTGAGATGTTACCTATAACTGCCTATTTTTCTGTTAAAAGGGAAACTACATAATTACACGTGTTAGCAGGTGTTTGAATCTTTATTTAGAAAAAAATGGAAACAAATACAAGTTATATATAGTAATTTATCTTAAAATTTGTTGAGTCATCTAATGAGTAAAGGATGAGAACAGTGATTGGATTTTATATTATAGAGGGAATTGATATTTACATATTTAGCCAGAGCTGTAATATAAATTTATATGTTTCTGTAAAGTGAGTGTATTCTTAATTAATGTGATTGTCATGTTAAAGTTAGAAAAGGTTTACTTGCTAAAATTATTTCTGTAATTCTATTTTATAATTGAATTTATGCATTGGCTATAATACATTATATCCAATCACATATCTGTTCTTAAACATGCATAAACATACAATTATAATAATTTTTGGAACTTTATTTGTATCATAAATTGACATAGTTGCATTTATTTATGGACTACAAAATGCTAATCTTAATTTCTTAATACAATGTGAAATAATTAAATCCAGTAGATTAGCTATGTCTGTCACCTTCAATATTAACCAAAATGCAAGTTGAAGACTCTGTCCCTGAGGGTCTAATTTCCATTGAAAATCAACATAATAGCAAAACAACTGGAGATGGAATTTCTGCGTAATCCTTTGTTGCTTAGTTCAGCATGTTAACAATGTTGCCTGTGTACTTAGAAATATTTTCAGTTACATATTTGTGATTTTTGTCATCTGTTTTAGCTTTTCAATTTTCTAGGGGATTGCTAATATTTTTATTGAATTTATAGAATATTTTAAATTCAAAAAAATGTGGGGTTTTTTTAGTAACACCTATTCTTGTTTCCTAGATGCATTCTTTTTCTGTATGTGATAAAATTAAACTTTTCTTCTCCCTGCAGAAGTCTTTATCTGAATTGATCTTTATTTTGATGGTCTTAGTAAAAGGTTTCCTTAAGCCCACCAGTTTTAAATCTATTTTCATAAAGTGGAGTGTTAACAATATCTACTGTTTTCTAAGTATATGTGAACTTTACTGGCGATTTCTGTGATCTATATGTGTCTATAAGTCTTTTCCTGTGGCTTAGATATCCTAGAGACAAATCTTCTGTTCATCTGCCTGCCGTAGAAGGGGTGTGTCCGTGCATGATATGTGCTTAGACACAGGTGCACACACATGCACATGCACACACAGCTGTGAGTCTTCTGGAAGCCCAGTGGCACGAGAAGGCTGTAGGGCAGGATACAGCCTCAAACTCGAGCATGCATACTTCCACCTAATCTCCCTTTCTCAGTAAGATGCTTTCTCCCTCAGCCATATATAGTGTACCTTATCCAGAAATATGATTTCCTTTCATTAGAGATGAGTTCTGGCAGTGTGAAGAGACAGGATCCTCCCTATAAGAGGCAGGAGATAGATTTTGGAGATCGGCTACTTACAAAATATGTTTTTAACCAGTTCTCCCTACTCTATGCCACCCATTGTTGAGCCTTTTTGGATCCTCGGCAGTGTAACTCTGGCAGCTGCCTCATTGCCCCCAAGACCCACTGAGGATTCAGCCTTCAGAGCAGTTTCTTCTTGCCCCTTTGTTTTCTAGCATTCAAGAATGCCATTTTGTCTCCTTTCCTTCTTGTTTGGTATGAGTACATTTCTTTTAAAAAGTGACTTTGTTTTCATTTAAGTGGTATTTTTGTTCTCATTGAATTCTGCCCTCTCCTGCACCCCCAGCCTTTTAAAGTTCTGTTTGTCTTGTTTCAGGAACTACTTCCAGTAGCAATACAATGGTAGCTCCCCCAGAAGGCAATCCCGACAGTAAGCCCGTAAAGGAGAACCTTGAGGAGAGGTGAGTACCGTGGTTAGCCTTCCAGCTGACAGGCAGGCACTGGTCCTCATCCGAATAAATAACCATATCTCCACTGGGAGGTGCATTGTTTAGATCCCAGTGTTGAAATATATTTCTATGTTTTTTACATTAGATATGCAGATTACTTGATTTTCAAAAATTTTTATATTTAATGAGTCACCATTCAGTCTGTCCATTTTGTTTAAAACAGATTTTTAACTAGGACATCTGTTTAAGAAAATCTTTAGGTAGAAGTACTTGACCAAAAGCTGAACCTTTTGAACTCTTCGAGGCAGAAATGATTACATGTCCTAATACTTTTGTCCGTGATTTCCATACTGAGTTCTTTTTTCAACTCGGAATGTGAAGCATAACATACAAACACCATTTCCGCGTGAGCGGGGACTAACGGCTGGCATCCTTTCTGTAGCTACGTGCACCTGGACATCTGCAGCGGCCTCACCAGCCACTTGAATCGTCAACATCACAGGCTGGAATCGCGATACAGCAGCAGCTCCGGAGGGTCTTATGAAGAAGAGAAAAGTAATCAGTTCCAAGTGTTCCTTATGTTAGCAGAATGGCGAGGTGTATTGTTGATTGTTTGTGCGTGGTTAAGTATGTTTTGTCCAACAAACGGCTTCTTAAGAGTGTCTCCCTGCCACGGGTGGTGTTGCAGTATCATTTGAAGTGTCTTAAGAAACGGTGGTTCTAAGAAGCCATGTAAGTGGAAGAATTTGCTTTTGAAGGCTCAGGTTCCCATAGAGAAATTGAAAAACTTCAGAACTGGTTCTCCGGGAGCAGGATGGACCAGACACTGGAAACAGAGTGGTTTTTTTTCTAGAGGTTTGTTCTTTCAGCACACAGGTTCATTTTACTAAAAAAAGAAAGAAAGCTCTCCCATGTATTTCAAAGTGAGAAGCCTTCCCAATTCTCACTATCACCTCAAGTTAGAAGAGATAACAGTACAGGCTTTCAGCCTGGAAAGGCGCCCTAGAGCTGATCTGGTCCAATCTGCTCATTTTGTTATGGAACTGCGGTCCAGAGAGGTTAAGTGACTTCCCCATGTCACACAGAATTCACATCTCCTGACATGATCTGTTACTGTTTCCCTGTAGCCCCGCTGTGGTAGAGCAGATGTGCTTTAACAATGGGTTTGTGTCAGCCCTGTCCCAGGAAATTTACAAGTGAACTTAAAGCAGACCCCTTTTACCAGGTGTCTTCACCCACAGTGTGGTCTATGTAGAATTATCATAAAATGCTAATATAACTTTAATGTAAAGGTGGAACCTAAATCGCTTTCTGTCTTTTCTCCATATTGCCTCTTTCCTTCTGTCCTCCCTTCTGCCATCCACTCCCTCCCTCTTTGTGCACCCTTCCTCTCTCCCTCCCTCTCCTTTTTTCTCTTTGCCTAATTTCATGATACTCAGGTCTGACTAGCAAACATATGTTAAAGTATTGAGAAATTATTTTTCATAACTTTCCAATGCTGTAAGTAGTTGGTGTCTTACTAGAGTTTGCACATTTTGTCAGACATTAGATGGTGTAGAAAATGAGCTCATTTTATCTTGATAGGTGATTCAATGCCACTTTATTCTAATTGGCGGCTGAAAGTGATGGAGCATAACCAAGGAGAGCCACTGCCCTTGCCGCCAGCTGGAGGCTGCTGGTCGCCACTGGTGGATTACGTGCCCGAGACGTCGTCGCCTGGATTGCCACTGCACAGGTGGACCACAGCATCATTCTCTTTCTGTTAAACCCTCCGCTATCTTCACGCTTCCTGAAAACGCCAGCTAAAAGCCATCGTCCCTATTGTGACTCTGCAACAAAGCGTGCTTAGATTTTGATTATGCCAAATTGATATTATTGAAAGTCATTCTGCTGTTGCTTTTCTGGGTGTCTGGCAGAGTGACTTGACCTTTCTGGGACGCAGTTACTACCTTTAAAAGATGTGCACTTCTTGTCCTCTGCATTCTTAATTTGAATCAAATTCAGCTGAATTCTCTGTAGCAAAATCAAACTAAAGCGATGACTACGTTCTTTCCAAACTTATTAAAGCCCGCACTCATATGTTGAACACCTACTATGTGGCAAAGCAGTGAGCTAGATCTTCAGGTTGAAAGATGAAGAAAATATGGCCTTGATCTCAAGGAACAAACATTACTTGGTTAGCCCTTGTTTTGTTCAAAAGCTATCAATGTTTTTTTCAGCTATCTGTCCTTCCTTTTTTTTTTTCCTTGATAAGTTGTATTTTTCATGAACAATAAAATAATGAAAACACTTGTACAGAATTTTCTTAGATATCCTTAGCTGTAGTAAGAACTCTAACGGCCGTCCTCCTTGTTGTAGGTGTAACATAGCGGTGATCCTTTTGACTGACCTGATTATTGATCATAGTGTCAAGGTGGAATGGGGAAGCTACCTCCATCTTCTTCTTCATGCAATTTTTATAGGTAAACAATGTTTGATTGTAATTCTTGATTTTATGTTTTTATGACCATGTAAACGTACACTGGTATGGGAACATTTTTGCATGTTTTGGTTCCCTGGATTTTGTGTTACTTCTGTGACAGTGACGCTTGGCTGATACCGTTTTCCTGGTCCGGTGGGGTTTTATTCCCAGGTTCTCCTCTACTCCCAAACATTTAGTCAACCCTAGTCCTGGCCCCATCCTGTGATCACTCATACACACACACACACACACACACACACACACACACACACACACACACACACACACACGTGCTGTCTACCAGGAAAAATGCTGCCGTTGTTCCAAGAGTAAAATTCATTTGCTTCTTGGATTGGGCATTTTCAATGAGTGGAAATAGAAATAGCTTTATATGGTTCTCCAGAAGAAGTGGGTTATTCAAGGTTTGGAATATGACATCCGAAAGTCTGTAGTGTTCTATGTAATGTGATTGTCAAGTCTGCAATACTTGTGATGGTTTTCTAGGTTTCTTGAAATGTTTGCCCAATATTCCATGTGGTCACATATTTACTCACTATTATGGACTCACATACACACACAAATGCCTGGATTCTTTTTTTTTAAAGTATGTATAGTGCTATGTAAGAGTATAATAATATCTGAGTTCACTAAATTTTAACTTATTTTGACTTAAAGCATGCTTTAATTTTTTCACTTATTTTTTTAAAGATACATTTATTTTTATTGAAAAGTCAGATTTACAGAGAAGAGGAGAGACAAAGATCTCACACCCATTGGTTCACTCACCAGATGGCTGCAACAGCCAGAGCTGAGCTGATCCAAAGCCAGGAGCCAGGGTCTTCCACGTCTCCCATGTGGGTTCAAGGTCCCAAGGCTGCCTTCCTAGGCCATAAGTATAGAGTTAGATGGAAAGTGGACACGAACTGGCACCCATACGAGATGCCATCCCTTGCAGGTGGAGGATTAGCCAGTTGAACCATTGAAATTATAAATGTGAAACACATTTAAAATCTTGGTGACTGGGCATTTAGCCTGGTAATTAAGTAAAAAACTCACATTGTATAACAGAATACTTGGGTTTAAGTCCTGTGTCTCTTCTCTGTTCTATCTTCCTGCTAATGAGCACCCTGGAAGGCATCAGTGATGGGTCAAAGTAGTAAGTTCCTACCACCCATTGCAAGACCTAGATTAAATTCCTGGCTTTGGCCCAGGCCAGCACTGGCCATTGCCGATATTTAGGAAATGAACTAGTGAATAGAATCTTGTTCTCTGTTGGCCTCAAAGCAAAACAAAACTTGCTTGTGTAATACTATAGGACAGTGAGATATCATAAACTTTCATAAGAACTCTAGACCAATTACTTTCTTAAATAATCGAATACATCATGTTCCTTGAAGTCGTTTGCATAATGTCTGTTGCGGGAATGCTTGCCATTTCACTTTTCCTGACCATGATCTTTCGCTGTCCTTTTCAGGGTTTGACCATTGCCACCCTGAGGTGTATGAACATTGTAAACGCCTGCTTCTGCACTTATTAATAGTGATGGGACCCAACAGGAACATCCGAACTGTTGCTTCTGTTCTTCTCAGGAACAAAGAGTTGAATGAGCCCAGGGTGCTTACCGTCAAACAAGTTGCACACTTAGATTATACTTTCACAGGTATTCCCTCTAAGTGTACAGTTTGAAAACCTGAATCAAAAGGGCAGTCAACCAAGTAAAAGTTGATATGCTAGAGTATATATGTTTGTAATGAGTTTCTGTAGCTTTAAGAACCACTCATGTTATTTATTAGTGAGTACAAGGATCAGTTAAACTTAGAATATTTACATCTGTGTTACTTTTAAGAATCTGTCAGATTTTTAAAGTTTTGAATATGTGATTTAAAAGCACAGTAAAAGAGTACTTATCGAACACTAGTCATGAAAATGATGATGAACGTAGATTTCTTCTCACAAGTTCTGAAAATTATCAAAGTAAGATAATGACAACATTTTAATTCTCTTCTATACATTTCCTGTGTTTAAGATGTTGTAGATTTTAAAGTGGTAAGACCAAAATTACTGGGATTTTAATGTAACATTTATTTCAGTGTCGGGGCTAATTTTTTTCATACAAGTTAAAATTGTTTCTTTCTAGTTAGATTTTGTCAGGCATACAAGGTTAATGAATTTTAGAGCTACTTATTTAAAACCCCATAGTTAGCAAGAAAACAATCATTAGGGAACTTCCTGGCCTTTGTGATGTAAAGAAAAACAAAAATTGCCACACTTTTATATTAAATCAACTTCATTCAGAATCCCATGGTTAACTGTTCACTTTTAAGGCTCCTTTTGCCATTTTTCTAAATATGGGCATTAGAAATAACCTATAAATATTGCAAACAGACTTTAAAATGATCTTTCACAAAGTGAAATGAAGAAAGTGATAAAACCCTTTCTGTAAGAAAAGAAAAATCAGTTCATATTGTGGAATCGTGGCTGTGTTACACTATGGAGACAGTATGCCATGATTCTCGGAAGCGCCACTTCCAACTGCCTTCAGCAGAGGGCAGCAGAGCACTGCGCAGCGAGGCCAAGGAACCGCATTTACCCAAACTCTTCCTGGAATCGTGTAAGAGCATCACCAGGAAAGCTGGCCCGTGTCAGCTGGCACTGACAGTTTTCCTCTTGAGGATCCACATGTAATTACGTGGTATGTGGGTTCAGGTACATGTCAGTATTCACTACACTCTTTCTCTTTCAGCAGGCATTAGTGATTTTATACCTGATTACCAGCCCTCCCCTATGACCGACTCAGGGCTTAGTTCAAGTTCTACCTCTTCTAGCATCAGCTTAGGAAATAACAGTGCTGCCATGTCACATCTGCACACCACCATCCTCAGCGAGGTTGATATCTCAGGAGAGCAGGATGGAAAAGTCAAAACCCTCATGGAATTCATTACCTCAAGGTAAGACTTGCAGATCTTCACTCTTGTTGGTAGAATTCAGGTCACGGCATCCTTGCATTGCTCAGCTCTTGTAAGCCGTGTTTTCATTGTCTGAAATGTCATTAATTTGGAATGCACAGGTTCGTAATGGGGAGTATTTTGAAAAGAGTGATATAAAAGGAGAGATTCCTTTATACTCACACAGAGCAAGACCTTAATCATAGTTAAGTGCCCAAAGAGAGGGCCTTCTTGTATATTCCATTCTCAGTAGCTTTTTTATTGATTGGTTACCACACATTTATCTATAGTCTACTCTGCAAAGCACTATAAGTAAAGAAGCAAAATAGCTAGGGAGAAAGAGCTTGGTGTCACAGCAAAGACAATCACAGGGGTATGAAAAAATGAAATGTGGTGGCTTACCCATTTAACTGTCATGCTGAGAAAAGAGACCATGATATGCAGGCAGTGAACTCAAGGGTCATGTTTGAAAACTACCAAACCAGATGGAGAGAGGGAATCATGATCAGTGAATAAGTGGAGAAGACGAGCAGTAGAAATGGAAGGGACGGTAGGCAGAAAGACCTTGTAAAAGGTGTCTAGGGCATTTTGGACTTCATAATAGGGAACTTGGGCAATAGTGCAAACACTTTTTCAAAAAGAATCATTAGGGCTTGCTGCGGTAGCCTAGAAGCTAAAGTCCTCATGTTGCATATGCTGGGATCCCATATGTGTGCTGGTTTGTGTCCCGATGACCCCACTTCCCATCTAGCTCCCTACCTGTGGTCTGGGAAAGCAGTCGAGGACAGCCCAAAGCCTTGGGCCCTGCGCCCACGTGGGAGACCTGGAAGAAGTTCCTGGCTCCTGGCTTCAGATTGGCGCATTTCCGGCCATTTCAGCCACTTGGAGAGTGAAGATCTTCCTCTCTGTATATCTGACTTTCCAATAAAAATAAATACATCTTAAAAAAAAAACAGAACAGTATTCTGCACTAAGATTTCCCTGTGAGCCTAGCTAGTAAGTTAGCATTGCATCAGTCAATGAATTCCATCATAATCTAAATACAGTCAAGCCCCTGTAATTTTGTCCTATAATACCTAAATAGTAATCAGTACACTCTTCTCTTAGCAAATGTTGGCATCTTTTCATTCTACTTCTGAGGGAAATTGACTGTAATGTTGGTTGAAATTGAGATCAGTTATTCCTCTGCTTCCTATAAATCATTAATTTGCACATATATAGTAGTACACAGAGGCACAACTCGATCTATTTAACTGCTATCCTCTCAGATGTGCAAAGGTGTGGTTTAGGTAAGAATGACTAAAATTACTTAAACTTATTAAGCATTAAGGGAACCACATGTGCTGTGTCTTTTCAGAAAAAGAGGGCCCCTTTGGAACCATGAGGACGTTTCTGCCAAGAACCCCAGCATCAAGAGTGCCGAGCAGCTAACCACATTCTTAAAACATGTGGTTTCTGTATTTAAACATTCAAGTGCAGGTACCTTTTAATAAAATCTAATGTAATATTCCTTTTTCATGAAGTGTCAAATTATTAAAAAATACTTAGCGAAAAGTTAATAGCCGATTTCAGTTTCAGGGATTTAAAAACTAAATATTGATAGATACATTTTGGTTGAAGAAGGATTAAACTGCTACCTTAAAAAATGCTGGTTATGAAATTCTGACATCTTAGTTTTGTGTATCATGACATCATCAAATTATTGTATGATTCAAAAGTTGAAAAGACATGGACGTAACACACTTAAATTCTTCTTTACTGGCTTCTCTGATGTAATATTTAACGTATTTCTGGATATCAGTGGAAATCTGTAAATCTAAAACAGTGGTTCTCAACCAAAAATGTCTGGAGACATTTTTGGAACAATTGCAGGCTAGGGCTAAGGGGATCAGTACTGACAGCCAGTGCGTCAAGGCTGGGGGCACTGTTGCCTATCCTATGCTGCTGACCTCACTGCCCTCCAGCAAAGTATGTGGCCCCAAAGGTCAGCAGTGCTGAACTTGGAAAACCCTAGGCCTCATCATCATTTTCCTAGGATTTAGACCAAAGCCTCATCCACAGTGCAGATGGAGCTTAAACCCAGAAAAGGGACTGGCATAACCTGTGACTATCAGAGGCCAGTACTGTGGCATAATGGAGTAGATTGCCACCTGAAACCCCAGCATCCCACACGGGTACCAGTTCTAGTCCTGGCTGATCTACTTCTGATCTGTCTCTGTAATGAATGTGCCTAGAAAAGCCGTGGGAGATGGCCCAAGTGCCTGGACCTCTGTACCCACTTGGGAGACCAGAAACAAACTCCTGCCTCTAGGTTTCAGCCTGTTCCAGCCCTGGCCATTGCAGCCATTTGGGAAGGGAACCATCAGATAGAAGATCTCTCTTCCTCTCTTTCTCTAACTCTGACTTTCAACACATTTTTAAAATCTTAAGAAAGAAAAAAATGTGAGTGTCCAGATAGCTTGCTGGGTCAGTGGGGCGAGTACAGTATTAGAACAGCTAGCCAGATTCAAATCACTATGTTCTAAAAATGCCAACAGCCTGTGGTTGTCTGTGTTTTCAGAGGGAATTCATTTGGAGCGCCATCTCAGTGAAGTTGCTCTGCAGACAGCACTTTCTTGTTCTTCTCGACACTATGCTGGGAGATCCTTTCAGATCTTCAGGGCCCTGAAGCAGCCTCTTTCTGCAACAACACTTTCTGATGTTCTCTCCAGACTGGTAGAAACTGTAGGAGACCCAGGGGAAGAGGCACAGGTATGTCATTGCATTCTTTCCAAGGTTAGCTAGCTGCCAAGGATTCACTGCCAAATGCAGCTTGCTGCAGCTAGAGCTAGGTAGCGATCAGACAGAAGTACTAATGTCAGGGGTCAGCGTCGGGCTTAGGGGTGAAGACACCCCTTCCACATTGTAGTACCTGGGTTACAGTCCCAGCTGTGGCTCCCAAGTCCAGCTTCCTAAAACCCTCCGAGCATTGGTGAGGGCTCTAGTGGTTGAGTTTCTTTTACCGGGGAGGCCTGGATTGAGCTTCTGGCTCCTGACTTATTTCTCTCTACCTCTCTGTCAAATTAATTAATTAACTAAAAAAAAAAGAGTTCCTAATTTCTGATTGACCACAAGCAAAGGATTAAGAGGCACATTTGTTTTATAATTAATATTTATCAACCAGTTAGTCAAATCAAATAGTTTAATGCTTGTCCAGGAAAGATACACACACAACCCCCTTTGGATATTGAGTAAAAGACAGGAAGCTAATTTGAAGTGTCAGGTAGAGCATTGAGTTTCAGATGAGCTAAGTGAAATATTACACTAGAGAATTAAGATTTCACAGACTAACGATTTTATTAGCACTATGCTAGACTTTGAGGGTACAGGGATGAACTAGGCAAATTCCCTGGCATTCTGAAGCTTCCAATCTACTGAGGGAAACAAGATATATCTATTCTATTTTTTTAATCTGCCAGTGTGGCCTAACACAGTTTTACTTAGTGATAAATGGTATGAAAAGAAAGCAAAGGATTGAAAGAGCGCTGGGGAAAGGGAGTCATTTGGATGTGATAATGTGAAAATATGACTTTGGAACAGATACTGAAATGAGCTGAATTCTTCTGATAACCTGAAGAAGGAACATTTTTTAGACAGAGGAAACTAGGCCCCAAGGTAGAAGCAATCTCCTTTTTTGAGGTGCATCACTGAGATCAGCGGGGTTAGAAACTTGTAAGGGAGTGGCAGCAAGTCCAGATTCTGGGAGGCCCAACAGTCCCTGCTGCAGGCTAGGACTCTGCCATGAAGGCAGCTCACTCTGGCTTCTGGGTAGGGTGTACAAGAGAGGACAAAAATGCATGTAGAAATCCAGTTAGGAGTTAGGCAAAAGTCCAGGCTCACCTAGGAGCATCTTAGATTAAGGGAAGCTATTGAGGGAGAAAAGAGCCATCAAATTTGGGGGTGTGTCTTAGTAGTCCTTTCAAAGCTTTTAGGTGGATCCAGTTTAGATTGTAATAAAGCAGAGTGGCAGGCATACAACACACTACTTGGGACTCTGTTTCAGAGAGCCTTTGCGTGAGTCAGGCTCTGCTTCTGATCCAACTTCATGCTTTGTACACTCTGGAGGCAGGAGACAATGACACAAGTATTTGGGTCACTGCCACCCACATGTAAGACTGGGATGGAGTTCTTGGGTCCTGACTTTGGCCTCTTGCAGCCCTTGCTGTTGTGGGTATTTGAAGAGTAAACCAGTGCATAGGAAAGTTTTGTCTCTCCTATCTCACTGCCTTTCAAATCAATAAATTTAAAAAAAAAAAGAGAGAGAGAGAAATAAGGATAATTCTTGGACTTCTGACCTGAACAGTTTTAAGTAAATTATGGTGCTATTATAACCAATTATACCATTAGTTTGATGTGTTTTGTCAGTCAGTAGGCTCTTGTTGCTTAAGAACTTAATCACCTAATGTTAATGTGGAATTTGTTCTATTTTTAAGTCTCTCACCAGGTAGTCCATTGCAGTTTCTTTTTACCAGTGCATAATTAATTAATCTCTGCCCTTTCTTTCCAGGGATTTGTGATTGAGCTTCTTCTCACATTGGAATCTGCAATTGATACTTTGGCTGAAACCATGAAGCATTATGACCTTCTTTCAGCCCTTTCTCAGTAAGAATTTAAACAAGGCAGCCCACTGTATGCAGAACTCCCATAGCAAGATACATCTATAGCATTGTATTATCCCAATATTGGTGGGGAGAATAGCAATCCAAAACAAATGGTTCATCAGTAGGAAAATAGACTTCAGGCCTGTATAGTCTTGACACTAACGTGGACAATTCCTTTTCCAATGCCCTTTGGGACTGTGTCCCTTCAAGTTCATTAACATGCTCCCACCTGCCACATTGCATATCCAGTTGCTCTCCAGACAAGATCTCTGCCAGCCACAGCAACCCACCTGTCTCAAATGATCACTTCTCCATGCAGCAGCCTCTTCTGCTTTTTCTGCCTTCCAGACCCCAACTCAAGGAATCCTTTAAGTCCCACCTCAAATCTCAGCTCATAGTTAAGGATTTCTTACTCTGCCAAGATGTTATGGCTTGCTCCAACCTTTAGGTTTTCACAGTGTGTTCATATTTTAAGAAGTTGTTAGCAACCTTTGAAGTTGCCCATTTATTTACATCTCTTTGTCCCCTCCCCAATGCTCTGTTGAACATTCCCACCCATTTCCAGGCTACTGACATGTAAAGCATTTTGTAAATAATTGTTTTAGTCAACAGTAATTGAATATTTATAAGGAGAAGTCAAAAAATAAGTGTTGGAACTTGGTTCTCTTGGAAGGAGCATGCGATAGAAACAGAGATAGCAGGACCATTGAGTTTGAGGATAATCTAATAATAAAAGGGAAATCAGTTCTTCTTTGGACTTAGTGTACCCATAAGTTCCAGAACTGAAAGTTATCAGTGTTTCCTGCGCAAGGCACATGTCATCCTAACTCAAATGAGGCACTTAGCCACAGTAGAAAAGGTACTGTTGTATATGTTTTGTTTTGCTATGGAGAGAAAGCTAAAATTTGATTGAACAAAGTCAGATATACTGAAAAATGGTCTTTCTGGTTACAGTTTCTGTTGTTCAGGGATTCTAAGAGTTGAGTGAATGCAAAGAAATGACGATGTGACTCTCTCTCTCTCTCTCTCTAAGAACCTCATACCATGATCCTGTAATGGGAAATAAGTATGCAGCTAACAGGAAAAGCACTGGACAACTCAATCTAAGCACAAGTCCCATTAATAGTGGCAGTTATTTGGGATACAACAGTAGTGCAAGAAGCAACTCTTTGAGACTTAGTTTAATTGGTGACCGAAGAGGTGACCGACGGCGGAGTAACACACTGGATATCCTGGATGGACGGATTAACCATAGCAGTAGCTTGGCAAGGACGAGAAGCCTTTCATCTCTCCGAGAGAAGGGCATGGATGATGTGCAGTCTGCTACTGAGCCTACCAACTTGATGGCCACCATTTTTTGGATTGCAGCATCATTACTAGAATCAGATTATGAATATGAATACCTCCTGGCCCTCAGGCTTCTCAACAAACTGCTTATCCATTTGCCTTTGGATAAATCTGAGAGTCGAGAGAAGATTGAAAATGTACAAAGCAAATTGAAATGGAATAATTTCCCAGGCCTTCAACAGCTCTTCCTTAAAGGTTTTACCTCAGTATCTACACAAGAAATGACCGTGCACCTCCTCAGTAAACTCATTTCTGTCTCCAAACACACATTGGTGGATCCTTCCCAGTTGTCAGGTGATGTTAATATAATTGCACCAACGTTTTGCATTTTTATGTAGTGGAATGTGAACTAAAATCATGTGTTTCAAAATTACTAATTTTGGCTTCTCTGCAAAGAGTTGCAGCTTTTCAGATGTGACATAGCTTAAATTAATTGGTAACAGCCAAAACAATTGAACTTAAATATCAAGTATCATAGGCAATGAACATAAAATGGTTTCTGAGAACCGTTTACAAAATACCTTTAACTTTTGAAATAATGTGCAATAAACTTGGTTATTTGCTTTTTTTTAATAGGCTTTCCTCTTAACATCCTTTGCTTATTGCCTCATTTAATCCAGCATTTTGACAGCCCAACTCAGTTTTGCAAAGAGACAGCTAGTCGAATAGCAAAGGTAAGCAAATGCTTCGGCGAAAGGTGATGCTATAGGGCAGCTATTCTGTAGTGTATCTAAGAGAAGGGGGAGCTCTAAAAAGTCTTCTGTCACTTTCTAAATTAATTTGGCATCTAAATTATTTTCTTTATGCATGTAAAGGAGTTATTTGGTGATGGTGAAAGCTAAACTGCTCAAATGACAATGAATAAAATCATTTAGAGTGACACTTCTTTGACTCTGGGTCTTTTTCTGCTCCTTTCCTGTGCTTGATTATTCTATTTCTGTCTCATTGGTTGATTCACTCCCATCCGTCTACTGGGCATGGGGTTCAGTGCTAGGAATACAACCACGGCACAGTAGATAGAATAATACCCTTGTGGACCTTACAATGGTTAATCAGATCAATAGATGGACAGCTGTGTCAGGGTCTGATGGGCAAGTCTCCTTAGAGGAACTCGTACCTAAGCTGACAATGAAGGCTGGATGGAAAACACCAAAGATCCAAGGATATCCAACAGTGGGTGAGGCTGGGGCCTGAATTTTGCTAAGAAGAAATTCCATGTGCAAAACCCCCAAGTCATAATATAATTTGGGATTCTGAAAGTTCTTCCTTTCTTCTTGCCTTCCTTCCCTCCACCCCCTTTAACACTTTCTCTTCCTTCTCTGTATACTTCACTCTTTTTTTCTTCGTTGATTTCTTCCCTCCCTCTACATTACTGAAAACAGTATTGTAGCTATAAAGTCATCCTGTAACGTTTGTTTAAAAGTGTTGTGGCTCATTTTGGTAGACATTTTGACATCTCCTGGTTTTAATAATTCCCATTCTTCAAAAAAATAAGGAATTCTCAAATGGCCTCTTACTGTAGTGTTATTCTTAAGTTTTTAAATCAATTGTTGAGTGTTTAAAAAAAGGCAAGAAAGAATTATACAGGTTTGTATGTAATATTCATAGAATAAATCAATCAAAACATAAAGGAAAGAAGCTAGCAAAAGGACCCGGGAAAAACTAGAGTTTTCAAAAGAAAGGAGCTAGCACATAAAAATCCTTTGGAAGAGCTCTTCTGCTGAGTGATTTTTGAAATGCTGGAATCAGCAAGTAGCATGGTGATGGACAGAAGCAGCTTGCAGAAAGCCATAAGCAGCCACTCTGCCATAGGCCTTGGTTATAACACAGAAGGTACAGATCATCTCTGGGCACCAACACAATGAAAAAACACACAGCGGTAACAAGAGTCAGGACCTTTTTATTATCCAGATGGATGTTATAAGTGATAAGGAAATATTTAATAAAATGTGATGCCCATTCCTAATTAGATGTCTCAATAAGTTAAGTGCTTAGTCATTTAAAAAGTTTGAATATAAAAAGAAAAAACCATTATTGTAGTTAGCAGAAACATGTTAGTTTCTGAAATAAAAATTGTAATGACAGAAAATAAGCCAAAAGTTGACTGCAGTTCTTGGTTTTGCTTAACAAGTGAGTCTAATAGAAAATTAAGTATTGAGAGGGTAAAAAAAAAAAATCAGGATTATTAGAAGTAAAATATTGTTGTTTGAAAATGATTATTTGCCCTAAAAAAGCCAATTTTTAACACATACATTTTCACTAGTTTGGCCTTATAGGATTTAAAATTTACTAAAATAACTTTCATTCTTAATATTCTGGTGGCATATCATTAGAAAAATGTAACCAAGAATGTTTTTTTCTTACGTAAGGCATAAGGGGTTAGAAAGTACAAGAGAAATAAATTCTATGTTGTTTTAATTTAGGATTTCAAGGAAATGAAAGGCATAAATGCCCTAATTAAGCAAAGCGGAGGTGTTTCAGAGCAGCAGCTGCAGGCTGTAGATCATGCATGCCTGCCGAATGTTGGGGCGACCGAGAGGCATGCCCTGAAGAGTGTCCTAAGCCCTTGAACATTCAGGGGCTAATGTGACTTAAGCAAGACACAGCAAACTCCCCAATATCTTTTCTGTCTCTAAGAAATTAAATATAACCTTCTGTGAATGATGAACTGTTTTTAAGTCTGCTTCCTTCCTACCGGGCAGCACACAGGTCCCCTCTCTGCGTGCTTTTAGCTGCCTGCAGGATGCGAATTCAATGGATTTCTTAATTACTCTCTCCTTTCCAACTCTTGAGAGTAATTTTCTGCCATTATGTGCTTCCTCATTATGCAAAAATCCTCAGCTCTGTTTGTACCCTTGGAGAGCATAGAATTTAAAAATGAGGTAACACGTAAGACAAATATTGTTCTCTTTGATTATGGCAAAAAATAGTATGCTAAAAGGATTGTTACAAAGCACTCTAAGTCATTTGTTTTATGATAATACTTCACAGCATATATTCAAACTCTGATAAATTTTCTCTCTTTTCCAAAATAGATTTTTAAGAATTATTCTTTAGAAAACTATTATTTATGAATGTAGGAATTCTATATCAATGCTTTATTTTCCAGGAAAATTTTTACATATTTTAAAGAATTTGAACAAATTTTTATGAGATCCTAAAATTGTGATTTTTAAAAATAGTCATAAATTGTTATTTTGAAATGCAAGTAAAGATCACTCACATTTTGCTTGTTTCTTTATGATGTGTATAAGAGTAATGCACTAAAGCAGTTGCTTTTAATTACACAAAATAACTGCCAAGCTGCTGTGTTAAGTCCCTAAGCAGATGGCATATTTTTATGTTTTGGTCCTGTTCAATGATAATGTCCAAATGATGAACTTGAGACCTTCCAAGCTAATCAATGTCTTCTGCGTTATCGAAATAAAAGCCAGTCATACTCATTTGAAGGCTGAAATATACAGTTGAAAATGTAACACTCTAAGTTCTTTGCAAAATGCTCTAAAACTTATGAAATACTGAAAAAGCATTGGTGTGAAGAGAGTGAAAATAGGAAAATTAAAAGCAGGAATTATGATGAGGTTAATTAGCCTTTTATGAAAAATAACTATCAGGGTATTTTGTGAAAAATAGAATAAATTGATTTTGGTGCAGCAGTTTTGAAATCCATGCATAGCTTTTTTTGTGAATCTTTATTTACGTGGATTTCAAAAGCTAAATTTGCACTAAAACAGATGCATATTTTAATTCCATGATTGCACAAATGTTTAGAAGTGCCCAAGTGCATGAAACTGCTCTGGGCTCTTTTCCATCTTTGCCTTGTTTAGGTGCCCCTCAAAGGAGGAACAGACACATTGAGAAGGTATATTGGGCCAGCACTGCCCCTGACAGATCCCATAGCTGTATCCAACAGCCCCTCAAAAGTTTGTACATTTTTGAGAGGCTTCTCAAAGACCAGGCAAGGGCCAGGGTGGGGTCCACCTGCAGAAAAGCTGCAGAACAGGCAAGGCTGTTCACTGCTTGTCTGAGAGTCCCCAGCATGGCTATGCTGGAAGCATTTGCTCGTAAACATGGCAGGTCTGAACATCCTTGGGAGTCCCCTAGCGCCCTGTGGATTTAACAGAACAGCTACACAGTGACATCCAGGGTTTACAAAAAGCTGCTTTGACAGAGCACCAGACTGATAAAAGCCACACCACTTTATACTCACAGAAGCGTTTGGCACATTAATCCTCTTGCCATGGGATCTATGGTTCCTCTCCCAAGACTGCCTAATACCTTCTCTTCTGTTTCATTTTTCTACTGTCTGGAAATAAAATGCTTTAAAGCTAGATGAGCTCATGAAATAGATGAAGGGTTTAGTATAAAATCTAAAATAATGTGAGAGTAATGACAGGGTTTGTTGGTTTCCTAGGTTTGTGCAGAAGAAAAATGCCCGCCGCTTGTCAATCTGGCTCACATGATGAGTCTGTATAGTACGCACACGTACTCTAGGGACTGCGCCAACTGGATCAACGTGGTGTGCCGCTACCTGCACGACTCCTTCTCGGACACCACGTTCAGTCTCGTGACTTACCTTGCCGAGGTAAACCTCCTCTCCCGAACCTTTCCGTGGCTTTGTCCTTAAATACAACACTCATGAGAACTCATCGCAAGTTGTCTTTAAGAATGGCTATAGGTGATGACCTCTTTATAGAGACAGATACAAGTAATTCTTAACAAGTATGAAGCTTTTTTTTTTTTCAGTCCTAGTATTTCTTTCCTGATTCGCTGTCCTTAAGTTACATAAAACTAAATGTAAGCCTTTCTCTTTGGTGATGATGGTGTAGTGGTTGTTCTCTCCATCTAAAACAAATGGTGCTTAACTAAATTACCTAAGGAAATAAAACAATACAGTGAAGATGAAAAATAATTACCCAATTAACTTTTCTGAATCAAGGAGAAATTATGATGGATATTACCTGTCATTTTATTAGTCTCTGAGTTTAGGATAACCCAACCGTAAACGCATAGGTTAAATTTGTTGTGGCTTTCAATATCCTACATGTCAATACTGTTTTTCTTTTGCCTGATTAAAATGTCCTTTTTAAACATTTCTTAACAGTTGTTAGAAAAAGGCCTCTCCAGCATGCAGCAGTCACTTCTCCAGATAATCTACAGTCTGCTCAGCCACGTGGACTTGTCCACAGCCCCAGCCAAGCAGTTCAACCTGGAGGTCATAAAGATAATTGGCAAATACGTACAGGTGAGTGACCCCAGACCCTCTGCACGCTACAGTCCTCTCAAAGCGAGCTATGAGTGTGCAGAATTAGAAACACTTCAGACACTCAGCAACAGGAAATGCTTCCTTCCTAAGTGATATGTTAAGGATTTCGCAGTTAAAAAAATGATTTTTACAGATGTTTCACAGAAACATTATTTCCATAATCTGCAGTATATACTTTGTGCTCCTAAATATGCATTTGTGACTTATGGTTGATTCTTTTTTAAACCAGAGCCCTTACTGGAAAGAAGCGCTTAACATATTAAAGTTGGTGGTGTCACGCTCTGCAAGTCTTGTTGTACCCAACGATATCCCCAAGACCTATGGAGGAGATATGGGTTCTCCTGAAATATCCTTCACTAAAATTTTTAATAATGTCTCTAAGGAGTTGCCTGGGAAGACCTTAGATTTTCATTTTGATATATCTGAGGTAAGATGCTCAAGAATTGATATCAACCCCTAATTAGAAGATTCCCCATGTTCATTCATTCAGCTAGTGTTGAGTGAGCTCTGCTCAGTGTTAGGTATTGGGGTAAGTGCTTTGAAAAGTGGGAGTGGGGTAGGAGGGAGGTCTCGCAGAAACCTACATCTCCTAAGTAAACAGGCTAATAAGCATTGTAATAAGTGCTTGGCTGAAAGTAAATTAAAAATGTTACAGGAACATGCAGCGTGGCTCTAAAGGAGTAGTTTCAGGAAAGAACAGATAACATGCCAGCTGAGGGTTGAAGATGTGGAACCCTGGGTAGGTGTATATGGCAATTTGAGTTGAAGGTGTTAAGTTGAAGAGAAAGAAGTACATGTGAATAAAGATTTGTAATAGTGAGGGAACATGGTGCTCTGAAATTCCAGCTAGTATAGAATCGCTCAAACATGGATTCTGGGGAATGGAGAAGGAGCATGATGGGAGAGGTTAGACACAGGAAGGACAGCATCTCAGGGATCCTGTATGCCATAGTGGGGGTAAGGTGGTTTTCTGATAAAACACTGGGAGCTCTTCAAGGATTCATAGCTGGAGTAGGAAATACTAGAATTTTCACTTTGCAAAGAGCACTAACAACAAGATGAAAAATAAGGCAGGAAGAAGGAAGTAAGGATCATGGGTGAGGATAACGTGTGACAGTCCCAACCCAATGGCACAGGAACATGCTGATGGGATTTTCTGGGGAGAGGGCGTGAGGTGATGCAGAGGCATCAGTGAGGTGTTGAGAGGAGTGGGACTGGAGGAAACAGATCTTCACAGGGAAGTGGGGGGCATGAGATCGGTCCTAGACATCTTGATTCTGAAGCAACTGAGAAACACTCATGGAGGTCAAGTGGGCGATTAGGTTTAAGTCAAAGGGGGAAACTTGGGTGGAAATAAGAATGTAAGGGCTTTCAGTGTTGTACAAGTGGATAGCTAAAACTATGGAAGAAAAACAAAAACAAAACTGAAATAAAAACTCAAGCTCTCAGTGAACCTTGAGAAGCCAAGCACTTCCGGGCAGGGCCACCAGTTCAGAAGGAAGCTTTACCCGGGCTGTGTTGCATGTTAACACAAAGCCAATGTGCAACTTTTGACTCTTGCTGGAAAATTGGTAACTTTTCCCTCAGCATCTGAAACCACACTTACTTGGTGGTCACGGTGCCACTGAAATGGTCTTTTGGAAGCCCAGGAAGAAATTTTGAAAAAGGAAATTATTACTCAAATATTTCAGGGATTAAAGAAGATAAAACTTAAAAAAGATTTAGCTACTTTTTATTAAGATGTTGTATTGCAGTTTCTTTTGACATTGGAAAATATCCTAAACTTACTTTGATACTTTGTTTCAATAGAAAATGTTTATTTCTGATTTTTTGTGTATGAAAAAGTGAGAATTTATAACATAGGAACATGATACATGAGTCAAAAAGTGATTAGATCACTTGATTTTGTGTGTGTGTGAAGTGCTGCTGGTGGAGTTGTTTTCAGTTTGCTTCACTGAGACTTCATCATTGCCTGCTAGGCTCCAGTGAGAGGACCACACATGGTCCAGAAAATACGTGTGTCCTGGGAGAGAGGCACATAAACAAATTAAAACCCGCATGCTGACTGCCCAAGGGTAATTACACAGAGGGGGTGAGGCTCGAAGAGGCCTCCTTGGAAGTGTGCAGTCACTAAGTGATGATAAGAGAGTCAATTAGCTGATACTGCATGCAGAGGCAGCAGTGGCCAAAACAGAACCTTAAAGGAACATAATGTTTTAAATAATAAAAATAATAAGGCCTAATGTGTTTGAGAATGAAAAGAAAAGCAGGATGATTTCTTGCTGAGTTTGAAGTTGAACAGGGAGGAAGAATGATGAGGTAAGTTAGCAGCGGATAATCTGACATGCAGATGAGCTTCAGTTTTATTTTCAACTGCAAGTTCAAAACTTGACAAAGCCAGATCAATATAAATGAGTCAATCATCATAGAATGTTTTTACTTACCTTCAATGTTTCTAAAGTGTATTATTAAAAACAAGACATTAAATACAACTGAGTGGGATCACAGGTGATTTTTTTAAATTTTCTGAACTTTCTACAAAGAGGATATGGTTTATAGTGATGGGGGTGGGTAGAGGTGGTGGTTTTTTAAGGAAGACAGATTAGATTTAAAAATAGGACTAAGCTCTGATATTTCAGATATAAAGTACTCTCCAAACTCTTGATTTATATATATGTATATGTATATGTATATACATACACACATTTTTTTTTGTAGCATCTCCTCAGGCTAAGTAACTGTCATTATCATTTGCTGGTTATACTTTATGTTGAAATATCCGAGACCAACATTCACGTTTTGTTTCAATGTAGACACCAATTATTGGAAATAAATATGGTGATCAGCACAGTGCGGCTGGAAGAAACGGGAAAGCGAAAGGCATTGCAGTCACGAGAAGCACTTCCTCAACCTCTTCAGGTTCCAATTCTAATGCCTTAGTTCCTGTTAGCTGGAAAAGGCCCCAGCTGTCACAGGTACATTACCAAATAGCAAAACAGAACATTCACAGGATAGAAGAATCGATTGTGTTATTTGTATGAAAAGTTGAGAATTTTTTCTTATTTTACCAATAATCTTCACATTTGTCCTGTTTCCCTTTAGCGAAGAACACGAGAAAAGCTAATGAATGTACTCTCTCTCCGTGGCCCAGAATCTGGCCTTCCAAAGAACCCATCTGTGAGTAATCAGGAAGGCACATGTCAGGGGTTTTTGTTTGTTTTATGAAGATTTATTTCTTTTTATTGGAAAGTAGGATGTACAAAGAGAAGGAGAGAGAAACATATTCTATCTGTTGGTTCACTCCTTAAGCAGCCGCAATGGCCAGAGCTGAGCTATTTAAAGCCAAGAGCCAGGAATTTTCTCTAGGTCTCCCATGTGGGTGCAGGGTCCCAAGGCTTTGAGCCGTCCTCGACTGCTTTCCCTGGCCACAAGCAGGGAGCTGGATGGGAAGCAGGGCAGCTGGGATTAAAACCACAGGGATTTAATATGGGATCCTGGCACATGCAAGGTGAGGACTTTAGCCATTATGCTACCCCACCCGGTCCACATGTCAGTCCATGAAAGAATGATTCTTCCTCTGTGCTTTCATTTTCTAACTTCTTTATAGTATTAACCGAGAATGGAAAAAATACTTGTCCATTGTTAAAAATGAGATGTTCAGCTAGTTGGGCATAGGGACTAAATTTCGATTGTAACATTCCTTGAGCTGGGGAAGTCTATGATTATTTTATAGGTTTCGGTATGTCATGCATGCAGAGTGACAAAGCTGATGGATGGGGCTTTTGTTTCTGTTCTTGTGGATTGCCAGGTTGTATTTTCTTCCAATGAGGACTTGGAAGTCGGCGACCAACAGACCAGCCTAATTTCTACAACAGAGGACATTATTCAAGAGGAGGAAGTAGCCGTGGAAGACAACAGCAGTGAGCAACAGTTTGGTGTCTTCAAGGATTTTGACTTTTTAGATGTTGAATTGGAAGATGCAGAGGTAAGGACATGGAACTTCTATAATGAAAGTTATAGATTAGTTACAGTTGTCTGAGAATTAAGGACTTGACCACAGGAACCCCCCCCCCCCCCAGCTTTTTAAAGATTTATTTATTTATTTAAAAGGCAGATTTAGAGAGAGAGAGAGAGAGCTCTTGCAGATGCTGATTTGCTTACCAAATGGCCTCAACAGCCAACAACAATGCCAGGAGCTTCAAACTATGTCCAGGTCTCCCGTGTGAGTGCAGGGACCCCAATCACTTGGACCATCCTCCACTACTTTCTCAGACATGTTAGGGAATTGGATCAGAAGTGGTGCAGCCAAGACTTAAATCAGTGCCCATCTGGCATGCGGGTGTTGCAGCTGGCAGCTTAACCTGCCTGCTTCACAACACCAGCCCTGGGCATCATTATCATCATCATCACCTGAAGTTAAAAAAAACCTAAGAACCAAATGTGATTATCACAGTATGTCAGGTAGCAGAATAAATCTGAAATAGAAGTGGAACATCTAGTTTTTGATATTTATTTTTAAAACACAAAGTAAAGATTTTCCTAAATTATTTTTAAGACATGCTTACATTAGAGGCTTTGGCTTTCTAGAACTCTTCCTTCTGGCCAATAACCAACATTCTTTCCATGTCATGCCTCTCCAGTTCATTTACCAAATGCCCACAACAGCCAAGCCTTGGCCAGGCTAAAGGCAAGACAGGAACTCTATCCAAATCTCCCACTTGAGTACTGTGTCATTGTGTGTTGTCTCCCAGGCACGTTGGCGGGAAGCTGGATCCCAAGTGCTCTCTGATATGGGATTCAGTCATCTAAAGTACCAGCTTCATGTGCCACACTACAACACCTGTCCCTGGATGCCATCAAAATGGAAATTCAAACTCAAGTAGACTAACTTAGAGAACAGCTAGTTTAGCCCTAGAGCTAAGAGTGGATTTAGGCATGGCTCAATAAGATCTCTGGCTTTGTCTGCAGTTCTCTAGGTCTGCAAGTCAACCTCAGACAGCAGTGAGGTGTCTTGTCTTGTGTGCACATATGATTTCACACACATATGATTTCTGATGAACCCAGGTCTGCCTCCAAAAATGCTGAGAAAAATAAGCAAGTCGCTTTCCTATGTACTGGTAGCACCTTGTTGTCCCATCTTTTTGGCCCAAGCTGATATGCACACTTATTTCTGAAGCAATGACTTTGACAAGTAGTATAAGGTTGCCCTGATAGTCTTAAATTTCCAAAGCTGAGGTCAATTCCCCAGACTACAGTCCGCTAAATCTGAAACAGTTGTGTTAAGTATGTCTCTTAATGTACATTCTAAAATTATCACAAATGTCTGTCTGTGAGAAGACCAAACTGCTGTGTTTTGATAGCTATCTTTTCTGAAGAATTCAGTGTCTTGTCGCTGCTATGAAATCCTCAGCTCTCAGATGGCAGGTACTTTCTTTGGCTCCGAGACATGAGGCATAGTAGGAACTGTAAGGGCCAGTGTTGCGTCACAGTGGTAGTCATTCACAGGAGTGCAGTAGTTTGGAGAGGTACACTCCCTTCAGCTGGTGCCTCTGCCTCCCCTGTGGTTGTGAGGCCAGGACCGTAGGCTCAGAGTCACACAGATCCCTTCTACTAGCTCGGGAGCTGAGCAGTCTCAAAAACACATTTGCACAAGAGCAGAGAAACCCCAGAACAAGTATTGCGCAGCACCATGTCAGGCATTGGCTGTCTAGGTTTTTGACACTTATTTGCAATTTATGTTTGTTTTTAAGATTTATGTTTTCTTTTTATTGCAAAGTTAGATTTACAGAGAGAAAGAGAGACAGAAAGATTTTCCATCTATTTCCTGGTTCACTCCCACAGTGGCCCCAACAACCAGAGCTGAGCCGATCAGGAGCCAGTAGCTACTTCCAGGTCTCCAGTGTGGGTGCAGGGTCCCAAGGCTTTGGACCATCCTGCACTGCTTTCCCAGGACATAAGCAGGGAGCCAGATGGAAAGTGGAACAGTCGGAATGCAAACTGTTGCCCATATGGGAACCCCGTGCATGCAAGGAGAGGACTGTGCTCCAGATGCAGTTAATGTATTTTATATCACAAACAAGTATACAGCTAGACACTTTCTTATAGGTTCCGAGAATCTGCATACTTACCATGTGCTGTGCATACTGGCATGTTTTGTTCTCTTCCATTTCTTCCATTGCTTTGTCTTTTGTTCCCCACAAGAGGCAGTCCAGACCTTCTAATAAGAAATTCACACTCAATTATTTGCAAAGCATCTCTAGGAGAGATTTGCACAGCCAAGTAAGAAAGTAGGAGGCAGACTGCCACTGCCCTGTCACAGTGAGCAGCTTCTGAATTCCCTGGTGCTTATTTGCTCTCTTCTTAATTTAGAATTTAAATTTCTAAAGACAGGCTCTTTACCTCTTTGTAATATTTAGAGTTTTTTTTTTTGTTTGCTTTCTTTTCTTTGAAGAGCACTGTAAATACTTTCACATTCCTCCAGTGCTCTGAAATGCCAGTGGTAATCAGTATGGCTTGTTACAGCACCTTAACCAGGTGGATTAGCGATGCTTATTGTAGTAATCAGGAAGGAAGGAAAGACTGTTCAAGAATACCTCATAAAGTACCCCACGGAACACCAGGGCTGCCAATTGGCCTCGAGAAACAACCAAGAAAGAGTGGGGACTGAATGGACACATATCTTAGACCAGAGCAGCTCTGGTTTTTGAGTTAACGTCTTGCACACTTAATTTCCAGCTAAAATTTTATTTGAAGTAACTTCCTCTGCTTTATTCAGAAAAACAGAGGAAAACTTCTATTCTAGACAATTTCTTGCTGAACAAAGAGATATAAATAAATTATGGGTTTCTGGCCAATTCAGTGTAATGTTTTCACATCAGGGCCGAGGAATGATTATAAGAATTACATTATTTAGAAAAATTATATTCTTGTGAAAGGGCGATCAGCTTAGAGTAACAGAAACATAACTGGCATCCTCAAATGGGGCAAAATTGAAAGGTGTCAGCATTTCCTCTTGCCCTTTTAAATTGGCAACAATTGTGCCTTCATCACTGTGATCTGGATTTCAATTTTAGTAAAAAAATAAAATGACTGTTGAATTTAGCCATTGTGTTCATGAGCCAACCTATAGCTAAGATAATCGTAACCTTGTACGTTGTCAGCTAAATGTGGTTATTTGAGGTCATTTTTCCATTGTACTAAGTACTAAATGTACCTTTTGAGGAGTTTCTTCAAGTTTGTGTTGCAAAGGTGCATTATATAAACATTGCATTAAAGTGTCTGTCTTCAGTGACTTCTTGACAGTGTATTTTGCATAAACAGAATAGTTTGAGCCACATGCTGACTTCCTGAACAAAGTGTCATCTAGAACTTGAGTCAGTCTTTGGGTTTGAGAAATCACAAAGAATTCTCCCCGAAAGTGTAGTGTTTATTTCAGTGTTTGTCTCCGTTCTAATTCTGTGTATTTTCCCTTTTGCTAACCAGGAGCTACAGGTAAGTCGCAGCCTGGTGTTATGGATTGTTTATTTGTTGTCAACTGTGATGTGTGTGTCTTCTTTGTGGTCTCATTTGTGCTTATGTATGGTAGAATAGAAATGACCTTAGAGAATAGATTTAATTGGTCCCCAGTGATGCGAGATAGAAAGCTAAGACAGTTACAACAGGTTATCCTGCCAAATCCTACTGATCTCTTTAAATATTAAAATGCATTACAAGTTTAAGTTGAAGGGCTGATTGAAACTCTGCTTTTGATGATGCATTAAGTATTTTTCATCATGATATGCTTCCCAGATATGTTACAGTCACATATTTGTATGCGTCTATTTGAGGTCTTAAAGACAGTGTTTTACTTCTCCAGGGAGAAAGCATGGATAATTTCAACTGGGGAGTTCGCCGGCGCTCCCTGGATAGCATTGACAAGGGAGACACACCCTCCCTGCAGGAGTACCAGTGTTCCAGCAGCACCCCCAGCCTCAACCTCACCAACCAGGAGGACACGGACGAGTCCTCGGAGGAAGAAGCCGCACTCACGGCCAGCCAGATCCTCTCGCGCACACAGATGGTATCCGGTTACACTTTCATTCAGTGCCCAGGGAGGGAAAGCCAGCAGTGGGACCCAGCTGTCCACTGTGCTGCTGCTGCTCATGCAGGGATGTCATTTTCATGCTACGCTAAGCCATGCCTCCCTTTAACTGAAACCCATTTATTTGCTCCAGGCTCTGCCTGCTGCTGGTTTAGGGCTGGCCACAGTGCTGAACATCAGGCCCCAAGCTGGAAATGCAGAGCTGTCACTTTGTAGCTGGCTCTCTGTCATCTCCCCTGCCTTGTTTTGACATCTCAGTGTTGTCCAATATGTCTTTCAGCAACATCCGCATCCCCTCCTCCCACCCGCATGTAGGTGTTTAATGATAAGCTGCCACTGATCCAGGCAGTCGGCTCCAGCAGGCAAGTCTTAGCAACCTTATGTTTGAGCAAGCTGCCTGAGGCCTGGTTTATGTGTGGACTGTGTGACCTCTCAGGAATGGCCAAGTTCTTGGCTTTAGCACTGGCTGAAGGAGGCATGGTTACTGTTCCTCAGGCCGCATTGCAGACTCAGGAAGCTGCCTGTGTCTGTGGGGGGGAGGAAAGCCACCCAGCCGGCATAGCTGATTCATACAGGTTAGTCCTCAGGAAAGCCATGGTAGGGGATGGGTGGCTTCTCTCTACGAGGCCAACCGTACTCATGGCAATATTAGGATAAGAAAAAAATTAGGTTGGTGGCTCTTCATAGAAAAGTATGGTTTTTGCTCTTATGTACTCTTAATCATAATACTTTCATGTTGAATGTTGACCCTGTAAACGTGCGTAAAACATATAAAGTGTAATAGTTTTTCTACATTAACAACCAAAACATTTTTTTTTCTTAAAGATTTATTTTATTTTTATTGCAAAGTCAGATATACAGAGAGGAAGAGAGACAGAGAGGAAGATCATCTGTCCGATGACTCACTTCCCAAGTGACCACAACCGAAGCCAGGAGCCAGGAGCTCCTTCTGCATCTCCCACATGGGTGCAGGGTCCCAAGGCTTTGGGCCATCCTCAGCTGGTTTCCCAGGCCACAAGCAGGGAGTTGGTTGGGAAGTGGAGCTGCCGGGCTTAGAACTGGCACCCACTTAGAACCAGCGTGTTCAAGGCAAGGACTTTAGCCTCTAGGCCATGGCACTGGGCCCCAATACATTTCTTTTTAAGATTTATTTTGTTTTCATTGGAAAGTCAGATATACAGAGAGAGGAGAGGCAGAGAGCAAGATCTTCCATCTGATGATTCACTCCCTAAATAGCTACAATGGCCAGAGCTGAGCCAATCCAAAGCCAGGGACCTGGAGCCTCTTCCAGTTCTCCCTTGCGGCTGAAGGATCCCAAGGCTTTGGGCAGTTCTTGACTGCTTTCCCAGGCCACAAACAGAGAGCTGGATGGGAAGTGGGGCCGCCGGGATTGGGACCGGTGCCCACATGGGATCCTGGAGCATGCAAGGTGAGGAGTTTAGATGCTAGGCTACCACAGTGGGCACAACCAACCCATACATTTATTAAAAAAAAGAAAGAAAGAAAAGACTAACAATGGAGCGCCATTATAATAACACAACTTTCCTGGTTTCTCATTTCCTAATTGTGCACAGTTGATACTGACATGGATAAGTAAATGGCCAGCTTCTCTGGGTTTCTCCTGACACATGGGGATCAAAGAGCTCCACCTTGTCACAAATCTTCAACTCAAGTGAAACACAAAACAGCACCACCAAAATGTGCATTTCAGCACAAGGCTGTAGAGCTCTTGCATTTGCTGGCTTCTGTCATGCCCTGTGCAGCCTGCATCAGTGTTCATTGAGATCTGCTGAGGGTTCGCGGTGTTTGCCTTATGACAGCCACTGAGGTTTAGACTGATGGAAACGAGGGCATTTCCAAGAGTCCCTGGGACAGTGGAAACCCCTCAACGAGGTCAGGTTTCAAAACGTTTGCACCCCATCAGTGACTGCTCCTTGTTTTCCCTGTAGTTAAACAATGACTCTGCCACAGAGGAAGCTATGCCAGACCACCCTGACCTGCTTCTGCAGTCACAAGACTCCACGGGCAGCACCACCGCCGAGGAAGTGCTTCAGATCAGAGATGAGACCCCAAGTTTGGAGGCTTCTCTAGATAATGCTAACAGCCAGCTGCCTGAGGTGGGGAGAAATGGGGGCTGGTGCATGGCCAATCTGGGCTCCTTTTAGCACTCCGTTAGACCCCCTTACTTCTCTTTCCACAAAGTTTTCATCTGACATGCTGAGATTTTGATTTGTATACAGTATTTCTAACCTGTTGGTTGTTTTAAATGAAACAGTCAAATGTGATTTTTTTTTCTTTAATGTTAATAGATGACCTCCAGGTTAAAAATACCCCCGAGTGTTGTAATGGGCATTGGCATCGCAGAATGGGATTCCCTTACGGGCAGCCGCTTTGCTGGGCTTGCTGAGCCTCCTGTGTGGCGCTGCATTTTCTTGAAGGACTGCTTTCGTTTTCTTCTTTCTTCTTGCTTTGTATTGGGTTTGTGTGATTGGTGCTGTGATTGGGATCCAAACCTCAGGCCAGCTGGGTTAGCAGTTGGTTAGATGAAATGTTCTCAAAGACTTTGGAACCACTAGTATTATATTTTTTGGAAAGGCCTGTGAGAAGTAAGCCAGATTCCAAGCTAATGACTGACCTAAACTAAGTAAGTATTAGTTTTCTTGGTTTTTTTTTTTTTTTACTATAGATACTTCTTATAAAAGTATAATTGTCATAGTTCTGTCATATATGCTTTTATGCCTTGGTAAGTATCAGGAAAATATTATATTTCTGTCAGTGTTAACCCAATGAATGAAGTAACTAGATCCAGATTAGTCCTGTTAGATGATAAAACTTTAGTATGTAAATCCTCATGCTCATTGTCATCACATTTACATACCTGAACCCTCTTTTACAATAAGCAGACAAGTTTTGAAATGAAGATATCTTGGCTTCCTTATTGGCAGTGTTTACCATGCTCATACTTGCTTAGATACTACAATTCCCTGGATATTTGATGTGATTTCCTTAGGTGCCAGCATTAGCTAGGTGCTAGAAACAACAGGGCATTGCCTGTTCTCAGGGAGTTTAATGACTACAAGGAAATAGAACACCTTTTTTTTTAAGATTTATTTTATCTTTATTGAAAAGGCAAATATACAGAGAGAAAAGGAGAGACAGACAGACCTTCTGTCTGCTGGTTCACTCCCCAAGTGACCGCAACGGCCAGAGCTGAACCGATCCGAATCCAGGAGCCTGGAGCTTCTTTCAGGTCTCCCACGTGGGTGTAGAGTCCCAAAGCTTTGGACCTTCCTCAACTGCTCTCCCAGACCACAATCTGGGAGCCAGATGGAAAGTGGAGCAGGTGGGATTAGAACCAGCACCAATATGGGATCCCAGATCATGCAAGGCAAGGATTTAGTCATTAGGCTACCGCACCAAGCTCAACTGAACACTTTTAGAAAATTGCAGCTTCGTATGCAACACTCTCCAACAAATATGATCAGACTTCATTGGAGCCCGACAAGGTGATAGTTGTGTGTGTGGCTGGGAAGGGTGGTAAGAGCAGGCTTTCTGGCTGTGGGCATATTGCAGTAGAGGAACACCTTGGGGAGAGAGACAGTGATGTGTGAATGGCATGGTATGTGCAGGTCCCCTGCAGGAGGTTGAGTAATTCTAGAGAATAGAATGGAAGGAAGGGGCCAACTTGGGCACAGCAGCTAAGACACTTGAGTAGAGACTAAGACATGAGAAAGGTGCTGGCTACTGTTCTAAGACTTCACCCACCCAGGACAGGAAACCAGGTGGGTTTTCATTCTGTTAGTGATACCTGTGAAGTAACAGATGTGGAAACAGACACTTAAAATACAGGGTATACCAGCATTATTTGTTTATTCAACCAGTAAGCATAATATGAGTTTCACAGTTATAGAATTTGAGTGGAAGAAAAAGTGAGGTTAGCATTTGAGGTGACACCTAAGTGACAAGAAGGGCCCAGCCCTGGACGATCTGGAGGTAGAGGAAGCAGCCGTTTTCCAAGGTCCTGGTGTGCCCTGGGAGCAAGTGACCGGGACCCAGATGGCAGTCAGTGTAGGAAGACTGGGGAGAAGTGAGGATGAGTGGGTGGGGGTGGTGCCCTGCTGCTGGTGACACGGCAGATGAGCTTCGAGCTTTCTGAGTGGAAGGCATTATCTCATCCTATTTCTTTTTTTAATCTTGGTTTTTTATGGAAAGTAGATTCTAATACCTGCCTCGTGGAGGTGTGGACAGTGCAAAGTGACTTGGATAAAGGAGACATCATATGTCAGCAGGAGCAAGGGAGGGCCTGACCCAAGAGTTCATGAACATGGAAAGCACACAGAGTACTAATACCATTTGCAAATTAGCCTGATTCCGTTTTAGGATGTAAATTATAACAGAACACCCAGTCTGAATGTAGTCAGAATGCTTCACTCCATAGATGATTTTACAGAGGAGTAAACTTAAATCCTCAGCTAGTTTAGGGGCAGGAGGTCTCTGACTGTATGCCCAAGAATAACTAGTTATAAAAATAAAAGAAGCTGTTATGTTTTTTTTTTTTGCAAAGCTGTAAGCTCAGAAGTACTTGTTTTCAAACTGATTATTCTCCATGCAAATTAAAACCTGGTGAAAGTGGCATGCCACATAGTTGTCCTGTTTTGTCGAGTGTTTTCCTGTTTTAGCAATGGCAGTTCATTTATCCAGTCATCACCTGTGGAGCTGCCCCATGGTGATCACATAGCACCACTATTCCAGGAATGCTTCCATGTATAGGAAGAGATACACTTCAGAACTCTTATGTTGGTCTATTCAGAAATAGAAAAATAGACTTATAAGTGAGCTTATGATTTATTTACTTTTCAAAAGTGCAGCAGATTTCCCAGTGTTTCTGCACACGGGTAGCTCAGTGCTGAAGCCAAGATTTGCAGTTGGAGTCCTCCCCATGCATGGTGCTCCCACCGCTGGTACCCAGCTCACCGATGCCAGGGTTCAGCTGCAGCTTCTCCATGACTGGTCGCCACCCCCAGGGCCACTTTGAATTACCTCCTGGGCTAATCTTCAGAAGTTACTTTGTTCCCGTATAACAAAAGAAGTGACATTTCAAAAGAGACTTCATGGTAAAATTATGAATTGGATATTGAAAACGATATACAATACCAAAAGACATATTTCTTAATAAGCATCTAAATCCTGTTACTTAAGAGAAAAACTAAACATGCCTTGACATTTCCATTTGACAATAAGTGATATTTTTTCTTAAGGTGATACACTCTAATGTAAAGAAATTAAGCTTAGGACTTTAAAAATTTTTTTACATAAAGTCTTCAGAGGCTAAGAACTCAGAATGCGCCAGACTTTGTCAAGGAAAAGCTACATCATAAAAGGACGGCAGCGGTCATTTATTGACCGATGAAGTTCTCTTTGTAGTGCTTTTTAAAGGCCACTAAAACTGTGGTTGTTTTTCAGGAGACAAGTTCAGTGTTAAAGGAGGAACATGTTACACCCTTCGAAGATGAAGGGCCCTATGTGATTCAAGAGCCACAGGATTCTCCTGTGTGTCAGGGAATCCTTGACCTTGAAGAAAGAGGGACGCCAGAACTGCTGGCTCCCGAGAGCTACCCGGAGTCTGTGTGCGAGGAGGATGTTACCTTAGCGCTGAAAGAGCTGGACGAGCGGTGTGAGGAAGAGGAGGCCGACTTCTCGGGACTGTCCAGGTGCGTGCCCAGCTCTACGTGCCCTGGGAGGAAGTGGTGTTTTTCCCTCAGCCCTCCTCAAACACCTCTGCCTTCCTATTTACTTACCTGCATGTCTTTGCGTGTGTGTCTGTAGTCACTTCTTCATGATTTTAAATAGATGTTTGTTTATTTAAAAGGCAGAGTCACAGAGAGGCAGAGAGAGAGAGAGATCTCCTAACTGCTGGTTCACTCCCTAAATGACTGGAACAGTCAGGGCCGGGCCAGGCCAAAGCCAGTAGCTTCTTCGAGGTTTCTCCCTTAGGTTCCAGGCTTGGGCCATCCACTGCTGCCTTGCCGGGCACATTCACAGCAAATTAGATTGGAAGTGGAACAGCCAAGACTCAAATCAGTGCACATATGCTCTGCCTGTGCTGCAGGCAGCAGCTTAACCCACTGAGCCACAGTGTTAACCCTTCTATATATATGTGTATTTTTTTAAGATGAATGGCAATGGCTTACTATGGTTTTTTTTTCCTGATAAGTGACTTTTACATTAAAAAAAAACACATGTAGGTTTTCGTAAAACATTCAGTCATGCCTGAAATTTAGAACCACAAAATACTTGCTGTGCTACAATGCCTAGTAGGGAAGTATTAAAATCAGTGTTGGGGGCAGGCATTTAATGCAGCAGTGAAGGCGCTATCTGGGAAACCTGCATCCCTTCTCAGAGTGCCCGGGTTAGGGTTCTTTTGCCATTCCAGCTTTCTGCTCCCTGACATCCTGGGTAGAAGGTGGGGATGGCTCGAGAACGTCGGTCCATGCTTCCCACATGGCAGAGCATGACAAGTTCTAGACACCTGGCTTTGGCCCAGCAAGTCCCAACTGATGTGAGCATCTGGGGAGTGACTGTCAGTGGAAGATCTCCGTGTCTCTCTGTCCTTCAAATAAAAATGAGTATTGAAGAATCAATACCAAAAGAATTTCTGATACTAAAATATACCTGCAATATTAGGGTAATTCAAAAAATATATGGAAAGTGGAATGAAAAAATGAATTCATTTTGGTGCAAAAAGTTTTGAAACCTAGGCATGGAGGGATCTTCGCAGTTCCTGGAAAATGTGAAAAAACTACATGGATTTCTTCTTCTTTTTGAGAGGCAGCCGAAGAAAGAGCTCCCACCTGCTAGCTCACTTCCCCGGTATCCCCAAAGGCTGGAGCTGGGCTAGGCTAAAGCTGAGAGTAGTAGTTCAGTGGTCCTCCACATGGGTGCTGGGTCCCTGCCACCTGAATCAGCACCTGCTGTCTCCAGTGTACACAGCAGAAGGAAGTTGGAGCAAAGGCCAGCTATTGGACGTGGGCATCTCAGCCACTCTGCCAGGTGCTCAACCATGCGTGGACATCCTAAAGGAACTTGTGATAACAATTATGATAGCATCTAGATACTTACTTCTTGGTTTTAATAAATATTTGTGACTCAAAATGTTTTTAATGTCTCAGTTTATGCATATCTGTGACAGTTTGAAGCTCCTTGATCTTATTTAATATTATTTCAGAGTATTGCAATAAAATTATGTCTGTTTCATGTGATAGACTTTTAAAAAAAAGATTTCTTTTTATTTGAAAAGCAGAGTTTATAGACAGAAACAGAGGGACAGAGAGAGAGAGATTCTCTGTCCACTGGTTCACTCCCCAAGTGGCTGCACAACAGCCAAAGCTGAGCTAATCCAAAGCCAGGAGTTTCTTTCTGGGTCTCCTACATGGGTGCAGGGTACCGAGGACTTGGGCCATCCTCCATTGCTTTGTCAGGTCACAAGCAGGGAGCTGGATGGGAACTGGAACAGCTAGGACATGAACCGGTGCCCACATGGGATGCCAGAGCCACAGGCTGAGGATTAGCTTGTTACAAAGCACACTGGCCCCTGGTAGAGTTCTAACCTATACAACATAAGGCATCTGGTAGATTTTTGTTTTTATCCTCAATAGCTCTAGATCATTTACTACCTGTGTTTGAGAGTGTATAAGTATGCAGATAGTGATAAGAAACCTCAGTGACAGAACTTTTTTCCTTTATGGATTTGGATATAGCACAAGCTCATGTAATTAGTCAGTTGTTGATTATGTACAAGTGCAGGTGTGCCAGAAACAGTATTAAAGTCGTTATCTAGTTATTTAGCATTCTTTTTAATGTTAGAGGAGTATATCACTTATTTGAAAGACAGAAAAGAGAGACTTTCTGTCCATCGCTTCACTCTCCAAATTGCCACAGCAGCCAGGGCTGGACCAGGCCTAGACCAGGAGCCAGGAACTCCCTCCAGGTCTCCCGCATGCATGGCAGGGACACGAGAACTTAGACTGTCATCTGCTGCTTCCTAGGCACAGGAGCAGGAAACTGAATTGGAACAGAATAGCTCAAAATGACACTCCAGTGTGGGATGCAGCCATCCCAGTCAGCAGCTTGACCCACCACACCACAGTGGCTACCCATAGCTGTGAGGGTTCAGTCAGGCTGAAGTCAAATAGTTGACTTTGGCCAAATATACCAGCCAAAATAGAACATTACAAATATAATAGATAGTCTAGTTTGGCTAAAAATTAGTGACCATTGATTTTTGAAATGCATTTTTCACTCTAGATATGCTTTATTTTAGTCTTTTTCTGCAGTCATTATTCAAGGTTTTTTTTTTTTGCCATATGAATTGCTCCATATGGAGCTACCCTGTAAGATAATCCAGGCAATTTGAAGACCCCGAGTAGCACATCTTATCATCTGTACAACCTATTCCTAAAGAAATACATCCTGCTCTTTGTCCAATGCCAATGTTCTGTTTGTTGGGACAAATCCCTTGAAGAACATGGAGTTATTGTTTCTTTTGAGTCGGGAGCATTATCCCAGCTGCTCCACTTTTGATCCAGCTCCCTGCTTATGACCTGGGAAAGCAGCAGAGAATAGCCCAAGTGCTTGGGACCATACACCCATGTGAGAGATTCAGTAAAGTTTCTGGCTTCTGATCAGCACAGCCCTGGCCACTGTGGCCACTGGTGAGTGAACCCAGTGGGTGGAGGATCCGTCTCTTCACTCTGTAAATCTGCCTTTCAAATAAATTTTTTAAAAATACTTTAAGTCATTCAACATATAAGCTGATTGGCTGTGCTATTTGTGTTAACAGTCAAGATGAAGAAGAGCAAGATGGCTTTCCGGAAGTACAGACCTCACCCCTGCCGACACCCTTCCTTTCTGCCATCATCGCTGCCTTCCAGCCCGTGGCCTACGATGATGAAGAGGAAGCCTGGCGCTGCCACGTCAATCAGATGCTATCTGACAACGACGGGTCCTGTGCAGTGTTCACGTTTCACGTGTTTTCTAGGCTGTTCCAGGTCCGTGAGTTTTCAAGTTGCTGAAGCATGTTATAGTTACCTAAGTTTTTGGTGTCCTGCTAAAGTCAGTTCTTTCAAATTTTAATATCTAATAATGAACAGGTTTTCTTTTTTTTTTTTTCAAAGATCACAATACTGCTTAAGTTTACACAGTGACATTATAGAACTGCTAGTATTTCATACAGTAACAGGTTCACCTAATTACCCAAAGGAGATATAAACAAACCTTCCAGACGACAGCTGAGCAAGGTTCTGTGGTGTGTCTGCCACCATGAGGACTGCCAAGGAAACACAGATATGACCCTGCTTTGAGGGGGCTGCTAGCTGATGTTCTGGATCAGTTTGGAATGGAGTGGAAAGTTAGTTGGCACTGTAGCTACTGTATGGGCACCTTATAATTTTAGCTGTGGTGCTTGAGCCCAATCCTGAAAAGGAGTCACGTGTGCTAACATGTATTGAGTGCTCACCGAGGCCCTGTGTACATCCCAACGATGAAATGTAGACACCGTTTTTGCATTTTGTGCAGACGGAAGCTGAGTCAGTGTGAAATGCCACCACTGAAGTCTCCATCCTCTGAGCTCTCCACCAGATCTCTACCCAAGCAACTTGGCCTGTCCTAGCAGGCCCACTGCTAACGGCTTCCTCCTGAGGCTTTGCTGATCCAACCTCCAGTGGCTCCCTCCCATCCTTTTAAATATATCAAAGGTGGAGTTACAGAGAGAGATCCTCCAACCTCTAGTCCCCTCCCCAAAGGGCTGCACTGGCTAAGCCTGAACCAATCTGAAGCCAGGAACCTAAAGCTTCTTCCAACCCCCCTCACTTGCTTACTGCTCATTAACAAAGGCATTTATTAATTCTGTACTATTCCATTGTTACCTGGTTTTCTATTTTTTTTCTTTCTTGTGACATTCATTAATGCCTGAAACTGTGCCTTATTCTTATTTTATCAAGCCTAATGCCACCTAATATCTCTCTTCCTCACACATACACACACACGTGTGCAGACACCTTATTTGTATAATACATCGAGTCCTGAGTTTGGCACTGCCTGTTTCCTCTGAGTGAACATTCCTGAATTCTGAAAATATACTACTCATAAAGCAATTTTATGATTCTAATTTACATCAAGGCAAATGGCAGCCCAGAGGCTATATTCATGAAAAGTTATCAGACAGGTGTTTACTTCTGAACAGCGAATCCCTCAGACACGGCAGGATTTACTCTATGGCATGTGCTCATTTGTCTGACATGGACCATTAATTTTTTCATAAATACTATCTGGTAAATCTGATTAGTTTTGGAAATGAACATGTTAATAGAATTTTATACATGATTAGATTAATTTAAGATTTACTTATTTTTATTGGAAGGGCAGATTTTACAGAGAAGGAGACTAGAGAGCTTCCATCAGCCAGTTCACTCCTCAAATGGCCACAATGGCCACAACTGAGCAGATCTGAAGCCAGGAGCCTGGAGCCGCCTCTGGGTCGCCTACACAGGTCCAAGATCCCAAGGTTTTGGGCCATCCTGTACAACTTTCGCAGGCCACAAGTAGGGAGCTGGATGGGAAGTGGAGGAGCAGAAACACAAATTGGTGCACATATGGGATCCCAGTTCATGCAAGACGAGGATTTAGTCACTAGGATATTACACTTGGCTTGACTAGAAGAATTTTTCAAGTTTGTCCTACTTACAAGGTTTTTGTTTGTTTTTAACATTTATTTATTGAAAAGTCAGATATACAAAGAGGAAGATCCTCTATCCACTGACTCACTCCCCAAGTGGCCACAATGGCCAGAGCTGAGCTGATCCGAAGCCAGGAGTCAATAGCCTCCTTCGGGTCTCCCACATGGGTGCAGAGTCCCAAGGCTTTAGGCCATCCTCCACTGCTTTCCTTGACGACAAGCAGGGAGCTTGAAAGGGAAGCGGTACTACCAGGATTAGAACTGGTGCCTACATGGGTTGCCAGCACACGCAAGGAAACAACTTCAGCCACCAGACTACCGCACCGGGCCCACAAGTTACTTCTTAAATAAAAAGATATTTTGTCACTTTTAAATAAACTGTTTTTTGTGCTTTTCCCCACAGACAATTCGGAGAAAGTTTGGAGAGATAACTGACAAGGCAGTCAGCTTTCTTGGTGAGAATCTACAGCGGATTGGTTCTAAATTTAAAAGTTCACTGGACGTCATGATGATGTGTTCCGAATGCCCAACAGTGTTTGTGGACGCTGAAACGGTAAGGTTTCCACGCAGGCTTGGTTCAAGGTTGAATTTGAATGGCCCGTTCAGTAGATGATCTTTTCAAAACAAATTTTTGAGTGATGGAAGTTCATGCTTTCAACTTGTTCATACACTTCTGGTAATAGACAGTTTCAGTGTATTAGACTAGTGGCCTGTGGCTGCCATTCACACCTTATCTACCCTAGTGTGGTACAGGATGAAATAAGGGAAAATCAGCCAATAGGTTCCTGTTCTGAGTCGTAATGGGGATGCCAAAGAGTCACACTCCCAGAGTGTGTATGGCCGGACTCCCTGCAGAGCTCATTGATCTGCCCTGTTGCTAAGGACATTTAAAGATTTTTTTAAAAAATAAATATTTCAAAGGCAGAGTTGCAGAGAAAGAGATCTTCCATCTGCTGGTTTACCCACCAAGTGGCTGCAACAACCAACGCTAGGTCAAGCCTAAACTAGAACCCAGGAGCTTCTTCAGGGACTCCCTCAAGGGAGCATCCTCTACTGCTTTCCCAAGCCATTAGCAGGGAGCTGGATGGCTGGTAGAATAGCTGAGACTTGAAACAGCACCCATAGAGGATGCCAGCACCACAGACTGTGGCTTTACTTGCTATGCCACAATGCCAGCCCCCACTTAGATTCTGTATCTGATGAATCAAGGCATTAGAGACCTCAGGTGTGATCTTTGAGGCATGTAAGTGCCTGTCCTGCCATTTCCCACTCGGGCTAGTTTGAAAGTGCTGCCCAAATCCCTCTGCTGCCTGTTCGCAGCGTGGCAGAGTATGATGAGGAACACCAGTGAGAGGTCCTCCCTGATCCAAAGCTGTCAGTGTCGTGATTGTGATCAGAGACCAGAGGTGGTAACCTGCATCCACATGTTTGTTTAACAGCTGATGTCTTGTGATCTGCTAGAAACACTCAAGTTCAGTGTGCTGGAGTTGCAAGAACACCTGGACACATACAATGCCAAAAGGGAGGCCGCGGAGCAGGTCAGTTCTCACCCTGTGAACCTGGTCATTTGCTTTGAGCACTGAGCTGTTGATATGGCAGTATGTAAGCTGGACAGGAAGGCAGCCCCCGGCAGCAGTGACCATGGGGGCTTCTGAGGATGCTGTCTGCAGTGACTGCCAGCGTTGGCCCTCTCAGTACAGTGCGAAGCCACAGCTTTGTAAACAACCTCTAGGTGGAGACTCTCCCACTGCTGCCAGCATTGCAGGGGCAAGTAGCAGCAGCATTTGTGAGGCAGTGTTGCAGAACTGCAGTCTAGAAAACCTTCGGCCTCAACAGAGTTGTGATCTCCCAGGCTGTGGATGTGGATTTGTCTTGCCAGCACCCGGAGCCCAGAACCCTCTGCTGACCTTGGCTGAGTTCCAGGTACAGCTGCTTGGTCCCTTTGCTGCAAGGGGGCCATGGTGCAGACAGTGGGGTTTACGCCTCAGCAGTTCCCTCACCTTCAGTACCTCCTCACAGCCAGCTCTGTCTTCCCAGCCCAGTGAACCATGGCACAAATTCCAGGCAACAGATTTGGATTTCTGGAGTAGGGATGCCCAGGAGTATGACTAAGCAAAGCCTCTAGCATAGACACTGGGTGAATATGGGGCTTGCTTCTGTGTTCTCCTCCGACACCCCAAGTCCTAGCTGGTAGCATTCAGCCTCTCTAGTTGTATGTATAGTCTCACATGCCTCAGCCTGTCACCCCCAGAAGCTGAGCTGCACCAGTTAAATGTTACCTTCCCTCTGAGCCCTGAGTAAAGAAAAGATGATGCCAGCAGGCAGAGCAGATGGTAAAGGCAGAGTGAACCTGTCCCTGCCCAGCCAGAATGCAGCACAGGACCTCCTGGAGGACTTCTAACAGAACAGTGACCAAGAATGCCCGCCAGAATTCTGTTACTGGTATTAATATTAAACATTAAACTTGGTAATAAGCCACCAAATAAAAAGCTTTAGTGCATGCATTTCTTGGTTGGACAGACAAACAGAGTAGTGATTACCATGTAAACATTTGCTCAGAATAAAGATAATGCACCCTCCCATAATAGGTGTCAACTTGAATGTGGCCCAGGGAAAGAAACTCACTGATGGCTTTTGACATTGGGTGCCACCGGCCATCTCAGAGAAAGCATAACATGTTTTTCTTCAGAGAAGCTGTCAAGTAAATAGCCCAAGGCCTGGAGCAGTCTGAGGCACCGAGATAAAAAGACAAGGTCAAAGCGGAGGCTTTTGAAGTAACTGAATTGTCTAATTCTTTGCATATACAACATCCAGCTATCATGGAGAATTTTAAATGCCTATTTTTAGGATACATAGCTAGTTTTGATTAAAAATGAGAAAGCCCTATTGTTGATGTCACTCACAAAACAAGAAATCAAACAGAACGGATAAGGCCCCACTTAGATTTTGACAGTTCAACTTAAAGGTCCTTCGCTTTTCCTATTGGGAAATTCTGGGGCTCTGTGACTGGGCTGGGCACCATGATGCTTTTATTTGAATGAAGGAAATGCACAGCAAGTCAAGGAATAGCCCCTGGATACAGGAAAACCACGTTCAGCTTCTGTGTCATTCATTGTGGTTCAAAAGAAAGCAGGGAGAAACAAGATCGCTGGATCTGGGATTCTGTTTCGCTAATGAAAGCTGACAGCAGTGTGCTGAGAGGTGCACTTCTGATAAGCAAACAGACCCGCTGGGTGCCGAGCTGCCTTTATTAAACTGACCAGAAGGGAGGCATGGCTTTCATTTCCCCCATCAACATTAGACAAAGGGCAGGTGCAGGTTGTAAAATTTCCAATAAAACCATCAAAATGAAGAATATTCTGTGCTAAGCTGGAGCATCCCATGCCATTAGAATTGATTGTCCTTTTGTTTGAAAACTGTGGTAAGCATGTGTGTGTCATTAGGAAGCATTCCTGCTATGTCCTGTACAGCTGGACGACAGCAAATGGACATCAAAGTGTAGACATCTAAACTAATCCCAGGACTTGGGAATATTTCAGCTTGCTGTTTTACATGGCCAGACTCTTATACTATGAATTCTGTTGTGTGTTATACAATCACTGCATTACAACTTACTGTTACTTATTTCCTTAGTGGTTAGACAATTGTAAGAGGACATTTGGTGCCAAAGAAGACATATATAGGATAAACACAGATGCACAAGTAAGTTTCTTTTTGTTTGTGTTCAGCTAAGATGTTCACATAGCCTTAGTTGATATTCCTAGAAATAAAAAAAAAAAAAGTGAAGCTTGTCATTTTGGTTATCAAGGCAATCATTGTAAAAGTGAGACTTAATGAAATACCGGCTGTGTAATGAAAAATTCACTTAAATAAAAATGAATGAGCAGCTTGTGACAGAAGCTTAATAACATCCAGTAGATAAGCTCGATGGCTATCGACAGTCCAGGGCCCATGCAGTTGGGTCTGCCCGCCCCAGGTTAGTATTCAGAACCTCGATTAGTCCATCAGGAAGGGACACCCAGGAGTAACGTGAGACACACTATATTGGTCTTTGTACAGGTGGAATTTGGACTGGATAAGTTATGTTTTTCTCCTGCTTAATCATATATCCTCTTAGGGAAGGTGCGTTCAAAGTTGTTAAGTGGCGACTAGTTATGGCCTATAAATTATATAATGAGATTGCCAAATTTCTGTGAGGAAAATGCCTCGTCAACTAAAATAGCCCCCACACTTTATTTCAGAATTCCAGTCTTTTTCCACTCCACTTATATTCTATTGTCTATGAAATAAGATTGTCATAAGACATTGAAGTTTTTAGAATAAGCACAATGTGGGGAAAAAATTAGTCCTCCAGAAGTGACCTATTTCATGCACTCTCTGATGGCATTTCCCATCGCTGTCCCCCAGCTGGTAGGTCGGTACCCCAGCGTGAACATGAAGGGACTGAGGCGTGGAGAGGCAGATCTAAACAGGCATATATAAACAGGGGAGCCAAGGTTCCAGCTGCCTCAGGCAAACCCCAAATCCTAAGAATCCTGCACTGTTTAATAAATGAAGCGACGTATGGGATTAATGCTAGCCTAGAGTTAGATGCGTAGATTCTAAGGCATTCTGGGTCTCACATGTGAACCAATAGTGAAACCTTTTTCCTGTATCAATCCAGTGCTTATGCTTATAATGTAATTTCTCACGTTATTTCTACCTTGAAGGAAATGACAGGCCAACTGACAGAGCATGAGTTTTTCTAAGTGAAAACTGACTGACTTGAAACGGCTTTTTCATCCACTGGTTCACTCCTGAAATGGCTGCAGCGATCTGGGCTGGCTTCCAGATCTCTCATGAGTACCAGGGGCCGAGGCATTTGGGCCAACCTCCACTACTTTTTCATAGCCATTAGCAGGGAGCTGAATTGGAAGTGGAGAAGCCGGGACACAAACCAGCATCCATGTAGGATGTTAGTGTCACAGGCTACCCCACAATGCTGTTCCCTGGCCTGTCTTGCCTCACCTGTCAGCTCCTTTTGAAACTGCTTCTTACCCCTCCTTACTCTCCCCATCCCATGTACACCAGTGCAGACTTTTACATAAGATGTAGTTAGTATTGAATGAAAAGGATGCCCTCGACAATTTCAACAGTCTTAAAAGCAACAATCTAAAATATACGTCCTTACAAACTCACTTTAGCATCTGTGAGATGTTTTGGTAGTTGAGATCTATGCCAGTAATTTATTTTCCTTTAAGTCAGATCTACTGAAGTTAATAGAACTGAGGAAAGTATTTAAATCCCAAATTATTCATTTCTGTGTGAAATAAGCTACATTTTAAAAACTCGAATGCAGATATGCTGATACACTAGACATCATCCTGCGCTCAGCCAGTGTTTCCTGGAAGACTGACCTTTGTAAAGTGATGGGAATAGATGTAGCTAAACTCTTTCAGGGGAAACTATTTAGAAAAGCGTGCTTAAGAAATGACTTTTTGTCATTTGTTATATCATTGTTATAATCATCTTATCTTAATTATAAGAAACTTCCTCACTTAATGAAGCTCAAGCGGTTATAGATGCTAAATTGTAATTGTTTAGTGCATAAATAAGATGTCCCTACTATGTGTGTTATGTACAGAATTTCCTTTGATTTAAACATTGTTACATTTGTGTAAGTCAACTAAGTTACTTTCGGGATGGGGTTTAAAATACACGTTTTGATCTTTTGTCATGTGACTCTGTGATAGTTAGGACAACCTAGGAGAGTCAGGACGCCTGAAGAGCCATCGGAGGTATCCTCAAGCTTATGTGCCGATTCTTAAGATTATAAGCCAATTCTTATGAGGAAAAAAATGGTAATTCATTTGACTTATTTTGCAGCAAGTTTTCCACCTTAGAAATGGAAATTTTATTACAGTTCTGGTGGGTTTTTGTGTTTTTTGGCAAAATTTATAAAAACCTAGATAAAACACTAGCCAAATTACCAAGATTAAGTTCCTTAAATTTTCTTCCTTACAGCTTATATACAGAAATAGCCAGAACCTAAATGTGGTTCAGTTACTATTTGACAAAGAGTTGAACTATTGCAGTAATTGTCTAAAAAGTTGTGCTCTGAAAATGACAAAATTTTCCTTGGGGTATATAATGTTCTTCAGTTTTCCTGGGACATCTGTGACCCTGGTGACAATGATTTCTCACACTAATTCTTGGTCTTTTTCTTCCTTTGTATTTTTTGTGACCTGATCACCTTCTTGCTTAGCAAATGGAAATTCTAGCAGTAAGTGACCTGTCTTGATTTATAGACTCCTTATCTTTGCCAGCCAGCCTGGTTTTCATCTGCCATTTATCCATTTGTGATGTTTCATTGAGAACTACTTTAAAAGTAGTGTATGCTTCCATTGGCCCTAAACCCATAAAATGCTGGTTTTTTAAAAAAGATAGTATGTATGTACAACTAGCAGCCATCTTTTTCTACATCTATAACTAACATCTATTTAAATTTCTTATTAATTAAAAAAATCAATTTGCAAATGTTAACCCATGGAACTGAGCTAGCAAAATTTAGGTGTTTTTTTTTTTTTTTTTTTAACATAGACAAACTCTTCTAATGTGTGCTGCCGAAGCAAGCACATCTCTTTGTACTTTTAGATAGGAAATTATCCAATTTGTTTCTCAATCTCTTATAGATAAATGCATTGAAATCTGCCTCTCACTGTGAGCAAGGATCTATGCATTTGTAAAGATCTTTCCCACTGTGGAATCCCTGTACATATCCCACTTCCAAAACTGTGTCCAGTGTGGAAACATGCGCGGCCACTGCTAACCAACAACGACCCTCATCTAACCCCTGTCTCCAGAGCGTCTTTCATGTGCCTCTCATCAGCTTCACCACATTAACCTGCTTACTGCTGAAAAGCCAGTGCCTACACTGTCCTAACACAACTGTTTCTAAATTTTGACTTGGAAATAATGCTGTCTTGTCTAGTGTCAGGGAAAACGACCCCCACGTTTAACACGCCGTCATTTCTTTCTAGGAGCTGGAGCTCTGCCGGAGGCTGTACAAACTGCACTTTCAATTGCTGCTTCTGTTCCAGGCCTACTGTAAACTCATCAACCAAGTCAATACAATAAAAAACGAAGCCGAGGTAAATATTCACTTATAAGAGTCACCAGTAAGTCTAGAAAATGTGGAACCTCAGGCCTGTTTTTCTTGTTAGGTTAAATCCAAAGTCACAGTGCATCTTTTTGTCAGTTGAGGAGGTACCTTTTGTAACAGCGTGTGCCATCAGAACCCATTAGGCAGGAAAGCAGCAGGAACACATCCTGCAATCAGAAGTCACTAGAGCACGTCAGTAGATAGAAAAGCCTGGCAACACCCTTACCATCCTGTATGGGATCCTGACGCATTCAAGGGAAGGATTTTAGCCACTAGGCTACTGCACTGGAGCCTCCATGAAAACCTTTGACAGTAAAGTTATTTACTCAAGGTATTTTATGTATACATGAAGGGATTTTAAGAAGTTCAAGGGAAATGAAATTAAATAATGTGCTTTTCCCATAGCCTTGTTGAAACTCCTAGGCATATGTTTGTGCACAAATCAAACATTTCTGTTGAAAACAGTATTGGCAGCTGACAAGGGAAAAGAAAATCAATTGATTTCCAGCATTCAAAGATAACTTAGCATCATTCTCACATGCAGAGGTCTACAGGAGTAACGGGGGCAGGATGGTAAGGGCGCCAGTTTGTGTCCCAGCTGCCCCAGTTCCCATCCAGCTCCCTGCTTGGGACCTGGAAAAGCAGTCAAGGATGGCCCAAAGCGTTAGGACCCTGTACCTGTGTGGGAGAGCTGGAGGAAGCACCTGGCTTTGGATCGGCTCAGCTCTGGCCACTGAGGCCACTGGGAAGTGAATCAGCCTTCAAGATCTTTTTCTCTCCTTCTCTCTAGAAATCTGCCTTTCTAATAAACATATCCATATGTGTACATATAAAGATTTTCATGGAGTAGGCCTGGGGTACAGCGTGTTAAGCCGCCATCTGATACACCCACATGCCCTATCAGAGTGCTGGTAGATTTGTCCTACCTACACTGCTTCAGTGCCTGGGAAAGCAGCGGGTGACGGCTCGTCCCTGCCACCACTTGGGAGACCCCTGGGAGCCGAGGGCTCCTGGCACTGGTCTGGCCCAGCCCCAGCTGCTGTGATGCTGCAGATGGGAAAGTCTGTCTTCCCTGCCTTTCAAATTGCAAAGTACTTTTTCCAAAAGTTTTCACGAGTTCCCCCATAACAATAAATGTACGTGTACTATCCAAATGTAATACGTAATTACATGTTAAAATGAATGCTGACAGGGCCAGTGTGGATGTATACAGCGTGTTAGTTCTTCACCTTAGGCGGAGGGTGGCTCACGGCCTTGGGCCTCGCTCCCACGTGGGGCACCTGCAGGAGGCTCCGTCAGCTCTGCCCTGGCTGTGCAGCCATCTGAAGGCTGTACCAGCAGAGGGGGATGGAGCTCTGACTTTCAAGTAAAATAAATCTTAAATACACTCAACTGTTGTATCAAGAATACTTAAAATTACTATTTGATGCCTGAAATTATGCATTCCCTGCAAAATGGAAAACGAATTTACTGCTTTTAATGGTGGGGGGGGGGAGGGGGCTAAGGTTTATTTTTATTGGAAAGTCAGATTTACAGAGGAAAAGATTTATTCCCCAAGTGGCTGCCAACAGCCACAGCTGAGCCCCTCTGAAGCCAGGAGGCTGGAGCCTCCTCCGGTTCTCCCAGCACCAGGGTTCCAAAGCTTTGGGCCGTCCTCCACTGCTTTCCCAACAGAGAGCTAAATGGGAAGTGGGGCAGCCGGGACACAAACCAACACCAACATGGGATCCTAGGTGTGCAGGGTGAGGACTTTAGCCACCAGGCTATGGCACTGGACCCTTCTGTCTTCTTTAATATTGAGATTAGAGGTCTTATGTCTACTCATTCTCTCCTAAGAGGGCCTCACTGGCCAGCCCTGGAACAGGCTAGAGCCAGGAACTGGGTCTCCCACACCCAAACACTTGGACCATCTTCTGCTTTCCCAGACCATTAAGAAGCTGGGTCAGAAGTAGAGCAGCCAGGAGGACATAAACCAACACCCATATGGGATGCCAGTGCTATAGGCAGTAGCTTTACCTGCTACACTGTAATAACAGCCCACTTTTTAACATTTTTAAATAAGATAAAATGCCCCTGCCATTAGGTGTACCTCACGGCCACTTAGCTGCTCGCTCTGTCACTGGACACAGACCAGTCCCATAATGGCGTGCTTGTTTCAGGTCATCAACATGTCCGAGGCGCTTGCCCAGCTGGAAGGCATCCTCAAAGACGCCGAGGCTGCATCGGAACACGAGGAAATTGACATCTCCAAAGCGGCACAGACCACCATAGAAACTGCCATTCATTCTTTAATTGAAACTCTGAAAAATAAGGAATTCATATCCGCTGTGGCACAAGTCAAAGCTTTCAGGTAACACACAGAGGGACTCGGCAGGGACTGCTTGCTGGCCGGACTCTTCCTGACGCGGTGTTGGGGCTCACTGTTGCTACCTCCAACACTGAGCTTTTCACCACCACCAATTTTAGACTCTTCTAACTCACAGGGAACTCTGAGTAATGGATTTGCTCAAATGTTAGATTACTTAGAAATTTTGTTGTGACGGTACACTTAAAATGCAGTGGTCTTATACTGACTCACGTCTCGCCCTCACGCACACATGCTCTGTATTTCAGATCCCTGTGGCCCAACGACATCTTTGGCGGCTGTGAAGACGACCCTGTGCAGACACTGCTGCACATTTATTTCCATCACCAGACGCTGGGTCAGACCGGAAGCTTTGCCATCATCGGCTCCAACCTGGACCTGTCAGAAGCCAACTACAAACTGATGGAACTAAACCTGGAAATCAGAGAGTCTGTCCGCGTGGTGCAGTCCTACCAGCTTCTAGCCCAGGCCAAAGCACACAGGGGCAGGATGGCGAGCACTGGCTTCTGAGCAACTTCAGGCCTCTGGGGAAAGAAAGCTGAAGATGACGAGGAACGTTAGCCAAGCACCTTTTAGGAACCCTCGCGATTCATCAGTCCTTTATTTTTGGCGGCATCTACAGTTATAGTACTAAATCAAGCTGTAGGAAAAACAAAGGTCTGAACGGGAGGAAAAAACCTTAAGAGCTGCCAGAACTTCCTGCAGTAACTGTGGAGAAGGAATTTTTTTCATTGAACCTTACGTGAAAAGAAAAGGGCTAAAAGTGATGCATACGAACAACATTACCTTCTGAAGAAAGAGAATCCCAAGAACATTTGCAATAACGGCCTCTACATACCGAGACATCGGGAAGCAGGGGACGGAAGGCTGCAAGCAGGCCGGCTCGCTGGCGCCCAAGCCCTGCCACGCTGCTGGGTTTCCAGCGGTCAGCGCCTCTCCCACGTGAACATCCAGAGAGATGTCCACACACACTGACCTGTTGGCAAAAACCATTGATTTTTATTTTTATTTTTTTTTGTCACTGTGGGGGCTGAGGGTCTAGGGTGGTGTTGTGTTGTGGGGTCTGTCTAAGGAATTACGTGTGTGTGTGAGTTGGGGTGTATGGATATGTGATAGTCATATTTTCAGGGTGTGGATGTCTGGTGATAACCGTCTCAGAGCATGCCTAAAAGAGCACTGCAAGATTATTTTTGAAGAAATTTTTATTTTATTAGCTCTAACTCTTACTAGTGTGTAAATGTTAGAACATTTTAATAATATTTTAAAACTGGGCTTTCCCGGTATTTCAAAAAGAAATAATATATCTGTTAACGTTATTGGAATGCTGCTCAGTTCTCTGACCAGTGCTTACGTCACGATTGTTGATTACTAACCAAAGTAGATGCCTGCAGAGACTTTAAAATGTAAAATAAAGATGTATGCTGCCCGTCAGCTCTTCACTAGAAAAAGTTAACTTATTTTATATTTTACTCCATAATTATAGAAACTGTATAGACTAAAATCAGTATTTTCTTGTACATTTGTGCCATGCACTGTTATACAAGAATAGGTGTACAAAGCTAAGGAAAGAAAAAAAACTGTGGTCCTTGACAGTAGAATATAGGACTTGCAGGCTCAGTGCCTGCAGAATTCAAGAAGAGATGCAAAGGCATTTTTTTACATGTTGATTCAGGACTCCCGTGTCTCACCCGAAAGGAACCTGGGGCTGTGGGGAAGACGAAAGCAAGCCTGAAGACTGACCACCAACACATGCAATATTCTTACCCACTGTCTAAGTCTGCAGCAGAACATGAACTGGATTCTCTGTCCTTTTTTAAATAGCGTTTTGTAAAAGAAATGAATGTAGTCCCCCAACTCCTCTGCTTTGAAGGAACACCTTGTATTTTTTATATGCATCTCTTATCCACTGTGACTTTCCTTTTAAACGGGGCTCTGGGGTTCCAGGGTTTAGAATGTAGAAATGAAATGGAATTATGCTCAAGTGCATTCGCGGGAGGCACTGTGCACGCCGCTGGACTGCCGACCAGTTACGCTCCCTGTAAAATCCCGACTGGACTCGGCACATTCGTAATCACTGTATTTTTTTGACCCTGATAAAAAAAAAAATTATTTTGATGGTGTTCTGGTACTGTAAATGGTGTCCTTAAATTATTTAATAACTCTGGGGTCTGGGGCAGGAACGGAAGGATGGTGTCCGGAGACACACCACACTTCACATCTTCTCTTACTCTCCCCTATTTTCTCACCCTCCTTACATCCTTTTTGTTAAAAATAAAAAGCATTGTAGCTGTTGGCTTGTGTTGAATTCTTAAAAACAATGATTATAGTGTGCCTCATTTAGAAACTTCGAACTGTCACCTTCATTCTAATTAAAATCAAACCAACTATCCAAACCAGACCTTTCAAACTGCTCAAAGGTGCTTCCTGCAGGTATCCATATAGGTAAATTCAGGTTTATCTAGTCACCCGTGTAAACAAAATGAAAACACCTGCAGAAGGTCAGCGTGCACTAGGGTGGGCCAGTCGTACCTGGACTTTCCTAGACTCGTTTCTCCGAATCCAAAAATTGCACTTACAGTTCATCAAATGGCTGATGTATTGTCTCAGTTCCCTATAGACCCCAGTTTTTGCTATATGCAGCCTTTTTCTTTTGGGCACTAAATTGGTTGTCCTGAAGTAGTAAAATGACAGCAAAGGAAGAGGAGTTTTTTCTTCACTGAAACACTATCGTGTAACCCACAGCCTACCTTCAGTTTAGGATTTGTTGCTTCTTTCCCTGAAGACGACGCACCAAAGCCACAGGAGTGCCCCTGGCGGTCTAGAATGAGAACTGCTCAGCCACTGCCCCAGTCTGGCCTAAGGAAAAAGAAACAGAGTCAACATGGCTTTAATTGCACAGCATTTTGACTCTCGAAGTAACCCATGTCACCTTAGAAACTAGGATCCAGGGAGAACTCCTGGCTGACTCCTGGCTTGCCCCTTGACGCCCAGCCCCTGGCTACATTAGACCATATTTATGGGTTTTGAATTATGCATGTGCACATACCCCATTGGGTCCTGCCTCCTTGTTGCTCCGTGGCTGTGCCTCTTTGTTCAATGCCTGAATGCCCCTGACTCTGAGTAAGACAGTCTGCATCTTACTTTTTTCCACACTAAACTTTGCGCCTGCTACCCAAAGTCTACAACAAACAATGCCACAATTAAAGGATGCAATAACCACCCACAACAGCCAGCCATCTCATTACTGGCCCCTGTCCGTCTCTATTTGGTCAGCAAGCACCTTTTGAGCACACATGTCCCACCTATGTACCAGGGAAGGCAAATGAACTCACAGCCTTGTACCACCATCCACCCTCCCACAGCCCCCGCCGCCAGTCAAATCAACAGCTACATGTTAGAACAGGCACAGGCCACCTGCACCCACACCCAGTGTTTCTGTCCCCACCATATGATGTAGACTCAAAGGCGCCTTCCCTGCCAACAGTCTGTTTAGCAAAGCGATTCTTTGTAAAGGTGCACCGGTCGCCCCACCAGTCACACCACACCTTTAGGACCTCATGGTAGGTTCTCCTGGTGACCAGGTACAAGCCAGTCCTTCCGAACAAGGCCTGGAAAGTCCTCCCAGGCTGGCCCTACTCAATTTGCCTACCACTGTGATCTTCAGAGAAGTCTACCACCGTGGCCACCCGAATCGTTCTCTGCTACTCGGCCATCATAGGCATCACCTCAACCTAGAATCTGCCTCCTTCCTGTCTTATGCCAACTGCAGCTTGGCCAGGCAACACTTAAGACAGGTCTTACCTGTCCTCCAGGTCCCACCTACTTACTCCAGGCTATTAGCGGAGTGGACCTTCTAGATCCTACATCACAACTCCCTTTATTTCATTCCTCCTAGGTCACAGCAAGTGGCCGTCTACCTTCTACTGAAGGGCCTTGAGGGCAGAGGCCCCGTTCGTGTTGTGTCCTGGGCACAAGGCTGCTGGAACCAGTGGTTCTGAATCTCATAAGCAAAGCCTGGGGCGCTTGTCAAACACTTCAGCCAAGATAGTGCAGGTTGGCCTCAGACTCTGCCCTGGGACAAGCGCCACCAGGCCGTCTTGAGGCAGGTGGCCCTAACCCCCCTCACACAGGGAGTCCCAGAGACCCCAGGGTGGCCCAGGTACTTGCAGGCTGCCAGAGGCAAGTGAAGGCTTAGCTTGAATGGCAGGGTTTGTAACTGCATGGAGGCACAAATAGCAGCTGTCAGTTGGAATTCCTGGATCATGAAACCATCTGTCCTTCAATTTCATGGGAAACACCCATGGCACCAGGCTTGGCACCTTCCTCGCCCAGGAGTTTCCCCAGGGAGACTTGGTGTGTCCAGGACAATGATTTAGGGATGCTACTCAGATGTGGTTAGAATGAGTAACAACTGTGAGGTCAATAAAGGACAGACTTCAATTTGAAATTGTCCACAATCCCAGAGCCTAAGTTTTGAGAGTCAGGTATGTTACCATCTGAAGTTCAAGTTGTTATTCAGCCTCTTAGGTTGCCATAGGCCAGCCAGCTCTAAGCCTCACTTGCCCACATCTGAAGGACTGCCATTAGGACAGCGCTCCAGCCTTCTCTCCTGTCCTTCCATGGTGGTTTTACTGGGCTCAGGTTTCCCATGGGCCCTGCAGCTCCCACCCACTCACCACCTCCCTGGGTCACCTCAGCAGCCTCCCCACACCTCCAGGAACACTGTGCCTCCACCCCCAGAAGGCAGCTAGGTGAATGTCTAGGAGCTTTCTGCTCAGTCCATGCCTTCCTTGTTAAAGTGTCAGCCCTACAGATCTACCTGGGACTTCAAAACTCATGGGACTTCAAAACTGCTTGGGCAGGGAAAATTTTTTACATACATACATGCCAGAGATCTTCAAAAAGGTTATAGAAAAATTTAACACTTCATATTTCGCTCCTAAAGTTTTTTTAAAAGGTATTATGGTTACCATGGATACAGGGTTCAAAGCAAGCTCTGCCACCTCCTGTAAATCACTCTGACCTCAGACTAGAACCCAGGAAGGACAACCGAAGCCCAGAGCATCCCCAAGGCAGTGGAGCCACTGCTGCCCCACTGACAGACACAGCCCAACATCCACCAACTAAGGACCCGAATGACACCCACTTCAGCTTCCCTGTCAAGAGGGGCTTAAAAACCCCTGTACTGGGCCCGGCACGGTGGCACAGTGGTTAAGGTCCTCGCCTTGCATGCCCGGGATCCCATATGGGCACCGATTCTAACGCCGGCAGCCCCTCTTCCCATCCAGCTCCCTGCCTGTGGCCCAGGAAAGCAGTCGAGGACGGCCCAGGCACTGGGACCCTGCACCCGCGTGGGAGACCCGGAAGAGGCTCCTGGCTTCGGATCGGCATAGCATCGGCCGTTGCGCACACTTGGGGAGTGAATCATCAGATGGAAGATCTTCCTCTCTGTATATCCGCCTTTCCAATAAAAATAATAAAAATAAATCTTAAAATTTAAAAAAAAACCTGTACTTCTTTCCTCGCCTTTTCCTGTTCCTCTGTAGCTCCCTTCCTCACGTCTATCTGTCCACTACCTGGGGAAGAAAAGCCTGTGGACAGAGTTTCTTTGAATAAAGACCATCTATATTTTTTCTATACTTGGCTGATTTGTTCTTGCATGGGTGGTTGGGAATTCTAACAGGTATCTTTAAAAGGGAGAGAATACAAAGAAAGATACCGATTTTCCATCTGCTGGTTCACTCCCCTAATGGCTGTAACAGCCAGGGGCCCAAGCACTTAGGTCATCCTCTGCTGCTTCAGGCATTAGCAGTGAGCTGGATCAGAAGCAGGGCTGCCAGAACGCACACAGGTGCTGACGCGGCTGCTGGCATCACAGGCAACGGCTCAACCCACTGCAACACTAACCTATGCCCAGAGCTCGATTCTATTTTTCCACAAATATTTTGTGGTACCTTCATGAACCTCAAGCCTACAGGTCTGTTGACTTTCTCAGAGAGCTGAAAACTAGCTCAGAGGCTGGCCCAGGATAGGTCAACCAATGTTAGAGGGGCAGGCCAGCCCCTCTGTGACCCAAGACCAGCCCTCCCGAACTTTATTTGGAAGATGTGGGACTCTTTGCAGCTTGCGGATTGCTCTGCAATACCTTTATTCTGAGGTTCTGTCAACACACACTGCCTCTCAGGAGTGTTGTGGGAGAAGGGGCTGGGGCGCAGCTCCCAGGGCTGCTTGGCGGCCAGGCCCTCCTCTGCATCTGCTCAGATGATGTACTTGAAGCTGAACGTGCTGTCGCAGGACAGGCGCTTGCCTTTGCATCGCCCACACAGATCTTGCCGATGGGGCCGCTTAGGGTCCACGTGGCGGACCTTCACTGGGCAGGAGCATCTAGTGCGTTTACAACTCTGAAAAAGTCCAAGTGAGAAGCAGCATGGACAGACAACCACTGGCAAGTCCTAGTCTGGGCCAACCACGTGTGTACTCTTGGTCAAGGTCTTGTGCACACTGGATTACCTGCACCCCTGCCCCGCAACCACAGGGTTAGGGACTGAGGGTGCTACTTGTGCTAGAATGGGGCTATGTGCATCGGACCCCGTTCCAAATGGTGAGCTTTTCTTTTCAAACAACCTGGTAAGTGCTCATCCCCACACCCCCTTAGAGTACAAAAGGAAAACAAGTAGAAATGAACTTCACAACGAAGCCAGGGGCAGAGCAGTGATCGAGGCGGCCCTCCGTGGTTTTCCCACCGAGTTTCTCTCTACCCACCATGAAGAGTTAATACCACCAAATATCCAATTTGGGACAAGTGCCTCGGTCAGGCCCCTTCAAAGGGCGGATGAGGCTCCACTAGTTGTGTGGTCACTTGGTCCCTGCTTTTCTCAGCCTCAGCACAGCGCCTGGCTAACAGCAAGCGACCAAGCAAGCAAGCAGCAGGTCCTGAATGAACTTCACAAAGCCAGACAGCCCGGCTTGAGTGCTAAGCCAACTATTCCTCTGTGAACTGTTGGGCAAGGTTGGGACTTCACACCCTATGCCCCCAGCAAACAGCACCGCTTCCCCACAGGCCTCTGTGCGACACACTCGTTGAAAACACCCAACCTTCACTGCCTCACAGCAGTAAAGAACTGCTACACTTTTCAGTTTTGTTTTTGACATTAGACTGCGCAGCAGGGAAGCTGGCATCCTTCCATTCTGCAACAGAGGTCACCATTTAAGAAGATGTTGCCATGCCCAAGGCAGGCAGGGGCAGCAAGAAGCTGGCATGGAGGTCCTGGTTTATGTTAGTTCTACAACTGCTAAGCAAGAAGCAATCAAAACGCTAGGTCACCGAGCACCTGGCTTCTTAAATACACCCACCCTGCATTTCCACCCTGAGGCCAAACACAAAACCGCCCCGTGTTACCTGGCACGTGATGTCCTCCACGCGGTAAGGATTATAAGACTTCTGACATGTTCTGCAAAACTGTTTGAAGTAAACCTGTGGCCAGAAAAAAAAGATTCACCAAGAGCAAAAGGCCTCTGGACGCTTTGGGCAAGGCGATGCCAGTTCCGTGGGCTGGCTTACCTTGTTGGTGCCCTGGACACACCACACGTAGGCACTCTCCCACCGGATGTTACAGTCCTTGCAGTGGTAATAACCGTATTTCTGTTCTAAGAACTGAACACAATCCCACAGATTACCCACAAGACCCCTGAACTCTCGACAGAAACTGTGAGAAGCTGCCAACCCCTTCCAGGCCCTGCAAGAGAGCGGTGTCAGGTGGGGTCCACTTCAACAGGCCTATCAAGGAAGCGCATGGTGTAACCAAGTAAACAGGCAAGACCCAGCAGTACCCAGAATGCTCAGTTCCCCGGGCGCAGGAGGCTGTGACAGCTGGACAGTTGATCCTCCCTCCCCAACACAGGCAGGGACAAGGCAAACATCCACAGGTCTTCGTGGAGCCTGAGTGGTCCCTGGGGAGATCTCGGCCTCTCCTAGCCCAGGACACCTTCCGCTGTTCCCCTCAAGGTCGGGTTCACCAATGGCAAGGCCAGCAGGTGGTCAGTACAACCTAAAGCAGGAGGACCTGGTGCTCCCGTGCCCCTCCTCCCTCCCGGGAGTAGCCAGCTGTGCGTGGGTCTCCAGCCTTGAGGGTCTTTGGCACTAGAGAACTCCCTCACCTTCACAGGTGAGCAGGCTTGAGGGAGGCTCAGAATTACCTGGGGTGTGGACACCCCCAGCCTGGGGCTGAGTCATTTCCCCCACTCCCCCTTCCCAGCTGTCCACCAGAAAAGCCACTGGTCACTTTTCCCCACTCCCCGTTGGGTTCCAGCTGCTCTGCATTCCCCCTTCCGTCTCAGGCGGCACAGAGACTTTAGCAGGCTTGAGGTTTCTGAGCTGGGATGCTTTCTTAAAAAGCACCGCTTCCTCCAGGAAGCCCTCAGGGAGCTCCCAGCAAAAGTCTGTTAGGGGAGCGCTGCTAGGAACCCCAGGAATTTTTATAGTGGCACCCCGGAAACCTGCTCTCTGACCTGATGCCCTGGGACATAGTGCCCTCCATCGGGGCATTAGTTACAAGGTAAACAGACTCAGAAAAACAGGCACCAGGCGGGGCGTCCTGGCCACCGCGCGGGGTCGGCACCAGGCCCAGCTCGGCCTGCAGGGGGATGCGGCCACCGTGGAAGGGTCGGGAGGACCCCGCAGCCTCTCCGCCCTGAGCCGGCTGGCTAGCCCGGCAGCCTCTCACCTGGAAGCGCAGGCGCTCCTTGCCCGGCTCCTCGCGAGTGCCCATCGTCGTGTCGCCTCGGTCGCCGCCGTCGGATTGGGCCGCCAGATGCTGCTCCTCGGCGCTGCTCGGAACGGCCTCCCCTGCCCGGGTCTCCCGCGGCGGCAGCCTGGGCGGGTCCCGGTCGGCGGGTTGCTCCCAGCTCGCCCGCAGCGCGGCCTGGGCCTCCTCCTTCTCCTCCTCTGGTTCTCCCTCCTCCACCTCCTCGTCCGACCCAGGAGACCGAGACTGCTCCGGCGCCGACGCCTCGCCCTCCTCGGGGCCCTGCGGGGGCCTGGCGGCCGGCGGCCCACGCTCTCCCTCCCGCGCCCCGGGCCTCTGCTCGCCGTCCACCGCCGCCTCAGCCTCCTCCAGGAAGGCGGCGAGGCGGCGGGAGACCACGGACGAGTACACGGCGACGGTGCGCGGGAAGCGCACCGGCCGCGGGGAGCTGGCCGTCTCGGGCGCCCGGCGGGCCGGCTGCGGGGAGGCCGGGGACCCGGGGTCGCGCGCCCGGCGCGCCAACGTGCGCCGCCCCAGCGAGCACTGCACCGAGGCGTCGCGGCGCGGGTTCACTTGCACCGCCACGTCGCGGCTGCTGGGCCTGCGGGGCGGCGGGCCCAGGCCCGGGCTCATCTGAGACAGCAGGGCCATGAGTTGCGCTCGCTGGTAGTTCTCGAAGTACTCGGCGGCGGTGAGCTGCCCGTAGCCCGGGAAGGACGACGAGGCGGGGGCGGCGGGAGGGTAGCCTCCGCCGCGGGGCCGCCAAGCCTCTCGCGCAGCAGCGCCCTTGCCCTTGGGGGCGGGCGGGTAGGGGTACGGGTACGAGTAAGGGGCGCAGGCGGCCGGATACATGTGAGCATCCAGCACCTCGTCCCCCAGCGCAGCCATAAACGCAGCCTCAGCCGCTTCGCCGCCGGCCGCGCCCTAAATAGGCGGGCCGCCCCGCCCGGGCTGCGGGGGCTGCCGGGCCAGGGGGTCGACGCCGGTGCCACCGCTGCCGGCTGGGCTCGCGTCCCCGCCGAGGAACCCCTCGCTGACTTGCCGCATTGCGGAAACTCTGCACCCCCGAAGCCTGGCACCGTTACCCTCGGCCGATCCGGAAAGAGGGCTTATTTGTCCGCGGTCAAAGGCGTCGGGGCGGAGGCTCCCAGCTCGATCCCATTACCGCCTGATTGCAGAACCAGGTGGTGCTGCGCGCCGCCCGCCGCGGAGCTGCAGGTGGCCGGGCGGCCCAGGGGCCCCCGGCTCAGGAGCAGAAGGCCAAGGGCCGCTGCGCCCCTCTGGAGCCCGCTCTCCCGGAGCAAGGGTCCTCCCTCTCCGTAGTGGCCAGGGCGGGGGCTAGGTTTTGCTATTCGTGGAAACAGAGAACAGAGCTACAAGCCACACCTCCAAAAGTAACCAGATCTGAAATATTCCCACACAAATGTAGAAGAGGCACTGTTAAGAAAATTGCCCCCACGCCCGGGCGCAAAAAAGCAGCGCGACTCTGTACCGGTGGATACCAGATATCAAACACATTCATGAAACAGTCTTCCATTTGACACGGTTTAACAATAAAATACTGTATTTCATTGTTTCATTGGCTTGTTTGAAATTTTCTTTCTTTTTTTTTTTTTTTTGGAATACAGCTCGAAATGCAACGTTATCGGCTATTTATCAGTTGAGCAAGCACACTTTTTTTTTTTACAACAATTACATCAGACGCAATACTCTACAACTTTACAAGGCAGCTTGTTTTCCACTCATGGAAGATCGTGCAGGCAGAGTCCACGGGTCCCAGGCTGTTTTCTAGTGCCTTCTACAGTCGTAGAAAACGGTCAGGGTGCAAACCAACGGCACATTTACTGAAGTCAGGCTTGGCTGGAGCTGTCCCAGGTGCAAACGATATTACCAAGTTGGATTTGGAATTGGTGGAAACACTTGTTGAAGCCACACCATAGGAAGATCCTAATTGTTACACAGACAATAATGTGATCCAGCTGTTATCGTGTATGTAAACATATGCGCTACCACAGGCCACAAGCATGGAGTGTAGAATGCGGGCTCAGAGGGAAGTCTGGGTAGTCTCCATCATGATCAAGTTCTCCGTCTTCACTGTGCCGTACGAGGTGTCGGCCATTTCTTCTTCTTTTAGCTTCTTATACGAAACATCTGTGTCTTCATCTTCGTCCAGAGGCTCTCGTTTGTGCAGTATTTCACTCCCATACATCTTATAGATGAGGATCAGAACGCCCGCCTCGGCCGACTGGAATAGGGCATAGAGCAGCGGGAACATGTACATGCTGCCGATGAGGCGCGGTGGGAAGGCCAGCTTCAGGATGGCCGTGCACAGCTGCACGTTCTGACTGCCCGTCTCCAGACACACCGTCCGCTTACAGTTGGGAGGAAGGCGGAAGAGCGCGGCTAAGCCGTAGCCCGAGGCATAGCCTGCCAAGGGCATGAAGATAGCTACCACATACACAGCCGCAGGAATGCTAGCCAGCAGTTCCGGTCCCAACATGGTACCCGTCAGTATGAAGAGGACCACCAGCGTCACGAGCAGAGACCACAGGGACACCTGGCAAAGGAGAAGGGACACGCACGTCAGTAGCAACGAGATGGCCGGAGGAGAATCCTGCCCCCAAATCTAGAGCTTTCCTGGAAGAAGCGCCTCAGCTGGTCTCCCCATCCTCTGTGATGCAGGCTGGGCGGGGGTCCCTCCTGAGGCATCTGTGTTGGACAGCTCTTCTGGCCTGGAGCCTTGGCCTTGTCAGGTGATCTAGACAGGACCTCCCAGGAGTCACACAGCCCAGCCTATTCCTTGGGACCAACAGTCCCTCAACAGTGCCACTGGAAGAGAAGCCACCCTACCCTGCAGACGGCATGTCCCCAGGACTTCAGTCCCCAGCATGGATCTTGGTGTTGGGGCTTTGAATGTCCTGAACAAGTGTTTGATCTGTGACCACCATACTTCTTACAAACAATGCAGACAGCGTGGAGTTGGGAATCCTAGCTGCGGTCTGATAAGCAGGACAGGTCGCTGGGCGAGCTGGGTGTTTCCTGCCATTAACAGCAAAGGAACTCAGCATGGGGTTGTAAGCCTTCAAAATGCTTTATACCATGGAGGATTATTACGGGAATAGAAACAAAGACCAACTCTTAGATTACATCAGAGAAAAACGGTTAAGATGTGAAGGGTTTACTGTGGTCTGGCATCACACTACTTCTGTTTGTGAGGACTCTTTCACCTGTAAGTGCTTAGAAACGACTCTCACAGACTGAGTGCCAACTGACTCGATAAAATGTGTCATCTTGATGTTCCACTGTCACATTTTACTCAATGAAACAAAGCAGGCTATCAATAGTGTGGAGGAAAGGTACCAATCCCTGTGCCATTTCTCCTTGGGACTGGTAGGTAAACTTTGAAAATGCAGGTAGAAAGGGAGAGAAGGATAGAGACAGAGCACCCCTAAGGTGCCTCGCTCCTGGAGGAAGGGAGGACAGGCTGGCTGTGACATTGGCCTCCAAGGAGTCCGTTAGACTCTTGCTTAAATAACAGGCAGTCTCTGATGTCCACTCTGAAGGATGCTGTGCTAAGTTCAAGGTGCAGTTCTGCAAACACTTCGTTGGCAGAAACCAGATGATCACAAATCAAAGCATTGTAAGTGTAATATTGCATCACACTGATAAATTGAACAGGAAATCTGAGTCTTCTGGTGACAGTAATACCTTCCATTGTTTGGAGATTGCCTCTGAATGCTCATTTTAAAGTGTATGCAACTTGTAACACTTACGTAAATTATTGTGCTTTAGAGATAAGTTCACCTTAAATTCAAAGATAGCTGATCCTATTTTCTGTAATTTAAACATATTTCTTCTCTTTTTAGCAGGCAAATAATTCATTTGGTTGGCTTTCTCCTTTAATTCCTGTGTTATTTACACTAAGTGACATCACATTGACAGCACCTTAATATTATGCTCAATATGTTCTGAATCTGTTTCAAAATTATTGGTTGTATATAATATGTATAAATAGTGCATATTTACATATGTTATTCAAATAAACATGTGTATTACATGTATCAAGGATTTCTTTAGCTCAAGGTTGAATGCATAGAAATTCTTACATTAATAAAACTTGGTTCCTCTTTATCATGAGATTAGTTTAAAAATTAATATAAATAAAACACAGATTATATGTCCTAAATATAGATAATAAATTTCACAATGGGTATTTCTCTTTTCATTTAGCCAGGGGAATGTGCTTGAACATATTACAGTAATTAGTCATGTCTGTTACGGACTTTCTAAAATGAAAGTCTTGTTCATGTTTCACTTTTTTACTATCTTTGAATTTTCAAGGAGAGCTTAACTTACACAAGCTTTTTTTTTCTCCAATCAACTACTGGAAAATTTCTAACTGAAACAAAAGCATTCTTTTAAAAAAGAACGCAGTGTTGGAAATACTGAGTTAAATAATAAGTCAATGAAATCCCTTCCTGTTTCAAAGCTTCAGAAACTGCAAAATGCTCCAGTGGGAAAGGAGAAATAAGATGCGCACATTTAATCATGGCAATATATCTACAGGCTCCAATTTGGAGAGCTTAAAGCCTAGATCTTGTGTATTCTTGCTACAATGTAAATTTTCAGTTAAATGCCTTTAGTCTTAATGGCATAAACTTTTTCTTAAAAGGGAAAATGCTTTTAGTCTTAATAGTAACTTCTTCTTTTTTTTTTTTAAGGGAAACTCTTGCAGAGTGTCTCAAAATTAGCCTCACTTTGGAAAAAATAGATTCTCGTTGGTTTTGAGTTTGTCAGTGTTGTGCCTTAAAGGCACCGTTATCTCCCACGCCACCGCCTGTTTGTCTCCATGGATGGAGCTCTAGGAGCCAGTCTTTAATTACGTAGTTGTCTCAAATGGTGGAAATAAAGCTCTAGTCAAGCTGCCATTATAGGAATTCCAAGAGACGGAAGTTACCTTGAGAAGTTCATCTCTTGCCAGTACCCTCCATTCCTTCCCCATCTCCGAGCCCTGAGCCCTGGGTCGGCGTCAGAGCGCAGAAGCACGCAGGTGGCTGGCGCAGGGCAGGGCCGGCGGGGGTGCGGGGGAGCTCACCTTGACGATGTAGTCGGCCACGCGATTGTATCGATAGCGAATGAAGACACCCAGACCGATGGGGATGAGAGTGCTACAAAGGGTCAAGGTCACGGCGCCCAAGGGGAGCAGCTGCACCAGCGGCGTGTTGATCCAAGCGCGACTGTAGATCCACAGGCATAGGGGCATCAGGACCAGGGCCAGCAGCGTGGAGGAGATGGTCATGATGATGCTGCGAGAAAAGGAGGGGGACAGACATCGGAAGGGGCTCAGCGCGTGGGAGCAGAACTCCCCTTTCCCTGCAGCTACGGGGAACACTGCAGGTCCCTGGGGGATAAGAGGAGTTGGTTCCAGGCCTGCAGAGCACCGGAAGACCCTGCACATCCAAGGTTGATGGAAAACAGTCTTGGCCTGCTGCCCTGGGTTTAGAAGCAGACTGAATTTACACAATCCGGACCAGCCTCTTCATCCTCTGTAGCACCTGGCAGTGCCTGTGCGCTCACTAGATTTGGCTTTCTTCTTGGGGAACCCCAGCCCAGACCTCACCTTTGACATTTCCTGCGAGTCCCTGCACCAGACCCCCAGCCCCTGCTCGCTTGTCCTCCCAGTGGCTGAAGACCCGGGCTGACCAGCCTCTCTGCCTCTCCGGTTTGCCGCCCTTGCCCTCCTTCCTCCCACCCGGAGTTCTGGGGTCCCCACCTCACACTGCAATCGTGGCCAGGCGACGACGAGAGGGAGAAAGCCGCCGCCAGGACGCAAAGACCGTACCTGAGGTTCATGTCGCCGTCTACCAGAAGAGACATGAGGTTGGAGAGGTTGCCTCCAGGACAGCAGCCGCATAGGAGCACGGCCACGGCAGCCACCTCATCCAGCTTGAAGGCCAAGGCCAGCAGGAAGGCAAGCAGCGGTAGGAAGCCGAACTGGCAGAGCGCAGCCAGCAGCGCACCCACGGGCCGGCGGAGGTGCGTCCCGAAGTGGTTCACGTCCACAGTGCAGCCCAGGCCCAGCATGGTGATGCATAGCGCGGCACCCACCAGCACATTCAGCCCGTGGCTCAGCGGCGTGTCCCAGAACGGGGGCTCGTGGGGTACCCAGGGCCGCGGGAACGGGGATGAACCCTGGCCCCCAGTCGCCACCGCCGCCGCTGTCGTCGTCGTGGGCTGCGGGGTTGGGGTCGGGCCGGCACTGAAGCTGGATCCCGGCCCGAGACTGAGCCCCGGGGTGGAGGCGGGAGCCAGGGAGAAGTCCGTGCCGGGGCCAGGGCTGCTGGCGTTGGGCGACAGCGTATAATTGTCCGGCAGCAGGGAGGACGGCGCCCAGAGCACAGTGGCGTTGTCCGTGCCGTCCATGGCGCTGTCCTGAGGCTCCCGGCACGCTCCTCGCTCGGTGCTGCGGGGTGCACTGGCCCGGCAGCCGGCAGCCACCCCGCGGGGCTCGGGGGTCAGGCCCGGGTGGCGGCGTCGGGCAGGATGCTGCTGCTCTCCGGGGTCAGCGCTGCAGCTGGCTCGCACTCCCTACCTCGTGGTACCCGAGCCCCGCAGGCCCCGCCCCGCCGCGCTGCCCCCGCCTTTTAATCACCAGTAAGTGGTTCTGCTCCAGGGTAGCCAGAGGCGGAACAAAGACCTGACAAAGACACAGGGAGAGAAGCCCACGCCTGGCTGCCGATCAAGTTGGCCGTAGGGCTGTGCCTTTTTTATAATGCAATCCAGAGGCCCAGGCGCAGCAAGTGGGCGGGAGTGGCAAAGGAGGGAGGGAGACGCCTGCCTAGCGGGCGCCCGACCGTGCCTTCCAAGCCAGGAATCAGGGACCTGTCTCACCGCGAAGCCAGGGGAGCGAGACCTTGAATATGGCTTGAATTTGCAAGCAGTTGTCACACTGAGTCTTAAAGCAGAAAAATCCTGATAACCCAGAGGCTGGGGGGAGGAGGATTGGTGTGGCAGGCAGAGATGATGCCAATCGCCTGTACGTGATTTCCTTTTGGCAAGTTTTATTTTAGACAAAAGAGGAAGGTGAGACACATGGGAGCCTCAGCCGCTCAAGCCGCACCGTAATATCGGAGAGATTAGAAAAACCTCCGGGGGGTTGGGGGGGAAGTGTTGTGTTTGGAAGTTATTGGCAGGTGGAGTTATTGTCTGTAGCCAGGGAGATTTGTGGAGTGTTCTGGGTAAAGTCCTGGCTTTAGGATGAAAGGAATGACAAGAAATAAAGCGGTGGGATTCCCTTGCTTAGACAGCGTTATCCCCAAACAACTCATATACATAGTTCTCAGAAAGGCAAATCCAACAACTTCATGTCAGCAGGTGCATATAGAAGCCAAAAAACAAGGTGGTTCCTGCAGCCCTCCGGGAGAGACCAGCCCCACAGGGTGTGCCGCTGAGAAAGCCAAGGTCACAATTTCCAGGCTAAAGCCAACAGTGTTTAGGGGTTGCTCCCGAGTACAGCCGAGATGGAGTGGCTTTTCCTTCTGGGGCACCTGTCCTTATCCTGAGAAAGGATGTTGAGACTCTTGAGTTGCCCAGTGGTGGGATGAGCTCCGTGTTTGCCATTTGTCCTCATGTCTCATGAAAACGGCAGATAATGTAAGAGGTAAGACCAAATTCACCAAAGACACACATGCTGCGATTACCTTTGCATCGGCGATTCCTTCTCCAGGGGAGTTTGAAGTGCAGGAGGACAGAGCCTCTGCCAGCACGTCAAAATGTCCACAACAGGGCTCTCTGGGAAATGGTGCAGTTGTGAAAAGAAGTAACCTGCGTCTTCACATAGAGATAGGATCCTGGAGGGAGAAGAAAGGTCCTGCAATAAGCCCCAAAACAAGCTCCCGAAACGTGGAGTGAATGCGCCCAGGGAAAACAGACCAGAGGAGGAGTTTCAGCAGAGCCTTTGCAGGCCAGAAAGCAGAGTGGGGATGGCGGGGCAGCCAGCGGGAGGCCAGCTGTGCAGGCATCACACCCACTGGCCCCAGGATGCCTCCCCGTGTTAAGGAGATTAAGATCCACAATTGAATTAAACAAGCAGTCGTTAGGGGCACAGCAACCCATTCTCCTATCTCTCTCCCTTGTCTTGAAACGCAATTTGTGAACTAAGTGGAAAGCAAAAAAAAAAAAAAAAAAAAAAAGAGGGTGGGGGCTGTGATGCAGCAGGATCACCCCAAAGCTGCTCTAGCTGCTATAGAAGTCACCCAGGGTTCTGCCCCACCCTTCTTTCTGGTTTCTTCCACTCTGGGAGAGAAAACCCTGGGAGAAGAGTCGCTAAGGGAATCAGCCCCCAGGGGCCATGGAGACTCTGGGGAGCAGCTGGGGTGCTGTGCCCTCTTGTGCCCTCTTGCTGGTCTTCCATTTACTTTTGCCACCACCAAGGAAGCTGTGGCCCACCCAGAGGGGAGAGAAGGCGCAGAAGGGAGAGACAACTGTCCGCTCCTTGGAATGGGTGTTAACTCTGCACCAAAACTCAGAGGAGAGCCTTGTCGCACAGCCAACATCAGGACCGATTCCAGGTAGCAGAAAGGACTGGCTGTCTATAACAACAGTGCAACTAAAACGCTGAGGAACTCACTGGCAAGGACTTAACCCTTGGGCCAGGAATAGCCTTCTAAGCAAATAAGAGAAAAAGTCATAGTTCAGAAGTTCAGTAGAAACAAAATGAGAGAAATATTCATAGCTAAAAGTTCATATTTAACTTTTTTTTAATTGCAAAGTCAGACATACAGAGAGGAGGAGGAGAGACAAAGAGGAAGATCTTCCCTCCCCAAGTGACCACAACAGCCGGTGCTGTGCCCATCTGAAGCCAGGAGCTAGGAATTTCCTCTAAGTCTCCCACGTCGGTACAGGGTCCCAAGGCTTTGGGCCGTCCTCAGCTGCTTTCCCAGGCCACAAGCAGGGAGCTGGATGGGAGGTGGAGCTGCTGGGATTAGAACCGGCACCCATATAGGATCCTGGCGCTTTCAAGGTTAGGACTTTAGCCGCTAGGCCACCGTTCCAGGCCCCCATATTTAATTATTTATTTGACTTTTTTGGAGAGAGTGATATAAAGAGACTTTTCATCTGCTGGTTTACTCTCCTAAGGGCCACAGCTGCCAAGGTTGAGCCAGGCTGAAGCCAGGAGCCAAGGACTCCATCAGGGTCTCCGCATGGATGACAGAGACTTGAGCTGCCATCTGCTGTTTCCTAGGCTGCACATTAGCAGGACAGGCAACAGTACGGGGTGTGGGTACCTCAAGTAATAGCTTAACTCACTGTGTCACAGCTCTTGTCCCCCAAAAGCTAACATTCATTTATTAAAAATTTACCAAATTTTATATATCAATAAGGTCAAAAAATCAAGAGAAAAAGGCAAATGATTTGAAGAAACACAAGATCACAAAAAGGAATGCGAACAGCTAATATACCTATATAAACATTTCTACTTGCGAGTAAGCAAAAAAAGATTACATTTAATAAATTCAATGCCATTTGGCACTGGCAGAGATACAAATGAAATATATATTCTGTGGCAGGAATATAGCCAGCTCCACGCCTGTATCCTGCCAGGGTTTACCCTTCCCAGCAGAACACCTGGTAGTAGATGACATCAGCCCTGAGGAGGTGCGTCCATTTTACCTCCGTCATTCTATTTCCAGATTTTTGTTCTAAGGAAACAATCAGACAATTTAAGAGAGAGAGAGAGTGCAAAAGAGTGCTACCTGGCATGTTACTGTATACTGGACAGTCTTCTACAGATTCCAAAGCGGATTCCAAAACCTTCATTATTAAGCCCAATGATATGTAGTTAAATACATAAGAATATGCTAATACAGGAGACTGTTACGAAGATACTACTATAATATTTTATAATCAGCCTACCTTACAAAAAAAAAAGCAAATAAAAAAATCTTTGAGGATGCTGGCATCCCATATTGAAGCGCTAGAGGGAGTTTTTGCCCACTCCTCTTACAGCGCATACCCCCTGAAGCACCTGGCTGCAGGTGCTGGTCCAAATCCTGGATCCCTGCCATCTGCTTGGGAGACCAGCATGGACTCGGGGCTCCTGGCTTTGGCCTGGCCCATGCCGTTGTGCAGAGTTGGCTCTGCCTCCCCTTCTCTCTGTTACTCTGCCTTTCAAATAAATAAGCTAAATATTTAAAACAACCACAACAGTTAAATGAGAGGCAGGTTCAGCAAGAGAGACACAGAGAGAGGAACCTTCTGGTTCATTCCCCAAATGTCTGAAACAGTTAGGGCTGGTCCAGGCCATTTGGGAGCCACGCCCTCAATTCAGGTTCCCTACGTGGGTGGCAGGAACCCAAGTTCTTGAGTCGTCTCTGCTGCTTCTCCCACTTTGCATTAGGAAGAAAGTAGAGTTAGAAGGCAGAGCCGGGAATAGGGCCTGGAGCGCTGATGTGGCCTGTGGAGCGTGCTGACTGCTGGGCTAAGCACCTGCTCCCAGAGTTCTTAATCTGGGGTCTTTGGATGGATCTAAGAAGCTCCTAAAGTGATGTATCAGCTTTTCTGTGTTTTCCCCATTCTTTCTGGCTTTTTCAAACAAAAAAGTAGATCTGTAGTTTTCTCATACTGCTAAAAGAGTCCTAGGCACATTTTGAAGAGCATTTAATGGTAAGGGGAATTTTTTGTGCTATGATATCATAGGAAAAAATAGGGTAAAAAGCTGGGCCAGCATTGTGACTTAGTAAGCTAAGCTTCCACCTGCAACACCATCATGTCTTATGGGTGCTGGTCCATGTCCCGGCTGCTCCACTTCCCATCCACTCCCTGCTCATGGCCTGGTAAAGCAGCAGAGGATGGGCAAGGCCTTGGCCCCTACCTCCATGTGGGAGACCTGGAGGAGGCTTCTGGCTCTCAGCTCCCAAAGGCCCAGCTCTGGCCGTTGAGGCCATTTGGGGAGTGAACCAGCAGATGGACGACCTCTCTCCTCTCTGTAACTTTACCTTTCAAATAATTTTTGAAAAACAATATTTTTGAAAAAAAAAACACTATCTTGTTAAAAATAAGCTAAAAGCTATAAACATTATTACACATACACTTATAGTCTACTAAATATTTTAAATATGCTATATGTAAATTTGGAAAAAATTTGCACAATGTGTATTATGTCTAAGTGGTAGTATTTAGAGAAGGTATTACTTTTTTGGTATTCTGATGTTCTCCAAATATCTGGAAACATGCATTTTTAAAAATTTTTTTTTTTAAGATTTATTTATTTTTTATTGGAAAGGCAGATGTACAGAGAGGAGGAGAGGAGAGACAGAGAGGAAGATCTTCTGTGCAATGATTCACTCCCCAAGTGAGACCAAAGGCCGATGCTATGCCGATCCGAAGCCAGGAGCCAGAAACTTTTTTCCTAGTTTCCCACA